GTACCTACAAATTATATTATGCTAGAAAAAGTGACTAGCTTACCTTTCCTGTTCAATAGGTAATCTGAACAGAGACAGTTCTGGAATCGATTAATTATTAAGACACCCAAACACACAACAATACGTTCTTCTACGGTTATCAGACATTTTTTATTTATTTATTCAGTGCCGAAAAGTGATACGCGCGCGAACCTCGTGCAGTGTTAGCCCTGCCTGGCGCACTGAGAAACGGGTCGAGATTTTGTTAAAGTGTGCGTGCGTCGACGCATAGATACTATGGCGCACACATATAAGCCGCGCGCGGAGCATTTGTATGAAGATAACCTACTTTGTTCTTTATACTATGACATTACATTTACAACTGCTGACGTATGTACGATACTGTACGTAATAAAAACTCAATGAAAACATGCTGAGAAAACAATAAGCATTCATTGGTAAATTCTCGAGTTTCGTTGATTGATTAACTTGTGCAAAAACTATTGAGCAAGGTCTTGGTTTTGATTCTGGGGTGGTAAAAGTGTTTATTGGGATTATAAAGTTTTAATTTTATTACGGTGGTCTGCCTCGTTGGCCGAAGGTTTGCAAGAGCGACTGCCGGGCAAGAGGTTTCGGATTCAATTCCCGAACCTCAGTAGTAGCACGAGAGTCTGGAAAAGTGCACGGTATATGGCAATAGGCTCACCCCAGCAGAGACCCCTGGTCTGTCATTCGCACTTGCTACCACTCGGCCAACGAGGCAGTCAATCGACGAACAGAAAATAAATTATTATATGTATATTAATAAATAAAATTAGTGACTAATTAGGTACTAGACTTTCTTATCAAGATCTTTAATTAGCCAATTATGATAAATACAATATTATTATCTGACTGGATTGTTCATATCGTTGCGTCATTTCTAAGTTATCTTTTTTTACTCGTGAAAATTAGTATAATGACCGTTTATCAAGTTTTGTATAGGTATATAATTATATCCTTACTATATTGTGAATCATAGATAGATATAAGAGCTAAGTACTGTATTAATTTGTATTAATTTGATAATATTGACATCGATAAACGCTTAACAATTTCCGGAATACAATAATTAAGTATGTTCTACAATGCGACATCGAACTGATTTACCTGTTGATCATAAATTCATTAATTGTGGGTTTTTTTTTCTTTTCAATTTTATTAATCCAACCATTTCATTAATGTTGTGGTGAAAAAATTAATCTTTTACGAAATTCACAAATTATTGAAGAAACATAATTATGCTAGTTGGGGCCCGGCCCGGGCCCATATACATATTATGCTGAATCTGAACCCTGTCTAGGACGCACCAAATTAACAGGTTTGTAAGTTGACTTTGTTTATTATTTTGTAAATTTTATGAAAATTTCATTACAACACTGTCATTATTGTTACCTATTAGGTGCGCTTTACACAAAATTGTGGGGAACGGTGTGAGTTACACAAGTACTTATTATCACTGTGTAGTGTAAGACTTTTCATGTAACATTTTAGTATAAAACTGTTTTTTCATGTGTCATGAGTCATGATAAAAAAATAAACCCGGCCCGGCATACCACCCGGGCCCACACCAAATCCGGCCCTGACTAAAAAATACAGTAATTGGACTTAAGATCATCAATCCAAAATAAAGAGTCCTTTAACCCTGAAGAGGATACCTGCATTTATTAATAATATGCTTAAATTAAAGCACATCCTAACATCGTATCATGCGCAATCCAAGAATCGAACCAGAGACTCCTTGTTGACAGTTACGTTGAAATAGAACTAGCCCATTAAATAATTACAAAACAAGAAGGAAAGTAAAAAAGCTGTAAAAAAATCGTGACATCGACACGAAAAAAACTAAACGGCAAATTATGAAATAGCCTCAAAAACATGGTTTCAATCTTAGCTTGACAACATGTACGGTACGGATACTGTACCTACTGACCTTAATTGCATTTGGTACTTAAATTTACGTGTCGTCATAAGTGTCATAGCTCAGAGGTTAAGCTGCTTGCTTCTCTAGCATGAGGGTGCGAGTTCGATACCTAAAACGAATGTGGCTTTTCCAATAAGTTAGTACCTACTTACTCTCTCTGGCACAATATTATTAAGTACCTAGGTAGTATTCACCAACGTCTCTTAAATTTTAAGCAACCCCTAAGCTAAAATAAGTAATTAAAATATCGGTAATACTTTGGTATTCACCAACCTATAATTGACTGCCTAGTTGGCCGAGTGGTCGCAAGTGCGACTGGCCGGGCAAGAGGTCTCGGGATCGATTCCCACAATAGTAGCACAGAGTTTGGAATTGTGCTCGGTATATGGCAATAGGCTCACCTCCTATTACAGACTCATAAAATAAATAGTGAAAAGTGTTACATTGTACATACAGTGGCAATAAGTGCCGTAACCACTCCTTCGGGGATAAAAAGCGTGATGTTATGTTATAAGTGTCTAACAGAACAAGTACCTAAGGGGTGAGTATATGCGCTCTTAGATACTTAAAAGGTTGTGAAAACGCCAACGGGCATACGTAAGTATTACGTATAAGTGCAGTTGCCCTAATAAAGTATACTATAGGCATGCTTCTCCAAAATATTTTATCGGCCTCATAAATTATAGACATTTTTGTCTGATCGATAACAAATAGGCCGATAAGGATAACGAACCCGTCGCCCGTAAACGTGACAAAGTAAACTATTGCCAATTTTACTTACTTTTACTTTTACCTGTATTTTGAAGATAACTAGTAACTAGTAAAATTAAGTATGGGAGAGCCATGCTTCGGCACAAATGGACCGGCTCGACCGGAGTGATACCACGGCCTCACAGAAAACCGACGTGAAGCAACGCTTGCGTTGTGTTTCGTCGTGTGAGTGAGGTTACCGGAGGCCCAATTACCCTCCCCTTCCCCAATCTCCCCAATCCCTGAATCCCCAACGATCCTCAAACTCCTAATCCCCAAAAAGCCGGTAACGGTAAACGAGCAGACGGATCACCTGATGGTAAGCAATCGGCGTCGCCCATGGACACCTAGAACACCAGAGGCGTTACAAGTGCGTTACCGGCCTTTTGGGGATTAGGAGTTTGAGGATCGTTGGGGATTCAGGGATTGGGGAGATTGGGCAAGGGGAAGGTAATTGGGCCTCCGGTAACCTCACTCACACGACGAAACACAACGCAAACGTTGCTTCACGTCGGTTATCTGTGGGGCCGTGGTATCACTCCGGTCGAGCCGGTCCATTCGTGCCGAAGCATGACTCTCCCACACACAGTAACAGTTTATTTGTCCTTACAAATTGTAAGTACATAATTCCCCGTAAACATTTACTTTACGTATGAATTACGGAATTCATAAACTAATAAATAATGAAATTAAAAAAGTATCACCGGTTTGATAATACTTACTTTATTACCTTACCCAATTAACATAATTCCTATTACTATTAGCCACTCCTGCGGTTTCACTCGCTGCTCATTTATAAAATTAATGTCCAAATACTCAGACGCCACTCAATTTTAAGACGCACTTAGCTATAGTTCTGTAACTACTTCCAATTCCTTGTGAAATGACAAATATGGCAGGATATTTAAGTACACACGGGCACACATCAATCTATACGAAACCAGTTTATCCTGGTGTCGCGTCGCATCATCTTTCCGCACATTTAACGTTCAGTTTATACTGGTTATGTAAAGCTCGATGTGTAGCCGTGTGTACAACTTAAAATACACACTGCATTGCCTTTCAGTATTCGGGCGATAGGCTACAAGCGAATTTATATACGACGGAGGCTAATCTTATTGAACAAAAACAATTATTGAAATCGAACCAGTCGTTTCGGAAATTATCGCGTTCAAACGTACAAACAAATAAACTCTTTACCTAACGTTACATATGTATTACTAGCTACTTCCCCGAGGTTTCACACGCTCTGCTCAGCTCCTATTGATTATAGCGTGATGTTTTATAGTCTATAGCCATCCTCGATAAATGCGCTATCCAACACAAAAATAATTATTCAAATCAGACTTGTAGTTACGGAGATTAGCGCGTTCAAACAAAAAACAAACTCTTCTGCTTTATATGTAAGTACACATATTATAACGTCGCGCCTTTTTGTCATAGATTCTTATTTACTACTTTTCGTATTATGAAAGCTCTGAAACTAACCTAGGCACACTTATGAGACCTTGACACTATTATGTATTTTATATATGTATAACATCATCTTGTTACTGGCTAGACCATTCATTTACTTTATTTTATTACAGCACTAGCTGTGGTCCATGACTTCGTCCGCATAGAATTTGATTCCTGTTTTATACCAAGGGAGCATTTGTATCACCTAAGACAGCTCATACTCTGCCTGTATACCAAATTTCATCAAAATCTTTTTAGTAGTTTCAGTGTGATTGACGGACAAACATCCAAAATAAGACACTTTCACATGTATAATATTAGTGCTTACTTAGCTTGATGTCGCGACACGAATGTATGTACATAAACTGTAATTAATTACTTATTAATTGTTTTAAATAAGCAACAGTCACTGTTTCTGCTTACCCCTTCATGAAATTGGAGACGTGATGTTATGTACATACGTACTGGCAGCAATGATACGAAAGTGGTAGTAACACTTTGAATTTCAATATTTTACGGTAAAGTTTATTTTATTATGTATACTTTCATGTAACCTCTCCATGAGCTTAAGCTGAAACGCGCTTTACAAAGCTTACATAAAGCGTTACCTTTCTCACTTAATAGAACTAATTATGTCTCTCTGTTACTAAACATGAAAAGTCTTTATATTTTGGGAAATAGAATTAGTTTTTAACCGATTTGAGAAAAAAAAGGTAATTTGTTAGACCAATTCTTGAACGTCATTGTAGCCTATCTAATATCAGTCTATACATAATTCAAATCAAGACCAAGTAGATACGGTAGGTATCTAATAAGAAATAAACACAATTTACTGAAAACATAAACAAACCTCTAGTTCCTCCAGAAACTTGATCTGCTCGACGTCCCTCGTGTCCTCCTCCTTGGTAATGATCCTCCCGTTCTCACTCACTGCACCGGTCAAGTTCACATCCTTCAACGGAGCACTGTCCACTTTCAGGTCACTCATCATATGGTACGCACTGTTACTATGTCCGTACTTGGCCATCACTTGCACTATAGACTTGTCTTTGTAAAACTTGAGAGTGTTGACTCCTCCAGGGTGGTCACGCATGAAGCGGTCCAGGTCGTATTGTTTCCCATTGAAGTTGACTGAGAACCGCGCGCCGGGCCCTCGAGCGTCCATGGCGGAGCTGTGTGCCGCCGCCCGCACCCGCGAGCAACCTGTACCGACTAAACCACGTTATCAGCGACCGTGTCCCGTGTGATACGAGCAGATGTTTCAGCGCCTACTACTGGTGCGTGCAAACTGATTCACGGACGCGCCTTGCTTTGCTACCTCGCCGATTAGTTTAGCATCAGCGCTATAAATGTTCGTAAGAAATTAGTGGCGCGCCTAATGGCCCTGACTATTAACTTGGAATATTGTTGTTTAAGTGTTTGGTGGAATGATTCTAGTTGTAATGTAAGTGGTTTGAGTCTAGTCTATGCATTCGTGGCTAGTTGTCGACTGCTCTTTCATGAACGTAACATTTGCTTTCACATTTCATGAGAGATAACTGAATTGGTTGAAGGTAATCCCGGTCACGAAGTTATTCTGTTCAATATATTTTTTAACTAACTAGAACTTATAGCAAAGTTCATGTCTAAGAAAGAACGTGATTACATAGCAATAAGCTGAAGTTGAGAGAGCTAATTCACTATAATGACTTTCAATATGTCTCAGATTACTTATAGCTACTTATTTAGGCACAATTTAGAAGAGAGGGTAATGTTTATCATGTATACAAATAGTTATCTTAATTAAATAAAATCGATTTGTTATGACTCCACCCTTAAAATCTTTATTGACATGCCTACCTATACGTATAAATAAGCCGATTATCATTAACGATAACTTTATAATTTATAATGATTAAACTATTTAAGGACCAAGTATTCATTCGATTAATGAATCACCTGATAGACCATTAAATCATAAACCTATCGACTATTTTATTGTAAAAATAATGATAAGCACAAGTAGGTACGCCTGCCGACACTGCCGTTGAAGTAGGGTAACCCCCGGGGTATTTTAACGGGGTATTTTGAAAAACTGAATTCTTAGGAGTCGCACAGAATCAGTAATTATGATCGATAATCCATCGACTTTAGGTTTGTTCCTCTATAATAATCTTATTGAGACTACCTACGCAATTATACCTCTAATATCAGACTACAGTAGGTGAGAATAAAAAAAAAAACAAAAATAAAGATTACCTAGGTACCTATAATTCTTTGTACCGTGGGAGTTCCAGAGCAGATCTCTTTTAGAGGACCCGGTGCCTCCATACAGGTGTTGAGAGTGGCCACCGGGGTGTTTTAGTGGGATATAAATCTCAAACTCCCTAGTCTTTTATCTTCAAAAAGCTAGGTACCATTTCAAGGTTTTCCCCCGCGATCAAAAAGAAAAAAGGTACCTTACATTTCTCCTACAATTTCAACGAACTACTATCGTAATAGTTCACATTTGTAACCAATGGCTTTTTAATTAGCCAGTGAAATATGATGTTAATAGATCAAAAACAGACCTAGATAGTACCTAGATGTTATTCACTGCCAGATTGCAGGAACACTCCGAGTTGTCGAGGGGCGCGCCCGTTGATAAGCTCCCTCATTATTTTAAGAGCACCTCAGTTCCGAAAGTGTCGGACTACAAAAAACAACACGAAACAATCCCTCTTGAAAAGTAGGTATTGTGTTATCAATATACCTATCTAGTGCATCTAGATACCTAGTAGGTACTTAAGTGCTACTTAGGTATAGGTAGTAGGTACTTAAGTACCTACTTAGGATAATTATACCTAATTGTTATTTGGCGTAGTGGTTAGAAATTGTACGGATATTAGTAGTGAAAGCTACTTCATCATCAAAGAAATAGCACACATAAACTTCGCTTTTTAACAGCGTCTTATTTGAATGGATATCTAATTCAAGACTTAGGTCAACTCTCACGCACAAGATATTCACCCGTATACCTATTACCTAATAACTACAATATATATACGTATGTATAACAACAACAACCACGTTATAGATATTTTCAACCGACTTCAAAAAAAAGGAGGAGGTTCTCAATTCGACTGTTTTTTTTTGTATGTTGTGGCTGTACAGGCAGCAGGTACTTACATGCGGTCACAATCTGCCTATTTATGTTTATTTAAACTTTAATATACACAAAACAATAAAATAATGGTACTTTATGTCGAGTGCATTATACCTATAATATTTATAATGTGTTACTGTAAAATCCTGTATGTTGGTTAATCTTATGGTTTACCTTAGGATTTATCGACAATTGAACATGGGACAAGCTTTCTATATTCCTTTATTGAAGTATAGAGCTAATACCGTCCAGACTACATTCTTAGTATTTTTTTTCTAAGGGGGGGGGGGATCATTGAATGACTGTTCCCGCCTGGGTGAGGCGGGAGGGGAGTGTCAGACTCTTACTGACTAAAAACCACCCCGTTCCTTCTCTTGCGCTTCGAGCCGGAGCCCCGGTAACGCGTTAGGTTCTAGCAGAATTTTATAGCGGTTGATTATAAAACATATTTTATTTAAAGAGGAACAAATTCGAATCTACATTTTAGAACGAGTACCTAGCTTCCTGACGGACAGACTGACAGACTATTATTTATTTTGTACTTGTTGACGTTTCAACTATACGAAATTATGGGTCGCGTTAACGAAATCGGTAAGGAGGACTATATATATAGTAGATAGATTTGGTAGATCTCAGTTTTTACTGGAAAAATTTTAGGATTGACATTTACTGTTCAGACTTTTACCGTAACATAAATGAAAAATATTATTATCAATATCACGCCCGTTACACACAAGATTACAAAAAGAACGTGTGTAGGTAGGTACTATGGGTATATAGATGTAACATAGGTAGGTACTCGGTAATACTTATATGTAAACAGAGCCTATTTTCCTATCAGCCATAATTTGTAACGGAATACCCACCATACCAAGACAGTTCATCATCATCATCTGTTTGTAACTCTGCCAATGGCCACTGCCACGTTTCCTCTCGATATACAGGCTTAAAGAGCAGGGGTAGGTACGGGTATTTAGTCAGTCAGAGTCTGACACTCCCTCTCGCCTAACCCAAGGCAGGAGAAGTCATGGAAGATTTTCCACCCGCAAAAAAACGGTTTTCTTTAGATATTTTCCTATATCATATGTCAGTAAACTCACCGTACACCAATGTCAATGCTCACACACAATTTTGCAGTAAGATAAAAAAACCTCTTGGACGCAAACCTATGAAGTTGTCCCACACCTACCTAATCTAAGAAAATAAAAATTGGTTGCCTGTAAAGTCGGTATACGGGCGAAAGTTTTACGTGACAACGACTTTGAGTGGTAAAATAATTTTAATGTGAATATTCATTCGTATAGTAGGAAGAAGGATGAAATAATAGTAACAATTTAAAACATTTATTTATACAAAGAATTATATTTAAAACATTAATTTATACAAAGAATCTCACTCTCTCTCTCTCTCGCTCTTAGGCGGGCTAACTGTGCTCGAGTGGAAGGGACGCGTGCCTTTCACTTTTTATGTCTGTCTCTCTCGCTCTTAGGCGGGCTAACCATGCCCGAGTGGAAGGGACGCGTGCCTCTCACTCGCTCTCATTGTGAGCGCATAACGTGACGGGAGCGTAACGCAGTTTCTTGAAGTGTCACCCGGCAAACCAATTTATAAGACGTTGTCACGTCAAAACAATTACCTACAAATTCGATACCTGTAGCCTGAAACCCTGCTCTAGCTGTAAGTAGGTAATAAATTGAACAGCTGAAGTTAAACCAAGATACTAACTAAGTTATTAAATATTATCTCCAAGTTCATTCGAGTGTCCATAGTACCTACATGGCTGTAAATAATAAATACTTTTGATTGAACTGAAGTGATGGGCGATGGTTGCACTGCACCGTCACACGGTGTCTCAGCCTTGGCAATGCCATCAATAATTCATGTCTTTATACATTTCTAGGACATTAGGTCTAGCTATCAATTTTGTATTCAATATTTATTGAAACACTAATAACTTAATTTCTTTGTATCAATGAGTTTTTCACCTATATCTACCATGTTTGGGGAGTCGTGAGTGTTTGCAAACATATACTTAAGATATACGCAAGCTTCAGAAGAGGTGTCAGAGAGTGGCTGGACACTAAATATCTTGAGAACGGTAAAGTTCGGGATATTCCTTAGTCAAATGTGTCAGGAATTATGAATACGACCATTCTACCACCTTTAAAAGGATTTAGCTCGACTTTACCTGTAACTCTGTATATCCCATCGTCTGTTCTCTCTTGTAAACAACTTGGAAAGGTGGGTACCTACCTATTAGGCATGGCTCCCAGTGTATCATCAATATTAGTTGCCCTGACTTCACTTGTAAATGAAATTTTAACATATAAAATTACATAGATCGTGTTTTTAATGTAGGATGTGAAAGTACTCATCAATACAAGTTTCTTTTACTAAGGGAAGAACTCGGGATTTGAAACAATGAATTCTAATGTACCTATTGAAACTAGTTGTCTTATTATCTCATCATGAAATGGCGAATAACTACAAAGAAGTAACACGTAAGGACACACGATTTTATTTATTGAGGTAGGAGTTCTTGGTGGTTGACGGTCGATATAGGAATTCCGAATGTAGTGTGCAGTGACGAACACTATATGATATCTTCCAACTTAGAGACTCAATTTCAATCGACTGTACCAAGGTATAAACGAAAGATTCTGGTCATATTTTACGTTGCACACAACCGTAATATAGTCTAGTTTACATAGCTAAAACCCAAATCTGCTCACCTAATTTTTCTTCAGCACTACACATTATTTTTAAAAATAACGGTCGTTTTCCGCGGTAAAATCCATCAACTGACTTTGACGTGTGATTATCATGACATGTATTTATTCTCTGAAAAGTGTCGCCATTTAAAGAAGTTCTCTGAAATGTTAGGATTGCGTAGAAAATATTAGGTAATGGGTACATTACATTAGTTTTAAGCATATAAAAATAAAACACGATTTACTGCAATCTGAGACGTGGGAAGTACCTTCCAAGGAGAACGTACTAGATACCATGGTACTACCTAATACCTAACGTAATGTCTGAAAGTGATGATGAAATCGAAACACTTAGGTAGGTATGGTATAGTGACCACACTATGATTACATGATTTTGTAAAATGACTAATAAGTACCTAATCAGTAGATCTTAAATGCTAAGCTTCTGTATCTACAACAGTTTCCGGATTCCTCCAATAGTCATGACTAAGTAACGTAATATTAGTGATAATGTCCTTATTTATCAAACGACAGGTGTCTGGCGTCTACATCAAAGTTGCATACCTAATCAATAGTCATACACTCGCGTCAATAATGCGGTAAAATTAACAATATCTAAATACCTGCAGGTTCTATAGGTACCTACCTAATTGAATTGATACGCAAACTACCTAAACGTGCTGTGAAAAAGGCTATGAATATGATGGTTGTGTAATGAAGTGGCTACGTGCCGTCGTATTGTAAGCGATCAGGGATAATTCGACTTAGGAATCGACTTGGTGGAAATTGTAATCAGATTGGAAGAAAGCATGGACCCTTGAGGAACACCTAACATAGTCATTTATTTTTTGACTTAAAACGGGACATTCGTTTATTTAAATTGAGTCAGGAATCTGGTAGCTTGATCCTAGATAGGTCTCTGCAGAGGACCCGGTGCCCCTTTCAGGTGCTGAGGCCACCGGAGTGGTTTTAGTGAGGTAAAACTCCCATACTCTCTAGAAATTCTCCCCAGAAAGCTCCTATTATCTATAATAGGAACAAAGTTTGTGTTTCCAGGTTCTAACCTGTAAACACAAACTTACACACCACAATAAAAAGGTTAACAAAATGTAGGTACTTAAAGATTTTCAACTGAAATCCGTCAAAAAATAGCGAGTTATCTTACCGCTGTATCTCTCTCGCATGCCATTCGAGCCGTCCGTACGGTCGTCGCATAGGTTCGACTATTCAAATTGTCGCGTGGTTCCCGAAAACAGGACAATTATGCGTCCTAGAATTCATTTCGGGGATAACGGGACTCGTAAATGTAAAAAGGGACCCGTTCAAAACGGGACGTCTGGTCACGTTGTTTGAGCCGGAGGACCGTACACCGGCTCAAACCGGGTGCTAAGCGCACAGTTCGACATGATATCGGAAGGGCCAGTTTGATAAAAAATTCGAAATAATGTGCACAAGACGATGTGGCACACCGAGTTGGTTGGAACATCTTATAAATCAACTCAAAGTGCATTTGTGCCAGACTTTGTCAAACGCTTTCGCGATGTCGAAAAACAGACCTTCTGTCATTTTATTATGCCGCGTCGAAAGTGTGCATGAAATGCTTGACGATGCGGTACCTCTGGCCTGCATGACCTCTTTGACCCATACTAAAGCAGGGAGATATACGAAATCCTAAATCCATGGTGTGAAGACTATCAGCGCTAGAGGTACTAAAGGTCTGCGGACGGCGAGTACGGGTGACTCGCCGCCCTACCCGACCCGAACGTACGGCGCATAGCATTCCGCGCGCGCCTCAAAGAGCCTTCAGACTAGCACAGATAGGGCCCAATAGGGTTGATGTCGATACGGAGCCGCGAAGGACTTAACAGGTTGCCGGAGCTCCGGCTCGAAGTGCAGGAGTAGGAACGGGGTGGTTTTTAATCAGTAAGAGTGGCACTCCCTCTCTTGCCTGCTGGTTAATATAGCATTAAGCAGAAAAAACGGGAAATTTCCTTTAAAAGCTGTTAACAACCAAATAAATGCTACTGTCTGTACATACAATATCTAACAACGAGATTAGAATACTAAACCACAGATTATACATCTTTAACAAATAAAAACACAATGTTGTTTAAGTAATATTATATTAATATTGTTTTCGTAATAAAATAAACTGCTTATTTCCTAGGCTCGTCTTGTGAGGTCAACAAAGCGAATTTGTCGTATGTCAGATTACTTGCGACAGTACAATGTTTCTATTTATCAGTCTTATGTCTTACATATTGAGTAACAGCAGTAGGTACATGGGCTGGTACATCCATTACAGATTAATAATTTTATTCATGATACACACCTATTTTTTTTTCGTAAGTATGGTACTTTAATATCAGACAATTCTTAAGTAGTTTAATTAATTTTCAGTTCATTATTTTGTTGTGTGTATAAATATTGAAATTCATAATTTTGTAGTGTTATTACAGTGCCTTCAGATATCTCACAAGAGAAAGTAATATATTAATTTGTTTAACCTAATTCATCATAATTTTACTTCATTACTTTTAGATGCTACAGAATAATATTTAACAGGAGTAAAATTAAAGCTACAACTATCACAACTATCTGACTTAGAATAAGAATTTTGCATAAAAAACATGCAAGCATTTGTATACAACCCTTTCTTTTTTAATTCCACAATTTGTGACAACACTGGTTCAGAACAGTTTTTTAAAAGTGGAACCATATTTTGGTAGTCAAAGGATTTGAATGGACAACCTCCTTCGGAGCATGAATTGTCTATGCTTTGTATAGTGCTGCAGTTGACTGAGGGGTAGTTTCTCCTGGATCCTTCTAAGCCATACATGTGTCTAATACCGTAGACATATTTCTTCTCATCTTTTTCCCAGTTATGGCAACAACTGTGGTGCCCGTTTGGGTGTAGCCTGTACTCTGCTCTCCAGAACTCTACAGACTCTTCTATTGGCATGCCAATATCTTTTAAAAATAAACTGTAATGAAACCTCTGTGTATGGGATAGTCTATGCCTTCTTCTGAGATTTTGGTGAAGGTTTAGCATGCATGGAGGGAAAAACCGGGATGCGGAGTCCACATCCCTACTTAATAATACATTAGGTTTGACTTTAGATAAATTATAATCTTTCTTTATTTTGTGTAGGAGCTCCATAATTCTTGCATCACTCTTCAGTGGTGCTACATCAGTGGTGTTGATTCTGTTGATTAAATTTTCTCTAAAAAGAGTAATTAAATATTGTAACCATCTCCCACAAGGTATAGTTGCCACTCCATTTGTGAGTTCAACTTGTCTCCTAGCTACAAGGCGAAGGCATTGTTTGAAGTTCACGTGTATACTGTGTACTGTACAGGCACTATTGTGTACTGAACAAATATGTTGAGCCACTTCCTTCAGCATTAAATGTTGACATAGTATCTGCACAGATTCAATGAGTTTCGCCACTTTGTTCTGCTTTTTAATACTTTTGAGTATTTTTTTAGCAAAAGATCTCAGTTCATACGCAGATAAAGATATTAAACGGCGCCTGAACAGCTCCAACTCCGATTTCAAAATATATTCCGTAAACTCTCTGTCTTCACATAAAATTAGTATCACGCATAATGTGAAGTGTCCTACGTTATCGTATATGCTTCCGTCTACAACATATTCGTTGTATATTATGGGTTTACCACTCAAAATTGTTTTTAAATATTCCACTCTATTAAATAGAATAACTTCTAATAAATGTACAGGTAGGTCACCTTTTACTGGCGTTAAATAGAAGAATGACATCTTATATTTAATTGCCTATAACATTTTTGGTTCGTATTGCAATTTATTTTAATTTAATTAATATTATGTACGTTATAAACGACTTTTGATCGACATTCTTTCTTGTTTACTTTTGTGACAATTGTGACAAATGTCAAAATTTTTAATGTCAATTTACAAAGGATTAGGGTTCCCAAGCAGAAAATTTTAGTGTGGATCTTTTAGTCGATTACTGATTGAAACGTTTTATTGTCCCAAAAGAAATACTATCATATAACTATTTTTTTAATTTTCATAAACATTTTCTTGTAAGGTGAGATGATGATAATAAAGAAAGTTACAATAGTTTTCCACAATACGTATTTTGGAATAATCTGGTAGTATCCTCATGCACTGTTTAAATTCTACTGACCTACTTAAGTTATCAAATTTACTACAAGATTATTCTTCTTATTGATTTATCGTTATGTAAAATAATCAATTTCAGCAACGCAGTCGTGAAAAAAGAAACAAAAAATAAACAATCCAAACATAACCAAAAAAGGTGTAACCTAGAAGATTAGTAGGCTAATCCGGTTGCACCACTACAAATGTCAAAAAAGTGAAGCCTCGTACTCGGATTTGTATGATGCTCTTTATTTTCGGAAATACTAATTGAAATCAATGCAATTGAGATTATTGGATTAATTTAAATTGATCTTCGTGCACATTGCAACGTTTAGTGTGTAGTTGTTTATAGTGGATGTGTTTGAATTGACCGTATTGGGATGTGCGTTGTTTATCTGACATGTACCTATGTCGGAATTTCCTAAATAGACTAGACGTTTGATGTCGGGGCCGCGTATAAAAATAACATTGGATTGTCGCGTCGGGTCCGGAGGGCTGTACCCGCCTGTGCCATGGTTCTGATGATGGCTCCGAAGATATTGTACTTGACCGCGGTGCTGATGTTAGGTAAGCCCCTCTCTATTTATCATTCTATTCACAAAGCTAATGTTTGCACTTTGATAAGATACACATTTTGTAAATTAATGTTTCTGTTGCAAAAAACTCGGTTGTTTATTATAAAACATGGTTTTTGTAATGATCCATTGTTTTAGTCAGGTTGTTGACAAATATTGTATTTACACTATCATTGTTTGGTTACACTACAATTAACTATTACACATTTTGTAACTTTTTGTCAATATGTAACAAGAACCTTATTAATAAATGTAAGTTCATCAACTTTTTTGCATAATAAGTATAACATAATGAAATATGAAAATAAGCATGTACAAGTATTTTCATTTATGAATGTGAATAGTTGCACATGTTTGACCTTTGATAAACACTTCATGATACAGTAATTCATAATAGTTTTAGACATTATAATACATTTCTATAGATATTGGAAAATCCTTAACTTTATTGCAAGTAAATGATTTCATTTCAATATTTGTAAGATAAGTTAGTTTCAGTGGTATTTTTTACCTGAATTTAAAAAAGGAAGAGGTTATTATTAAACTTGCTAACTAAACTGTACATTATTTAAAAATGGGTTAAGTATTATTTTAAGTACCTACATGGTAATATTGACAAATGGATTAATTATCTCAGTTAATAGCATACAACCCAAAGCTGTAATTAACTTACTGACTTTCTATGTGGTTTTCTATGTTTATCTTATTTTCTACTCATTAACATATTTACGACAGGGTAGGTTACCAGTGACCGATGTCAGTGACCTATTCTAAAGAATTTGCCTTGACCTATATTACTAAACAGTTGTCTATTGGTAGTCAAAGACATTAGTTGTATCATTCACTTTTTACTAGGTGACTTTTTTACTTGCCCACTTTTCTGTGGGATGAAAAGTATATGTATTCGAGACCATAATCATGTTCCAAATTTCATCCCAATCCCTTAAGCCATTCTGACGTGAAGCAGTGACAAACTAACATATATACTTTGGCATTTATAATATTAATTGGTAGTACTTACTAAAAAATCGTGGGATACTCACATGAATACAGTGAGAAAAGCTCTATTAGTTTTGAGTTATTATAAATACATACATAGGATTGTTATCATTCTATACAAACTTTTAAAACCATTAACCAACGATTCAACCATTAATTCTATAATAAGTGTATTGATGGTGACAAAACATAAAACCAAAGTTGATGAAAAAAACTATAAAATTAAATAGTCTTTTTTTTAATTCTTTAGTATAGTTTTATTTCCCTATTATTAATTCTTTACATAACTAACTAGAATGCAATAAAGTTTTACTGTATAATGGATGTAAATAACAGATTATAAATTATCTAGACATTGTAACTATTTGTTTCTAGATTATTGGACTAAATTGAGATTAATCATATTTGCCAGGATTACATTTACTGATTACTATTATAGTAACACTATAACATGTGTGAGAGCATTACTCGTACAATGACCTTCATTTATTTTGACGCCCACCTTTTATACAATATGTATGTATTTTAATAATAGCTTGTATAGTAAAAGAATATCTCCAGACCAGACATGAAACTTTAAAATTTACCCCATTGTATTGTGAGATAAAGGCAAACACACTTCCGTGGTTATAATATTAGGAAGATATTCAATTTGTTATATTGTAAATGCAAGGCTCAAACTTAAAGCTGTTTTTTAAAAAAAAAAAACGTTGCCCCACACTAGAGTTTTATCCTGTGTCGTGGATGCGTTTATAAACATACAAGTTCACATACACATGACACCCAGACCCGGAATGGATCACACGAAGTGTTGTTCCGTGCGGAAATCGAACCCGCGACACGTTGCGCGGCAGTCACTTGCCCAACCACCGCGCCAACCGTGCAGTCGATTTACCTGCTTAAAATGATTTAAAATGCTATGTTGACATTTACCAATTTTATTAGGTAAACAGAATTGAAATAATACTTACATAGCATAGTAGTCAGTGATTTCTATGACATTGAATTCATAAAATAATTGCTCAATTATCATTTTTGTGAAAATCAGCACTGCTGTCATCAAGTAATACAGGAATGTGCACTTTATAGTAAGAAGTATAAACAACATTCATAGTTGTTTACTGTTAATGAACAAATGATATTTTCAAATTCAATTAAAACATTGAGTTTATCAACTATGAATGAAACTCTGACCTGCTTTAAAATACTACAACAATCAATTCCTTTTGTTTAGTCATAGTCAGATTGTACATAGTCTTTAACGAAAATTAGTAATGACAAAATATTTTGTTGAAGGTACACAAGTGACGTCACTAACAGCAGCCCCGCCCTCTGACGGGAATTTCCCACCGCGGCCGAAAGAAGGCCGAGTCACCACGAGGTACTGTGAGTTCTACAATGGCTCACAAACTTCTACTTGCGACACTGCCAAGAACTCCACATGTGTCCCTAATGTTATTAAAGAAGAGTGCCAACCTGTCGAAGCAGACAAAAGTAATCATTGCTTCGTGTTGTGGCAGTTCGACAATGAAACCAACAAGACGTATCTGAAGGTGAAAGGGTGTTTCGTGGACACTGTCTCCTGCACAGACAGGGCCTCCAGCTGCCGGCTCCACAACTCCAAGCTGCCGCTCCTCCACTGCTGCTGTGAAGGAGACATGTGCAATCAGAATGCAGTGTTCCCTGGTATAGAGGCTGGCATGTCAGCTCAAACTGAAATACCACCCGAGAGAGTACCCGCCTCAGCAGTACCCAACGCTGATGACGATACACAAGCAGTAATAGCTTACACTCTAACACCACTATTCCTCTTGTTCGCGATCCTAGTCGGCTGTTATCTGCTGTACAGAAAGCGCAAAGGAACATCATTCGCTGAGCTAGCTAATGGAGAAGCGTCATTGTCCAGACCACCGTCGGCCGGCGCTGGAATGGAAAACGAGGCCGTCGGACTAGTGGGCCAGGTCACGCTCTGCGAGGTCAGGGCTCGCGGCCGTTTCGGAGCCGTGTGGAGAGCGAAACTTGGACAACGAGATGTCGCAGTGAAAGTGTTCCCCTTGCAAGACAAACAGTCGTGGCTCGCTGAGCAGGAGATCTTCAGGCTGGCGAGGATGGATCACCCAGACATCTTACATTACATCGGCGTGGACAAGAAGGGCGACAACTTACAGGCTGAATATTGGCTCGTCACAGCTTACCATGAGAAGGTAAGTTTTGCATAACTACATGACATACCTTAAACAGTACTTGTTTTACATAGGTAATCACAACGATGAAATGTGTTCATTACATGTGTAGGAAATGTTATTGTAGACCTTTCAATACAATCTCTTTTGTGAAAATGTTACATAAGTGTCGACACAACACGAGTAAGTTAAAAATATCCGTCTGCATCTTGATAGATCGATATGTCAGAAGCACAAAAGAATTTCCTGACAGGTTCTACAAGTCGAAACTATATTTAGAATGACGAATGAGTAATAAAGCTGCTAAGTTCTCTTATGTATTCTGAACGTAACCTATCAATTATGAACAATGTGTATTACAATGATGCTGTTTCGTCACCAGGGTTCTCTATGCGACTATCTAAAAGGTCACACGTTAACTTGGGTGGAAGCTTGGCGTATAGCGGCGTGTGTGGCACGTGGGCTCGCTCATCTGCATGAAGAGGGAGGCGGGAAGCCGGCCGTCGCTCACCGCGACTTCAAATCTAAGAACGTTCTCCTGAAAGCTGACTTAAGTGCTTGTATTGCGGACTTTGGACTAGCATTAATATTCGTGGCTGGACGAGGATGTGGTGATGCACATGGACAGGTTGGAACTCGACGGTATATGGCGCCTGAAGTACTGGACGGAGCTATCAACTTCACAAAGGACGCCTTCCTAAGGATAGACATGTATGCCTGCGCGCTAGTGCTGTGGGAGATCGCGTCAAGGTGAGCCCATTGTGCAATCTCACTTAATTTGCAGATTCACTTAAGATTCGGATGCAAGGTTGTATTGCTCAGACTTGTATATTAATACTCTATTAAGCCCCATGTTACTGTATCATAAAAAAACTAATGAATTATGAAAGATTTAATCATCTAGGCGTAAAAATAAATGTTACGAGTTGCGTGTACATGCGACGAGTTGGCGCCTCTTAATCGGTGCAATATTTTATCAGTAGACTCATCAGTTTTTTAACATAGACAACCGGAAATAACTCGACCTATATGAGATTTATTGGTTACCTTCGTTTTACAGTCCAAACCAGAATATGTGCCTTGACCTGTCGCAAAATCGAATAAAAGTCTATTAATAGTTAACCGAGTGGAACCTATTTCCAATGAATTTATTATTCGCTGAACTTTCTGGAACTCTTTTGGAGGCAGAACTAAGTTTAGAATCACTGCATTTATGTTATTGGGTCAAATTCATCACTTGTGAAGTGAGTGGACTAATATTTTTACGTTACGTTACGTAATTTGGTTAATTTGAAACGGTCTACTAACACGCGCTTAAAAAACTGAATCAAATCACTTGGACAAATTATAAGCTTCACGATTAAACATTGTAGATGCAGTGACGCAGCCCCAGAATTACCAGGACAGTACCGTCTGCCGCTCGAAGAGGAAGTGGGTTCACATCCCAGTCTTGAAGAAATGCAGGAAGCCGTGGTACAGAGGAAACTCAGGCCACATATACCACCGCACTGGCGTAATCATCCCGTAAGTTATTTTTTTTTATGCAGGTAGCTCAGTTTTCTTAATGGTTTAGAATTACAATCAGTTTCTTTATTATTATTTTCTGTGCTACACAATAAGCAATAAATTAAGATGTGATTTCAATAATTTGATTAATAAATTGCTTTATTAGTTTAGTGTTAAGTTTTCCTTCCCTCTTTAGTAGGTAAATTATTTTTAGTTTTTATGCTACCCATTTATTTAGAAAATAAACGCGTAACTTCATTTCGCCTATTCAATTTTCTGAACATACTTTTTTTCTATCTAAAACTTGTAGAACAGCATAACATGAATCTGTTTCTCCAGGGTCTATCAGTACTATGCGACACGATGGAAGAATGCTGGGACCACGACGCGGAGGCTCGGCTGTCCGCGTCGTGTGTCCTGGAGCGGGTCTGTGCCCAGCAGCCAGCGACGATGGCGCCGGCGCTGACGCCGGACACGACGCCCCTCCTCATCCACGAGCTCGCAGACCAGCAGCCCTGCTGACGTCACACCTACGTCGAACTGCCGCTCATACAGTTCTGAACAACATACTAGGTACAGACAACAATCGTTTAGTTAGTTAAAGTGAATATTTTTTTATCCTTCGCTGTACCTACAAGTGTTGCAAGGTTTGCTGTGACCGGTGTGTTAAAGGTAAAGTACAAATATTATGATGTGGACAATCAATTATACATTCTACTATGTATTATTGTAGCTGATGGTGTTTCAAGGTGGTATCGCAATATTCTAAGAGTCTTATAGAGTTGTCCTTTATTTCATTGTTTCATCTTTATAAGGGTGGTAACATTGACAATATATTGTAAAACATGGCTATAAAAAAGCTTATATTAATCTATTCAGTCCAATTTTAAAATTATTATGACTGTTCAAATACTTTTTGTATTGTATTTTTTTGTTTATTTGTAGTATAGCCTAATTTTACAGTACCACCTGAAACTATATTGCATATACACATACAACCTAGTTTAAAAAGTATTATAAAATTTCAAATCATTTGGATGTAGGTATCAATGAATTTAATACCACTGTGTGTGTATGTGTAATGCAGTTTCTTCATCATTTATTTATACGACATTAATGTGAAATAATCAATTCACTTCAAACCTTATTTTAGATATTTTTTTTTATATTGGCAGCACTCAACTATTACGGTAGCTAAAACCACAGGGGTAAACGAATCTATTGTAAACGTTTTACGATTATTTCGTTTTGAAATCAACTTACTAATGCGCACAATATATTTGATGGCACATCAATCAACGAAGCACACAGTCCAATAATATGTTCTGCGATAATTTAATTTGGGCACAAAGCAATAGGAATTGAAATGAAATCGAAAGTCACTACTAGTGTTACGTAATTGTATCCGAAACCCTGTTCCGCCTTGTAGACTCCTAGACATCTAGTCCTTAGCTAAACGACTGTTAATTTGTACTCGTGTCGCAATCTTGCGTCATAAAAAAGAAAAATACACGAGACTGCCACAAAACCTGTTTAAAATGAAACTAGAAAATTTCTATATTAATAATGCGACACGATTCACTAAAGTATGTTCGTTTGGCTCCTTTAAAAGCCGAACGACGAATCTACAAGTAAAATATAGAAAACGTTTAAACAAATAGCTGTGTTTAAATTCAACTTCGGTTCACAGATTGAACCAGACTAGCTGCCTAGTATAAACGACAGCGACCCTTTTTCCGAAGCAACTGTAATAACTCATCTCTAAATGCTATTCTCGTAGCGATCGGGTCGATTCCAAATTTAGAACGCGTCCTTTTTAATGATCTATGAGATTCCGACATGCCTAATTAAGGGCAGGTCGCCTTTGAATATTTAAAAGGGTAAGGAAATTACGACAGGATATGCGAATACTTTATATGTACACCATACATGATGTGTCAATTGAAAAAAGTAGCAACAGTTTGGGGTTAAAATGTCCTGTATAAAGTCCCGCGACCGAAATATCTGCAAGGCACGTTGTTCTAAGCGTATCAACAAGTACAATCTATTAGAGCGAGTAGACCCAGGCTAGACATTAAATTGGTTGCCACACAAACAACTTACTGAGTTATTCATAAGCATCCTTCGTAAACATCCTACCACGATCTAATGTATGGTAATTGTCGTTCGCGCTCCCTTTCCTTAACCGTTGGGACTTCCTGGCACTTGATACGTCGTACCACGTTAGCGGCGCAGTAACATAATGTTCCTGATAAATAGGATTATATCAAACTATTATCAGTTAAATAGATTATCTGAAGGTATATGATAAGGGCCTGCTTTCAAAGTTGCAACAAAATAACTTCAATATTTTTGTTTACGAAGTGCCCAGACAGGCCCTAAAACCATCGTATTTATCGTACATCGATGAACTCCTGATAAATGTAAATATTTATCAACATTATTTTTTTATAATTTCGACTAGTAATCTCGATCTTATTTATTTGATCATAAAGTCGATGTTTGTTTATACAATATTTTTCTTTAGTAAATTCGGTCTAAGTACTAACAAAATTGAAGCTTAACCAGGCTACGCTATTATTTAATACTCGTGTTATATTTTATTTTAGTAACAATATTGTTATATTCGTGTTTTATTTTTAGAAACTTTTTTTAATGTTATGGGGTCCCTAATGTGTGTAGATGAAATCAAACATTTATATTTTTGCTTGGTTAACATGGAGCAATTTATGTACGTAAGTTTAAGAAAATTATTTGTAGACTGTGTCTGAAGGAAGTGTTTAGTCTACAAGATAAGTGATTGCAATGAGCAGAATATAAATTGCTCCGTGTTAATGATATTTACGGTACAGCACTGCACTGCCAGAACAAAATGCTATCCCTATAACGGAATTGATCCGAGTAAAGGTAATTAAGTAATCTTGCCGGGCTCACACAGGGACCTCTTATTTAGTAAGACTGGTATTATTTGTATAATTGGCTTTATTTACTTAGTTTATTGGCTCATGATTTGTGAGACGTTCTAAAGTGCTAAATTATAATGTGAAATTGAAGCAATGAAATTAGTGTTAGTATTCGCATAAGTGGATGTCATTTGCTAAGTTTAATTTTAATGTTACTTAGCGCTAATCAGTCTTAGGTCGTGCGTCTGTTGAGGATTATCATTTACACGCCTAGTTTTGATAAAATGGAAAGTTAAAGTGTAAATAAAAATTCGATAATCGATTGGCTATTGGAGGGCTCGTGGCGCCACGAGTAATTGCTGGAATAACATTGAATTGAATAATAAAATATGTAGATTGGACTTAATGCGTGACTTGATCGTGTGAGTGATAAATCTTAATAGGAGCTAGTCGTAATATCATTGCGAATGTAAGTATACAGTACACGTTGTGCCATAGACTGGACTGGTTATGCTAACTGCACATAGTCAAGTTTTCAAGGAGAAACTCAAGCTTACAAAGTAATCTCCGTCGGAAACAAGTTGAAAATGTCGATCTACGCACTTTATATGTAAAAATAAAACTGTGATTTTGTCCTCTTGTGCCACTTCGTTGACAAATTCGGCCGAGTGACGCAAGAGAACAGACCCCTGAAAAAATATCATTGAAAATATTGTGATTTTAGAACATAATAATTGAAATATCAAAATGGGAAATCATAGAGAATTTGATTTACCTATGCCGTGTGCATATCACCACACATAGACTAAGTAATGTTGCCAAATGTAAATAATGTAGATCTAAGTCTAGTCTAGGATATTTTCGTCTGAATGTCAGAGTTTTAGGCTGTGGACACACTCACAGAACCTAGATCAATTAGATCAATATGAGATGAATTTATAGAACTGTAGATGTGTTTCTCTACAAGAGTGAGAAGTGAGGCTGGTTGATAGCTTATGTAAATCGCATATTGTCTTACAAATCTAACTTTGTAGAGAAACATTCTCCAGTTCAATGTTGTTAGTAAAGGCCTAATTCCATTGTAAATGTCCCGTGTGTTCACAGCTCTAGCATAAACTATTGTAAAAGAAGTAGTAAAAGTTAGATTGTGTAGTGTTTAGACACTCTTTAGACATTACGTTGATGTCAATACGTCGTGTCGTGTTTAGTCGAATAACGAATGTCTTAATGGCCATGTTTATCATTTATTTTTTATTTTAAATTAACAAACGTGAACGTCTGTTGAAATTTGATGTATTAAAATATATTTTCTAGACAAACAATATGTTTTATTTAAGTCTATTGACCTCGATTGGCTTGATGCCATCCAAAAATACTAAAATACCTAGCTATCTTCAACAGCTTTTACGCTTTGTGGTAATAAGAAAAAACACATGTAAAGTATACAAATGCTGATTCTTTATTATAATCCTTCACTGTACAATAGTATCGGGTAGCGTGTGTGGCGCCAGAGCTCACGACTCGACGCCGCGTACACAAACTAGTTTTATTTACTCGGAATTTGACTATATGTACATCGGCAGCGCGGACCCGCCGTGAGCCGCCGGCGAGACTATTGCGGGCAGCAGTCGTATCTCATATCTCAGATTCAATCAATAATACAAATTAATACATTATCATACTCTGCTAGTTGGTGTAGTACGGGTGAAGGTTAACTTTAGCCTATAACAAAAGTATTCCTAATATCGGTACTGATTTAATAGTTAACAATTACAGAAAGGTAATGTCACAAGTCTCGTTTTGCGTTGAACAGTTTGGGTACGGCAGGGCAAACTAAAGTTATCGGCGCGTACTCGGTGCACCACAGGTCACGGCGACACTGTCATGTTCCCTCACACCGCAGTAGCTGCGACGGCGGCGGCTAGGACGAGGGCGAGGGGCTGGGCGGGCTCGGCGCCTCGTCGGCCGCCGCGCGGCTGGCGGACGCGCGCAGGCAGTCGCCGTGCGCCTTGTACTCGATGGCCACGGTGGCGGGCAGCTGCAGGATGCGGCGCAGCGCGTCTCGCACGCGCGCCGCCATCGCCGTGTCCGACGCCGTGCGGTGCCACACCGCCAGGTGGTCGTCCTGCGACAACCGACCCTCGCATTACTACACTCACATTTATTGCATTTTCTTTAATGTCATCAGTGCAAGCTGCTTACCTGGAACCGTACGGATAGTACAACGCCGCAAAGCTCCGGGCCGACCATGAACTGCTCCCCCAACATTGCCATACACAAATCTTCCCATGCCCGACCCGTCTGTGTTTTGCGTAGCCGCACAACCTGAAACAAGCACAAAACAATTCTCTAGACAAAATTATTTTTAACCAACTGCAAAGAAGGTTCTCAGTTTGACCTGTATGTAAACATATATGTATGCATGTAGGAATGTTTATGTGCTATTATCTCGCGATTGGATGAAACCCATATTGAAGCAGTTTTTAGAAAAGGTAAAATGTAGAATTAGTTTCATAATAGTTGCTCACCCATTTCCCTCCATTGACATTGGCGGGGTCCTCCCACATGGGCTTGATGCCCAGTTTGAAGAGGTGCAGGTCGGACAGCGGCGGCAGCTCCGAGGGTCGCGCCAGGTGCGTGTACAGACCCCACCACTGTTCCACGCTCGCCACCCTACCCACCAAACGTAGCGCCTGCAATTCGACAACAAAAAATGTTTTAGATATTCGAAAAAGTATACAAAAAGTTCTAAGTAGTGTGGTGCATAGTTGTAACTTATAATTATGCAAAATAATTGCAATTTACCCATGTTGTGGAATTTGCCAACAAGTACATAATTGTTAATTTTTAAATGAATTGGTATGATTATAAAAAATAGTCATTTCTTCACCTCTTCATATTATATTTCTGTATGTATGCAATTATTATAACTTCTAATGATCAAACCTATTAAAATAGCAAAGAAGTTATTTTGAAATTAAAATTATTATAAATAGACGATGATGAGATGAGATGGTATTTGAATTTCATTTAGGTACCTATTTGGTGCGTTTGTGCGACGCGTAAAGTTTCGCGAGTTCAATTCCCGCCCGAAACAATATTTTATGTCATGTGATATATATTGATAAACACACCTACACCACTTAAATACTTAATATAATCATTTGTATTTTAAATTAGCTAAAGGAAAAGTACTAAGCATAATATTATGTAATTAGTACTCATTTTAGATTGCTGTTTCTGTTTTTACAACATATTCATTAAACCTACCATTTCTCATTGAATTGTAACTCCATTGAATATGAAATGGCATCATGCACAGTTGAATGTAGGTTGCTTCAGAAATGTACACAATACACTAGCATAGATAGGAAATAATTGAGTGACAATAGTTGACCTAGTTGAGTGGAAACTAAAGTTGCAGTCTCTGAATAAACAATTCATTCTTGGAGGCTGAAAATTCTTTTTGAAATGAGTTTAGTAATTCTTTGTTTCCACATAGAGTGCTATGAAATAAGAATAAGAATTTTATTTGCTCAAACATGTGTGTGCATACAGGATTAAAATAATATAGCATGCAAGATCTTAGAGAAAAGTGGCTCATGACAGGTCTGCCATTTATCATGGCGTGCAAATATCTATTATAATATAAGTGATAAAAGTAGCCTAAATTGACTATGTGCATTTTATGAGTGGGAGATATGGATACTATAAAAAAACTTAACACAAGATTTAAAAAATCCTCTTTTGTCTTTGAACAAAAGTTCATATCTTGATATTTTACTTTTTAAACTTCAAAAGTTAATCTGTACTCTGTACATGAAATAAAAACTCTAATTTGATTTTGCAAAAACTTTAGTTAGAATATTAAATATTTTTATGAAATAGGAAAATTTAAAAAAGAACAAAACAAGTAATTTTAGTATATTTATTAAGTTACTACTACCTTCATAAAATTAGGGTCATGCTAATAAATGCAAATCCATAGTGGTATGGATAATTTAAATGTTAATAGGTATTAGAAAATTTCTTAAGTTATAAATTGTTAATAGATTGTCATAAAACAAAGTAAGTGTAAATATTAAAATGTTATTTCTGAGTATAGTTTCTTATTTAAGGCTTTGGTAGTTATGTGTTTACAATATAGACAAGTTATTTCTTTTCCTTTCAAGTAGGTTCAATAGTGGATGTATAAGTTAGACAAAAGTTTGATACTTAGAAAGTAACTTTTTGTCCAATGAAGTATTGAAAACAAAAGTTTTGTACCAGTGAAGTACTTACCAACTTTAAAAGTACTAAAAATAGTTAAGTAGGCCCACCAACTGTGCCATATTGATAAACATATGTAAATTACATATAATTTGCATATTTATACAATTTCTTTTGTCTACTTTTTGTAAGAAGTTGTTTAGTACTTCAAACAAACATTTTAGAAGAGTTATTGTTTATAGCTGTCTTGTGGGTTAAGTGGTAAAATAGCAGTAAGTTTGACAAATACGCTGTAAGTTAGGGCAGGATGGACATCAGCTAGAACTGCTACAAACCTGAACGTAGCCTGAAGGAGTAGTGGACAGCTCGCGCGCGGGAGGACGCCGCGAGAACCACATCCAGTAGGAGTACTCGAGCTTATGCTCGTGCGCCGGCACGGGAGGCGGCGTCGCCTCGTCAGAGTTCCTGTCATCCTCTTCATTGTTACCGTGGTTCTGGTTAACGCCACCACCGTGGCCACCCTGGCCACCTTCCCCAGATCGACGTTCAGGTACGTTTAAATTGTAGAACTTGCACATTTTCCTCTCTGTCATGTTATTTTAAATGAACTAACATGTTTCACCAACGGCCTAACCTAGGACACGTTGCTTTAATTGAACTATCTGAATGTATACAAAACTCAAATTATGATTCTATAATTACACAACACAATTAAGAGATAGGTACACCTAAATAATATTTAATAACAGTTATTAAATACGTTTATCTTAAATCAACCTATTCCCTCTTTTACTGTGTATAACCTTTTTCTTTCCGTCATCAAAATTCAAATCTGTCATTTGACAGCATGGGTATCTAACATGCGACCAAATTCTATTGTGTTTATTTGCAATAAAATGAAGACGAAACGATAACTCGATTTCTGTAGAGCGAAAGAGTAAGCAACAGAATGCTCTACTACCATTTTAATTTGATGGTATAATTTAGCCCTAAAAATAAAAAATGCGTTCGTCATCGGAAAGTTTGAAACATTATTAATTTTAGACATCGCTGCATTATATAGGTCTAAACATTGAATTATATTTTTAGAATTCTTTTAATGAAATGTGTCGTGTTAAAATTATTTTTATCTCATTTTCTCATTTTGTAGTTTTTTTATTTCGCAAAAGCGTAGGGTTTGTTTGATGGGTTGGCTAATGTCAATCTGTGTCAAAGTCAATCTGTCAAAGATTGTTATTGAAAAAATTGTTTAACGTCAAATAGTCGGCGGGACAAACGAAAACATTCGCAAAATTAAAGAAAAATAAGTAAATACATCGTTTTGCTGATAAAAAGTTTCTTCAAATCTATAATTCTAGTCATAAGTGCTTACTTGGTTAAGTTATTAACAACTGTTTATGCTTGTTAACTTGAAAATCTGTGTTGTGTTGAAGTGCACTAGTTTTAGACAGAGACATGGATAAAACTGAATCTATCGGTAGAAGTAGTATAGAAGGGTGCATGAACATCGATTTGATGCGGTCGCTGGTGAAGCAGTATTCTGAATTGGTAAATAAATTATTATTTTTAGAGTTAATGTAGATCTACACAATTGAGTAGGTTATATACCTAACTTGACTTGTTAAAATTGTAAACTGTTGTACAGTATGACTTATATTGTGCATAACATATGCTTTCCAGGGCTGTGTAGACTGTATGGTACACTGCAAAATCGAACTATTGCCATAGTAATTTTACTCTGTACTATGTTAATTCATTAATTTTGATATTCTTCCCTCTTACTTGCTGTAGAATCGAAATAGACATTATTTTGACTTCTACTAGTTCCACTAAATTTGAAATTGTGTTTCCAAAGTTGAATATAGTCTAAAAGTCAAAGCATTTATTTCAATTAAACCATAATTTGGTACTTTTGAGACATCAACAAATACAAAATAAATAATAGTCTGTCAGTCAGTCCGTCAGTGAAGCCAGGTGAAGGTAGGTGCTCATTCCAAAATGTAGATTCGAATGGAGAAGAACAAGAAAGAAACTCCTTCATTACTCTTTTAAAAAAAGTATGTGCTACAATGTCTCTGATACATGTTCCTATACTGTATGTATATACAGTAGTAGTAGTATACATGTTCCTATACTGTATATACATACAGTATAGGAACATGTATACTACAAATATGATTGAATTTTATTCATATTATATATTTTAGGGACAATGGACCAGTGCCCTGTTCTGGGCGGATGCTGCAGCAGCTGCGGCAGGTGGAGGGCTGGACTCTGCCAGCGGTGACGATGTTTGGCTGCTGGCCAGTGCCATGCTCGCCAGGGGAGAACTACATAGAGCTGCACATGCAGTCACCTCTAGAGGACTTCATAGGTAAAATGAAAAAAAAGTAATGCTTTTCATAGTTTTTATTTTAAATGACAACATTATCTGTTAGGATCTGTTTATTTAAATAAACACATAAATACATAAAAAAAAATTTACACACATCTATAACCTAAAAAGTGGCCACTGCTGACCAATGGCCTCTTCTCACACGAGAAGGTTTGAGCATTAATCACCATGCTTGCTCAATGCGGGTACCAATGATCTTTCATTTGCACAAATCAGATTCCCTACACATTGTAATGTGCAGTGTTACTGGATTTGATGAACTGAAGAGATAATTTGTTTTTGCATATATAACAAAATGTATCATAACTAATATACTTCTGTATAACCCTAGACGTCATTTACTATGCCTGGGCGTAGCAATGCGCGCGTTCCTGGCGGCGCGGGAGCCGGCCACCGCCCTCAACTTGATGGACGAGTGCGATCCCATGCTGCTTGAACCCAGGAACACTGACCAGACGCATAATGTAAGGAATGTCTTCTTTTTTTATTTAATGTCGGGCCTCTTATTCCTCGTAAGATTAAAGAGAGATTAAATTAATTTTATACCTACTTTTCTTCAAAATCTCTTGTTTGGTAGTTGAGTTTGTTTAACATATAACTATATATGACTGAAATGGACAAATTAGCCCGAGTCTGAAAATAAAACTGATATGATGTTACTTAGGGGTACATGTATGTAAATTAGAATGTTTTGTTGAATCTTCAACTTTCAAGCAGTGGTTTATCATTGGGTGTTGATGTAGTGTATATGGGGTTAAATGTTCCAGCGCGCCCTAGCAGGCGTGTTAGTATGGCAGGCGCGCGCGCTGACGGCGCTGGAGCGGCGCGAGGCGGCGGCCGACGCACTCGCCACCGCGCTGCGGGCTGACTGCGCGCACTACGAGGCACTCGACCTGCTACTGGAACAACACGCGCTCACCCCGCACCAGGGTATGTCTTGGGGACCGGGATGATGTACTCCTACTCTGTCTTAAATATAAATACAATGTTAAGCATATGTATTTCGATTGTAAACATTTTTAAATAGGTACTTCTTATTTCCCAGTTGTTTTTATAATGCCTTGGGAAAAATAATATAACATAACAAAACATCACGCCTTTTATCCCCGAAGAGGTAGGCAGATGTGCACATTATGCTACTGTACAATGTAACACCCACTTTTCACTATTTATGTTATGAGTCCCATGTAATAGTGGGTGTGCCTATTGCCATATACCGGGCACAATTCCAGACTCCGTGCTACTACTGAAAATTTTTTAAAAACCCAGTAATACTTTGTCCGACTCGGGAATCGAACCCGAGACTCCTGTCCGGCAGTCGCACTTGCGACCACTCGGACAACGAGGGGAAAATAAGTATTACTTATAATAATGTTCTTAGGGCGTAATCCTACTAATTTTATAAATGCCATAATTTGGGAATATTTTCAGCATATTTGGCACGAAGATAGATTAGTATACATATAGTCTTAAATAAGACATGGCCTTTTTTCCAGTAACGCAGGCGAAGTTGTTGGCAAAAGCTAGTAAATTAAGTATTTGTGGATATGTTTCAGAGAGTGAGTTGATCGAGTCGCTCCCCATCAACTCCCAGCTGAGCGCGGCGGAGGGCGCCCTGCTCCGCGCGGCCTACAGGCAGCGCCTGCACCGGTACTCGCCCGCACCCGTCGCACTGCCGCCGCCCGATACTGACTGCCCCGTATGTATACTTCTATTATTTCCACTTGACATAAAGCAGGTATTTTTTTAAAACTGGGACAAGCCATCAAACGTTCCACGTGATGTTAAGCAATCGGCGCCGCCCTTCTTGGGGTTAGGGATTTCAAGATTGGGGGATTTAGGGATGGGAAACGATTGATCCTGAGAGGCGATCCATTTTCCTCGTTTGCCGCCTATATTCTTTACAAAGGCAAAACTAACGTGTATTTATATTTCAGATAACAGCGGAGGCGGAGACGGTGGGAGGTCGTATGATGGAGGCGGCCCAGAGCCGCGCGCGGCGCCTGGCCGCCGCCTGCCGCTGGACGGACGCCCTGCGCGCGCTCGACACTGTCGACCCCTGGTGCTGCGTCGAGGTAACTCATTCGATTTTAATATTATGCCAAAAGCCTTTACAATGGATCATGACCTGCCGTTTGTATTCGAAAGTCAAATGTTGTCTTTAGACTAATGTTCAATCAAAACAAAGTGACAAACTACACTCCTGTACACTCTACGGGCCTTATCGTTGCGCGTCCTTGCCACTTTGAACACGCTCGCAATCCGGCAGTATTATAACGTCCGACGGTGACTGGTTGCAGTTTTTGTGACTGTGTCACGTCACACATTCATTAATGTAATGCGGGGCTCGAAGGACCACATTGACTACACTTTGAGGTGTAACATTTTAATTTGTGATATTAATGTTGATATACGTAACTATGTATGTATGGGTTTTAATTCTAATCTATTATTAAGGACTTGCATTGCTTCATTCATATTCATCAGTCTGGTCATCGTGGGTAAGAAAACGTTTAAGTTCCTCGTATGTGCAAAAGTTGCCACCCTGCTCGATAGATGGCGTTGTACAATAATAGCGTTGTATTGAATCGCGCTATGGTTTCGTTACCAGCGTTTGGTTTGGAGGGCTTTCTACGGCACCTATTTATGATGAGGAACAATGTTAACCTTTAATTATCAATTTTTGATAAAAACTCATGGTCGAGAGACTAGTGAGTTTTATGAGAGATGAAAAATAGAGATGACGGAGTATACAAATTAAAAACCTTACTCCTTCAATTAGGTAATAAAAAGTATTCGACACGTATTTTTTTATTTCGTCGTATAAGAAAGCAATACTAAGATAAAACGAATCAAAGTTTCGAAGTGGGCGCTAGCTACGTCATATCTACGTATAAAACGTACCTAGAAGTGACGTCACGCGATATTTCAAATCAATATATCGTCGAAAGTATTTGTTCCGTGAGATTTTGTCATCTGCCCTAATGTAGTAGTACGTATCCACAGGTCCGCGCAGCGTGCCTGGTGGAGTTGAAGCGTAGTTCGGAACTGTTCGCGTTCGCGCACTCCTTGGTGGACGCGTACCCTCACGCCTGGACGTCCTGGTACGCCGTCGGCTGCTATTATTATCTTATTGGTGAGATTTTTTTACATAATTTATATATTTTACTAGCGACCCACCCTGGCTTCGCTCGGGTTCAATATGCATGTATTATACATATAAACCCGCCTTAAGAATCACTCTATCTAATAAAGAAACCCGCTGCGTAGTTTTAAAGATCTAAGCATACATAGGTACAGACATACGGCGAATAGCGACTTTGTTTTTTACTATGTAGTGATTTAAACTATAATGTCCACGCGTGCATAAGCTAGACTTAATTAATACCTATAAGGCGGACTTAAATATGACTTTCTCTACCAGTCGACCTTTGACATAAACATAAACTGCCTCGTTGGTCGAGTGGTCGCAAGTGCAACTGTCGGGCAAGGGGTCTCGGGTTCGATTCCCGAATCGGGCAAAGTATTAGTGGGTTTAAAAAAAATCGACCTTTGACGTAATGAAATAATAATAATCTTGGTCTTCACTTTCGGGCATTGTAGATATATAAATTTTCACGTGAGAGACCCACGGGGTGCGACAAAAGAGCCGCAATAATACCTCGTTCTTACATACGAGGTACAGAGACCCTATTGATACAGAGCAGTTGCTCTGTATCCATGGGCTGCCCTGTAAACCGTGTGCTCTAAATGAGCAACCTTCAATCCCGCAAATATTAATTTTGTTTTAATTGAAACGGTATACTCACATGAATTAATTGACATTGAGTGAATAAGCCGTTGTAGATTTAGTGGTTGTAGATATGCTGTCTTTATTAATCGGTCAATGACGGTCTGAGCACTGCTATAAAAATATATTGTTCCACACACACACAAGGTCATACAGACATACAATTAGATTATTGATAATTTATCGCAACTGACACGCGGATAAGTAAGGAAACGTGTTAACTCTTACATATAATTTCATCGACTGGACACAGCTTGGGTTAAAGGAATAATGTAAATAGACACCTCACACATCTAATTATATACGTATTACATAAACAATTGCATGCTAGTGTGTCCCTACACCGTTATTTTCAAATAATTTACTTTGTATCACGATAAGTTACTGTACAAAAATATCTATTATTTTGCCTTAAATAACTCTGTGGTACAGGTAAGAGTGAGTTAGCGCGTCGCTACCTGAGCAAGGCGAAGAGCTTGGAGCCCAGCGCGGGCTGTGTCTGGCTCGCCTACGGACACAGCTTCGCCGCGGACAACGAGCACGACCAGGCCATGGCTGCGTACTTCAAGGTAACTCTCAACCTCATTGCTTTGGCAATAAAGCGTAGTTATCTTTCATTGTTAAATAAAATCACTGCTTGCCTCTTGCACCTACCATTTACTCTTCTCTGCATCACCCAAAGGTCAGACTAGTAGAAAATGCCTGCGGCATTAAGTCCACCTTTTTGTACATTTTGTGCATGAAGCATTCTTACTAATATTATAAATCGGAAAGTGAGTTTGTTTGTTTGTTCCACTTTCGCGCCGTAACTACTAAACTGATTGCTTTGAAAAGCTAGTATTAAATAAATAAAATAAATAGTTCTGTTGAAGTGTGGGAGATCCATGTTTCGACATGGATTGACATTTCGAATGGGCCGGCGTGGAACAATGTTTGTATTATGTATGGCCGTGTTAATCAGGTTACCGAGGGGAGATCCTCACGCCCAATTGTCAAATTTCCAAACCCTAAAAGCCGCTAAGCCGCATCTACCTCCTCTAGTGTTCCGAGTGTCCATGGGCGGTGCTGATTGCTTACTGTCAGGTGATTCATCGGCTCGTTCGCCATCATATACTTAGATGCATACATACAATGACATACATAATCGTAAACACGTGTTTTTTTTTCAGGCTAGTCAGCTAATGTCAGGCTGCCACTTGCCCCCGCTATATGTAGGAGTGGAATGTTCCCTGCTAAACAACTTCACCATGTGCGAGCGGTTCCTTACCCGGGCCGCCTCGCTACACAGCAACGCCAAGGTCAAGGTCAGTGGAGTATCATATACACTGTAGAATAAAATAGATCCTGAACACCGCCATTTACTTATTTAATAAGCTCTGTTTATTCATCATATTTCAACAAATCGGTTTACAATATACAGTGTAACAATCAATTAAAGGTTATTATGCACAAGAAAATAATTATTTATTTATTTATACTTTATTGTACACACAGAAACAAATTGTAAACATTGTATGTTACTCGATAAACTAGAAAATCTTGTTGACAAGCAAGCATTCGCGTCCACGGACATGCATGGCTGTCCCACGAGAAACTAACTGTATGTACAAAATTATACAAGACAAAAAATCCTAAATTCATTACTCCACGCACGCGGACAAAGTCACGCCCAGAAGCTGGTTATGAATTGAAATTCAAGTTTGTAACGAACACCCAGCGCCATCTAGTATAATTTATCTAAAACAACCATTTTATTATGAAGATTGATCACACATACAAACCATCCGCCTTTATTAGCAGAGTTGTCTTCGAACAAATCATCATTCTACTAGCTAGAGGATCTGTGGGTGGGTAGCCACGCATCCTACTCTTAACCTAAGTATGATTAACTCCAGTTCGATAGCTCAGCGGTCTTCTGGAATTAGCCAGCTAGGGGAGGTCTGAAGACGACGGCCACGCAGTCGTTTTCGTACCTTGTTCTACGAGAGCTACGATATTTTTACTTACCAATAAGCGATAATGAGAACCAAACCTCACGCTACTTTAGCATCATTTGATGAGCAAATAAACAGTAGTTCTCATTGTCAGAAAACTATAAACATGAAGCAACGCTTGCGTTGTGTTTCGTGTGAGTGAGGTTACCTGAGGCCCAATTACCTTCCCCTTCTCCAATCTCCCCAATCCCTGAATTCCCAACGATCCTCAAACCCCTAATCTCCATAAAGCCTGAACGCACTTGTAACGCCACCGGTGTTCCAGGTGTCCATGGGCGACGCCGATCAGGTGATCCGTTTGCTCGTTTACCGGCTTATGCCATAAAATAAAAGCATGTGTCCAGGCAGTGGAGGAGGGCGAGAGTGTGGGCGACAAGGCCCGCTGGTGCCGCGTGGTGTCGGCGGCGCGCGACCCGCACGTGGCGCACGAGGCGGGCGCGGCCGCGCTGGCCGCCGGGGACTGCCACGCCGCTAGGACACTCTTCACACTCGCGCTCGAAGCCGCCACGCCGCCCGACAAACAGGAGGTCCGATTTTATATCTTTTTATAGAGTTTTTTCGTCATTTTGTAAAAATAATGTACATTTTGCTACCTGATAAAGTGTTTGTTACTGTATTTTCTGCACAAAAAACTTTCGTAAATCTCGAAAAAAATGTCTTTTCGTAAAAAGTTGCTCAGATTTTGTTCGGGCTTTTACTTTTTGTTTAGAATTCTATGTAGAAGGGAAAGATAAAAAGAAATTAACTCTATTCTTGCGCAAATTGAATGTGATCGCGCAAATTTAGCGCAACAAAGACAACAATACTATCTAAAATACTTGCGCAACCTATTTCCTATCCTTAACATATTAATCTATCTGACCCCAGGTGAGTCCCCGTTGGGCGGCGACACTAGACGCTTTAGGCCATGCGTGCCGTGCGCTAGGCCGGCCTCGGGAAGCCCTAGTCTGGCACGGACGAGCCCTAGCGCTCCGCCCCGCCCGGCCTGCGACACTATGTGCAATGGGCCTCTGCCACGCTCTGCTCGGAAAGGAGAGAGATGCAGCTGCATTATTACACGCAGCATTAGCACATGATCCTGATGACGTAGTGGCGCTGGCGTTACTTGATGCCATCGTGGATCGACTTGATGCTCAACTCACAGGTGTGTATGAAGAACTTGTGTTTTTGAGTTAAAATATTATTTGTGCTGGTGGAATAAACAAAACCTAATAGTCGGGATTAGATATAAACAGACAATGTTTTCGAAATGATGTCACCTGTACCTGTATTGACTATGCAGACAACGCACTGTTACATAATGTTAATACGGATTACTTACGTCACTTGTATTCCTAGGCTAGTTTGTAATGAGTTTATATAGGGCTCCGGTTAAACATTCGTTAGTCGTAATAACTAAACCGCAACATGTAATTCTAAGATTACATTCGACTATAATACAACCTCATCTCTTTGTAACGGAAAATTACTATTCAAACAGTATTTCTAACATCAATATCTTATTAAAAATATATCTTATTTAAAATTTCAGAAGAAGAAATCCCCCAGTTCCCGTTCCCAGCGGTGAACATCTCCCCCCCGGCGGCGCCCATAACGCCGCCTGCCGACGCTACCAACACTTCAGACATGAGCATGAGCTTCGACTAGTCAACATCAGCTACTTAAATTTCACTATATACCTTATTCCAATCTAATAAGGTTCATTTATGTTGTTTACATTACGTGCGCATTGACGAAATTCTCAACAAATCAAAGTAATCAATGCACACTTATTAATATTGTATTATTTACCTTGTATCAATGTAATAAGATCCATTATAGTTCTACACACATGTTCGCTAGCAATACTTCATGTAGCTTCGACTAGCCAATATTGGTTATTGTATTATATGCCTTGTGTCATTGTAATAATGCATATTTTTGCTGTTATGTGATCTTTGTTCGCTAGCGTCTCACCCATTCAAGTTCAGAATGTCCCTATGTCGTGTCCGATTAACATACAACAACTAAACACAAAGCCAGGATTACTTCCAAAGTGAGTGCACATCGCGATAATCTTGAATTATAAAATTAGTCCCAATTTCCATTGGTTACATTGCATTACGCGAACGGCTGGACCGAATACGCTACTACCAATAGGGATGTGACAGAGTATCAAAATTAAAAATCCATTTAGTCCGTCAGTTAGGTAATGAAAAAATATTAGACACGTATTTTTTATTTTGTCGTATAATAAAATGATACGAATCAAAGTTTAGGAGTGGGAGCTAAAACGTCATTTCTACGTATAAAATGTACATAGAAGTGACATTACGCGATATTTCAAATCAATATATCGTCTACTGTATTAGTTTCTGTAAGAAATTAAAAAATACGTGTCTTATGTTTTAAAATAATTTGACAGACGGACATTAAAATAAAATTAGTCATAGCTACACTATTAGAAGCCGACCTTCCGATTGGTCCATTCTGAACTTGACAGAAAAATTAAATACGAATATCTAATTACTATATGTAGTATTGTGCTCTTTATTTTAATACTGTTTAATAGAGATCTACCGTAAACAGATTACTCTACATATTGTATATAGATTGCGAAAATAGCACACTCATTGGATTGTGCCACTAATGTACTGTAAACAGAAATTATCGATAAAATAAAAATATTTATAAATTAATCTTGTTTCACTTCCTTATTGTTTACTTCATTAGTATCATAGTGGGTCGAAAAAATCTTAGAATGACATGAACGCGATAATCTCGCGATCAGAGATGTCTACATTATACCTAAATATATTTATAGGCATTTCCCCGCCTGCATCAGGATCGGCCATTGCGTGGGTATTTGGCATATAATAAGATAAAACACCGAGTCACAATGTAATGTCTTCTTAATCACTAATCTAACTAAATTTATGAAAAATTATAATATTGCGCGGAACTTTGACGGTTCGTCGGAGATTTCTCGCGCACGCCATTCATAACCGTAGTCTGGTTCAAAAATATGGCGGCGCTGTTCTCGACATGACGCTCCGTCAGAATGACTTCTGTGGCTATATCTCATCCTTGTTCCAAAACCAATAATAGACGGCGCTGTGTTAGGACTTTACTGTTAATACGCATCCGTGCCTAGCAGGAATGGTGCAAACTCAGAGACCACTTATATTCATGTTTTCTAAGGATCCCATAAAAAAATTATCTTGTCCGGAATTACTTCAGACAATTTTCCTAAAATTAGATTAGGGTATGTGCCACCCGCCGAGAAATACCACTTCGAGAATTACATGGCGTGATGTTTTGATAATGTGCTATGAGTTCGAATGCACTTTCGAAGTTTACTTTTTGCAATAGTTTACCAATTATTTTTTGTTTCAAACATTTTATTTCTTTGTAAAACCATTGTTTTAGACAAAATCATTTTATTTCTGGACAAAAACGTAATTTTCACGGTGGAGTATCTATTAACCCCATTCCTGTATGTGTTTACTACGTTTTACCGTAAGTACCGAAATATTCTAAAACTAATAAGCCAAATGTTAAGGCTATCTTCGTTTTGATAACTTCAAAGAACGGTTTTTTATTTGATCTGTAAATACATATGTTTGCGATTATCTCACGTTTGCCTAAGCCGATTTTGATGTGGATTTTCGGAAAAGTATTCATGAATCTCTTCTTCGGTGAAAGGGAACTTTTTTCCTTCTTTGGCAACCGAGTTTCCAAAACAGTGTGGTCGACTACACTGCCAGTGTCAAGTGGTGACTGCAGAAACTGTCGAAAAAAGGGAACTTTGTAATTAGACATTTTGCAGTGTTCATTTTGCAACAGATCTGTCAGTGTAGAATATTTAACATAACATAACGCCTTTTATCCCCGAAGGTGAACATTACGGCACTTAATGCCACTGTACAATGCAACACCCACTTTTCACTATTTATGTTATACGTCCCATGTAATAGAAGGTGAGCCATATTTCCATATACATACCGGGCACAACTCCAGAGTCTGTGCTTCTGCGAATTTAAAAAAACCCAGTAATACTTTGACCCGGGTATTGAACCGAGACCCCTTGCCCGGCAGTTGCGCTTGCGACAACTCGGTCAACGAGGCACTTGCATTGTAAAATATTTATTTTCAATCGAAAGTTATTGTGTAGGTACGTAAACGCTTATGTATAATGTGTCTTATACTACTACTAAAACTTTGTTTGAACGTGGTAATCTCAAAAACTAGGTAATCTAATTTGAAAAAATATTTTTATAAATATATTAGTCCATTTATTTATTATCGCCTTCCTAATAGCGTATAGGCTGTAAAACATCACGCTAGGAGCTGAGCTGAACAGAGCGGGTGTGACCGCGCAGAAGTACGTAGTCCTTACTATATAATATTATAAACTAGCTTCTGCCCGCAACTTCGTACGCGTAATCCCATTTTTTCCCGTCCCCATTCGTGATTTTCGGTAAAAAGTAAAAAAAAATTTGGTCAAAAAGTATCCTATGTCGGTCTCCTGGCTCTAAGCCTCCCTACCAATTTTAAGCCAAATCTATTCTGCCGTTCTTGAGTTATAAGTGGTGTAACTAACACGACTTTCTTTTATATATATAGATTGGAAAGTGAGTTTGTTTGTTTGTTCCACTTTCACGCCGTAACTACTAAACCGATTGCTTTGAATTTTTGCAGATGTGAAGTTAGAAGTCTGGATTAAATAATAGGGTACTTTAAAAGCTAGTACTAAATAAAATTAAGCCAATCATTTCTAACAGTTTATCTGCCGGCCGCCGCTTATATCAGACAATAGAAAACATCTCGCATAGTCTACGTTCCCGGTATGCCACGAGTTAGGGCTCGCACACAAAACTGCGATGCGACGTCGCAACGCAAAAATGTGCGAGCTTCCTCTGTGCATCGCAAGAACTTGCGAATTCGCTGAAATCTTTGACTTGGCAATTGATTTCGACTAATTAGGGACAATTTTTTTGTAAAAACAGATCTTCACTTGGAGCCCCAGTTTTCGAGATATACATGTGGCCAAGCTGGGGAGACTCACCAGCTCGACCACCTATAAACCCTTATGACTTTTGAATTAGTGAACGACTCTTTCTGATATTGGCGACTCATTTCGACTATTTAGCAACAATTTGTTTGTGTTATCAAAAATTTAATTTGTCAGAGAGAGTGACTTTCCTGTATCCCCTAAGCAAGAACAGAAAAGCATTCTTTACGATCTATGTCACGACCTAGGTTTCGCATCGCAGCAATTCGTGTCGTAAGTTTATGCATTACGAATTTGCACCGCATCGCAGTTTTAACCTTTCGTGTGTCTAAACGCGGATCCACGCGAGACAATGCATTTTCTGTGTCTCTTATCGGTGCATTCAAGCTCAATATTAGGCTATTTACGAGCCCTAAATAGCCCGATACCCTTGTATGATTTTTTTTTTTGGTGTCCTCAAGTAAATAAGTGTAATAAATACGTGTTCAGGGGAAAGGCGGAGGGGAGTCGTGAAATAATACAAAGAAATTTGCAATAACAAGTATATTTTGTATAGTTAAAAATCAAATAAGCGATTCACATAAAATCAACATTTCGTTTTGAACATCCTAGTATGTTAAAACCATGATTATACATTTTAAAAGCCCATTTTAAAAAGTTTAAAATTGCTACTATAGGGCTTACTAGGAGGCACATTTAAAATTGATTAAAATCACCTAATTCTAATAGGCACATACGTAAAATTTGTCTAAGGAACATTTCTACGCTGTTAGCGTATTACAATATAATTTGTTTGATAAAATTATCAACTACATAGTTACATAACGGCATACCGTTACATATACAATGCAAAAATAATCAGCACTTGATAAATAGTAAACTTTAACCGCCCACGGTCGGATGTAGCTGACAAATGAAATGTTAATTGACAGATCGTGTCGATAAAGACGTTCCATTTGTCGGCTTTACCAGACATTCAAAGGGATACAATAATATCCAAATAATTTAATGAAAAAGTATAACAAAAAGTAATTAAAAATAAAGTGTAGATATAGAAACAAGTCTACACATTACAAAATATAAACATAATTAAGAATTAAATGCAATAATTGAGATCAATAATCGAGTTGTCGATAAGTACTCGAATGTACGATAACGCTCCCGTTCAAGTTTAAATTTAGGTCAATTTATCAAGGGAATATGAATTTGATAATACACAAACTAAAGTTCATTTTACAATGACATTGAAGTTTTAAAATGTGGAAGTTACATGAAATAAAACTAAAATACTAAAGTAAAAATGGAGGTTATCAAAACGTTCGAGTACCTTACCGTAATGAATCAACAAACAAGCAAAATGTTGGCGAAGCGCCGAACTTAATAGCGGGTCGACAACAGCGGGCTGCAGCTTACTGCAGGGCCATGGCGTAATGTAATGCGGGCCACGGCGTAATGCAGGGCCGTGGCGTAATGCGGGCACTGCAGGGCTGCGGCGCGGAGGACTAGTTGAGCCAGCTGGAGACTGCGCCCTCGGCCGCGTCGTCCCCGCCGCCCTCGGCCTCCTCGCTCACTCCACTGCCGCCACTGCCGGGCTCCTCGCTCGTGCCGCTCGTACCGCTCGTCGCGGGAGATGGTGTGCCTATAAGAATAGACAAGACGTATAAGTTGTAAGAATCACAATCAAAATAAACGTACTCTGAAGACAAATTATTAAGTTAATTTGCAGTATATTTAACTCCAGTCAGAAATACTCTGAAAATATTTAGAAAACGGTTTTAAGAGACGAGACGTAGTATTTCTCCGAGTGTACGAGACTCAATAATAATTTTATTGGCTGAGATTTTAGAAACCAGATATTCGAACTATGAAAAAACAAACAACAACCTCTCAGATATGGTTCAGTGATATTCATAATTTGTGCCAGTCAGTTCTATCTAAAAAAAAAACGACGTTGGGTACACAACGAGTAATGTAATAAACGGAGTACTCACTTTCGTTAGCGTGTCCGTAGATACCATTATAATTGTGGTGGTCAGTGGTATCCTGCGTGGGCAGGATGGCGCGTGTGCTGGTACTCTTGGAGTTGCGCATCAGTGGCTTGTGGTTGTCGGTCGAGTGCTGCCACGACCAACACGACCGGCAGAAGTAGCTGGAACAAGAATAAAACATTTTAGACAACGTTGGAAATATGTCTTCAATGAGAGATATCGTTAAGTGAGTTCACGCTATACAAGCGCCGTTTAGTTAGCACAAACATTTAAAATTTCTAAGAAAGAATAACAAATCCAACTTTTTTTTAAACAGGATGGTACAATTTTTTAACACAACATAACATCACACCTTTTAACCCCGAAGGGGTAGACAGGTGTACGTTACGGCAATTTTCACTATTTATGTTACGAGTCCCATGTAATAGGGGGGAGCCTATTGCCATACACCGGGCGCAATTCCAGACTCCGTGCTACTACTGAGATTTTTTAAAAAAGCCCATTAGTACTTTGCCCGACCCGGGCATCGAACCTGAGACCCTCTGCCGCGCAGTCGCAATTGCGACCACTCGGCCAACGAGGCAGCAACAATTTTGTATAATATACTTTAGTTGAAAGACTAGTGATATAAACGAATTTAAATGCAGTATAAAGTCTATCATTACTGTCAGCTGTGTGGTACTAAGTACTGTAACTCACCCGAAGCAGGTCGGCTCCCGACAGAAGTACGGCCCCTGCTGCAGGTTGCACACGGAACACATCGAGTCCTCTAGGTATGGGTTCACTTGTACCTGGAACAAGACAATATAAGATACATACATGTACAAAACTCAAAACAGTCCCACACATCCCTTAAGGGATATGCAGTACCTATGTACCTCATACTTGTAATGTGTCGTCCTTTGTAATATTGTCTGTGTGGTGTAGGTATATGAAATTATAAATAAATAAACAGTATTGCTGACAAAGTACTGGCTGTAACTTATACTTTTGTCTGTCAATATAAGGGACAATAGAAAACATTACGTCTCGCGTAGATGTGTTCAGAGTGCCAAGCACGAATAACTATCGCATTCGTACCGTATCGAGCGCGTTCGGCGCTCTGATTGGCCGGCTCAAGTGAACCAACCAATCAGAACGCTTAACTCGCTCGATAAAGGTTAATTTTTCATAATAACCGCCCTTAACCGCTTGAATATACCGGCGTATATTATAAAACTAGCTTCTTCCGCGCGGTTTCACACGCTCTGCTTAGCTCCTATTGGTCGTAGCGTGACGTTTTATAGCGTATAGCCCTTCCTCGATAAATGCGCTATCTAACACAAAAAGAATTATTCAAATCAGACTTGTAGTTACGGAGATTAGCGCGTTCAAACAAACAAACAAAAAAACAAACTCTTCAGCTTTATAATATTAGTATAGATGGCAAATACATGTCGCGCATATATCTGCATGTTACTACGGGTTAAGTTTGTATTAGCAAAACACTAAAACACGTGTTAACTGATCACAAATACTAACATTAGTTGTGCCAATGTCGAATGACTGTTTAAGGCGAAACAAGCTATAATAAGATAGTCAATAAAGTTCAAAATAGCACGACACACATTACATACCTTTTTAGTGAACTTGTCAGTATGTATCTGTACGTAGGCGGCGGAGATGGCGCGCACGTACGAGCGCACGTTGTTGAACGTCACGCGACCTGAACCGATCGGGTACTTGTACTTGTCCGTGTCTATTCCTGTAATATAACAATATTAAAACGGTATTACAGTAATTAAACAGTAATTAATACACAATTTTTATCAGGTACACAGTATTAAATTAACCCCTCGAGCGTCCTTATGAGCACCCGGTGGATCATAAAAAATGCACCATGCTGTTTTCTCTTTTATAAAATTTATTATTAATGTTTTGTTTTTATTTTGACTGTATTTGTTTTATTTCTATTATAATGATCCTTGTTTTCGTGTGCCAATGGCCAAATAAATGCATTTCCTTGCTTGCATAAGGATAAGGAAATGCATAAGGAACGCGGACGCTCGACGGGTTAACAGTATTAAAGTTTAGGCAAATTAATGGAGTCTTGTCATCGAACGACGAGACAAGTCCTTAAACCAAAATGGCAACTCCTGTATGCCAGGGTCTACAGCAGCTATAACCATAAAACACCGAAACAGTGAAGTTCGGCGCTTCTCACAACGAAATAAATCATATTATATCATTGTTGAAGAAAAAAGTATCAACGACCCGACTACTAACCGAGGCTGTAAGATAAGTCAATGAAGTACACCTTTGTCAAACTAAGGATAAATAAACTTTGATATATATTCACAAAGATTCTGTTATATAATTTATGTTATAGATAGACAATAATAATGCTATTTATTTGTCTTTATTTTATTAAATTTAACTCGTCGAGTACCGGTTTTATAGACACAATTAAAGAACAATAGGTCGCGGTCACCGGTGACCGCTTGGTGTTTGACAGATTAATGCAAGGTTTGTTTTTCTCTGTAATAGTTTGGATTACTTTTATTAGTTAGTAAGTATAAGTTTAATATGGTTAAGTAGCCGGTAGATTTAATAATACCTCATTATCGCATTGGGTCCTAAACCTGTAATGTTAACTTGTGTGTTTAATAAATAATAAATATTATATACCTGCATATACAACCCCCGAGAACAGATCATTCATGATGGTAGCGAGCGCGGAGGCGGAGAGCATCCCGTGCAGCGCGCCCACGAACACGGTGCGCGCCGGCTCCAGCCGGACCGACCCGCCACACACCCAGTTCGAGTCCGTCAGCGCCCACGGGATCACTTGCACCTGGGACGAATAAACAATTATCAACTGATATTACACAAGTATTTTTTTTGTCCAATGGAGTTCATTAGGTACTGAACAGCGTAAGAGATAATAGTATTATCCAACTTCAGAAATTGAAAGGTTTTCAGACATTGGATCTAAAGTTTAAAAATTATTTTTTTTTTAGGTTTTTCAGATTAGTATGGAGAAACAAATTGGCAAATAAACGTTGTCAATTTAGGCAACATTTTCTAGTCCAAAATGCTCTGGGCATTTCTATCAATAAGACACCGAGATATCACTGACAAAAATTGCCATATGGCATTAATGTCCGCCTTATGTACCATTACTTGTTTCTGTGTACATTAAAGTTTAAATAAAAAAAAATTATAACTGAAATATCTTTTTTTTAAACGACAACCCCGCCACTATCTCCCAAAACCACTGCAATTACTGTAAGCCAAGATCTACAGTAGATACAACCATGAAAACACCGGAACACTGAAGTGCAGCGCGTCCCAGAAGTATTTAAATTATTTAGATTGTAAAAATATAAACGAGTAGTTTGTTACCTGCTTGCTCCGAGTCTTGCGGGAGCCGATGCGGTAGTACCAGTCGTTCCCGTCGCGGCGGCTGGCGGCCAGCAGCGCCCGCACGCGGCGCTCGCTCTCGAATATGACGTACGCGAACCCGCGCGGGCACCCGCTGCCCGGCGCCGCGCCCGACCCGCCCGGCGCCGGGGGACCGTCGCGGCCTGGCCATTCCACACTGGAAAGGTGTTGTTTAAAATAACTAAAATTGAAATGAAGTAAAAAAATTGTATTGTATAGAGATGGGCATTTATTTACCCATTTCGTCGCCCAAGGACTCCTGAAACACCAGAGGCGTTACAAGTGCGTTATCGGCCTTTTGGGGATTAGGAGTTTGATGATCGTTGGGGATTGAGGGATTGGGGAAGGGAAGGGGGGTAATTGGGCCTCCGGAGGATTTATCCGGAAAAATGCTCATCTAATTCTAATTGTTAGAGACAATCTCGCTAGACATCGCATTAATTATGTGTAATATTACAGTAACTACACAACAGTTTCATAACTGGGTTTAACTTTGATACTTTATTACATTAATACTTCTGTGTAACAATAACAATCAGGACTTGATTAAGTCGCAGTAAGATTAATAATAAAATAACCACTTACCGTATTGGTTGAAAATGCTTCAACGTCTGCATAAGCGAGGCTTCATTGATATCCCACGGCAGACCCCCAAGGAACACTTTGGAGCTGAACCCCCCAGAGGGGTCCACACACCGCGGGGGTAACTTGCCCCCCCAGCGCAACACCTCGCTCCCATTGCGGCCATTCGATACCACTCCACCTGCGAACAAAGTCCTGGATGATATTGCTATTGTCTTCTAGAAAAGTCAACAGCGATAGTAATTGTAGCTGTACATTTCGTAAAAACGGGATCGATTTGATTCTCGTAATTTGAGCACACGCCGAAACTATTTTTCAAAAACAAATACAGAATCATATTAACAAAGCTAAATTTTAAGCATATGGCTACACACAAACCCGGTTTACCCCAGGAACCCGGAACGGCGAACGATACTTGATAAAAAATTCATATTCCCTTGAATTATTGTAAATTTACTAAAACAACTGCAGCAAATTTCTAATCTACAAATAACAAATATACAGACTAAACTAGATACTTACAAAAAGAAGCTCGCCTGGGCAGCATAGAAGCGCGGTGTTCCCTGGAGTTCTGGTCGTTCCACGGCTCGTCTCTGTCGAATCCTTCCATTCTTTCCAAGCGCTCTAGTCGATCACAGCCGAGCGGCGCCGGCGGCAGAGACACCGACGCGGTGGGCATCGCCAGGGCCTTCTGAAACATCCACTGACTGTATCTCTGGAAATACACATAACTACAAGCCTAATAGATAATTAAACAACTGTTTCCTCATTCTCGTGTTAAAATTATGCAAATAGGAATAAGAGAAACAATACACAAATGAGGCGCTAAATATAAAAAGAAATTGTAAGCCAGCAATCCAAGCTTTCCAAATACTAGACTATTTTTAAGGAATTAAATTAGGTATTAGATTCTCAGTCAAAATTAAAGTCTTAAATACCTGAACATCGAAAAGAGACTCTTTAACTTAAAACTGCAAGCAGCTACCATAATTAAAATACAAACGAAAAGAGTACTTACTAAGGCTGCCACAAGATCGGTAATGCCTTGTTCGGAGGCGCACTCCTCGGACCAGAGGCTGCCGGGCTGCGCGCTTTCACTGAAACAAGCGTACTTAGTGCTAATTACTTCATTAAAGTACACTAGGCTACTTAGAACGTTCACCCACGCGACGCATTAAGGTACGCAAGTTTTTAATTAGTATTAATGGACGCCGCCACTACACTGGTACCAAAGAAAAATTGCGCTTTTAACGTGAATCTGGGTAATGTTTTTAGTGAATAATTTTTACAATACAAATGAAGTTTGTTATTTTTTTTGTCAGTGGTCACTAAGTTATACATCTAACTTAAACTTTTATAGGTATATCAGTCATACCTACGTAAGGATATTTTTAGGTACGTATTGCAACTTTCAACTTGATCAGTTTGTGAAACCGACTGAATAATTAAAACTAGGACGACTTTAGAAATAATTTTATATAGAACATTTATATACAAAATTAGATACAAATTTTGGTTTTTGTACCTATAACTAGTGAAGGCCGTGGGATGTCTGGGCGGAAAGCAGGCGGGCGGTACGAGCGCTCGCGGCGTCTGCGCAGCTTCCGGGCTGCTAGGCTCCTCCTCCCAGCGCCAACCGTCACCACCACACTCCTGCGCAAATTCACTCACTTAACACACGTCACAAACGATCCAGTTCTAACACCTTATCCGTCGGTATCCGGTAGGATATAATTTTGACCCTTCTGTATATAAGCATCAATGTCAAAATTCAACCTTTTGTTCATTAATGTACCGACAAGCGACAGATTAGTCAAAGCTGGTCGTAAATCAATCCACTGAAAGTGCAATTGTTAAGCTACATATTAATGTGTTTATGTGTGGTTTATATTAATGTGTTTATAACTATGACTAAAAGTCGCTGAAAGGACTGACGAAATTTACTTAACCCTACTTTACTTCATTAATGACGAGACAAACGAATCTATTTGTTCGACCCCAATTCACCACTCTAGAGGCACTTCAGAGCACTAAACTTAGGTACAAACCAAACAAAGGTTTATTCAAAGCTTTTCCAAAACTACAGATACAAACGTCCCAGTTATGATATAAATTATTAAATACAATTCCCGAAACACCCAATGCTGCGTAGCCGTATAATATACGAGGACCGCAGCATCGGATATCCCATAAAATAAGATTTGTTTCCCGATGTGTTCCCAACAAGTTTCCATGTTTTACTACCAACTTATTCAATAGACCAACTAAAAGCTTTGCTTTATCCGTAACTGAAGATGTTACGGGAACATGTTAACTTTGATTTTACCAAAGGTATCGATAAAGGATCTAAATTGAATCGTTCGGTTATTGCAAGCGATAGGTAATCAAAGTTCAGAGGAATATTAGATAAAATGGTCTATCTTGGAAGCAGTCGAACGCAGCAAGTGGGCAAAGCTAATAATCATGAAAAACCGGGTATCTGTATCCAAGATAGTTTTCCGGGTCGCGAGCGCGAGCCGATTAAACGCGAGGGCCTTGGCATGAGCCTACACAAATAATATTATATTGCCAGATGCATGCCAATAGCCGGCGATACCCGGCAGACGCCTGCCAAGTGCGCGATTGCTAACTTGCTCCACAATATTGGAGGGTATGTTGTGACGCGCGCCTCTTGCCAGGGAGCAGTGTCACGAGACGATTACTTTAAGCCTCGTCTAAGAATTAAAACAGGGGAGTACTGAATCGTATGTTTTCGTTTATCCGCGGTTAAATGAAATCTTAAACTGATTTCAAAAGTATTTGTAATGTGTTAACTTTATGATCAAAAATAAAAAGTTGCGTTTTTGACGAATTATAACTGAAATACACAGAAAAGTACTAAATTTTTCGTCGTTCTTTGTCCAAATACATATCCCTTCTAATCACGATAATGCATTTGACCAGAATCGATGAAATAACTCACTGGAAAATATTCTACACTCGAGTCTGTTGTCACACGGGCGCGGACCCGAATAGTACATTACTAAAATGGAGAAGATTCAGCATCTATTCACGTCGCAACCAATAAATAACGGGAAGTGAAAATAGTTTTAAACTTCTCAAAATTTCGCTTCAAGTGGGTAATGAAATATTCATGGCGAAATCGATAGTCCTCACGAAAGAGGAGGACCTAAATATTGATATGCCCCCGCAAATAGATGAAGCTAGCAAATAGTTTAAATGCGAATCTGGGATAGCGTAAGGTCAAATATGACTGTAGACAAATAGGGTTGCAAATCAAAGTCCTGAATTGTGTATAGTTCATAGAAGCGATTAAGCGAGCCATAATGTACGCATTTCATATAGACGGGGTGAGATAGGGAATACTCGGATGCCGGCTAATGCAAGTGCAGTAACCCAAGCGATCCGGGCCGCATTATTTGGCACGGCCGGCCCATTAATACGGGCCACTGTTGGCACCAATCTCGGCTAACATTAACTGGCATCAAACCGGATGTCGTACGGTACATTATGAACAGACAATAAAACCTACGGAGAGCTCTGTACTTAAAATTTGATTTAAGCTCTTGGCGCTGCATGAATATAACAATGTGATGCATGTTGCGATACTTGCATACAACCGTCTTGGCGCCCAACAAGGGACTCTTGTTCCATTCTTAAAAATTGGCAGTTAAACGCGATTTTAAGATGTTAAGCATATAAAAACTAGTTTGGGATTACATTTAAGTGGGTAGAAGTTAATTCTGAACGTTGACCTTGAATATAGAATGAGTCATTCAAATGAGGGTAGTTTAAATGTTTGCATCAAAATGATTTATTTTCTACAAAATTAATATAAAAAACTTATGAAATCGGGTATCGGGTAGAAGATTAAAAAAGAAAAATTGATACAAAACCTACAAGAAACAAATTTAAACATAAGCTGTATGTAGCTACTCATACTCACATAGTCAAAAAACCGATGTCTGAACTGTCGGAACTGACGAGCGCAGCATGTAACAAAAGTGAGGGTAGATGAAGTTATACAATAAAGAAAACTTCCCGCGCAAACTAAAACGATTAACGAATCGTGCATCGTCGCTTGGAACTACAAAAAAATGAGAAGTGTGGGTACTTTCATTTTTTTATGAAAATTTTCTTTCAATTCAAAATTTAACGACATCATAGAAAAAACAATTTCGAACCGAAATACCCACCTGACACATCGTCATCGATAAAAAAAAATTTCTTTTTCATTGTACTAATCATTTTGGTCAAGAGCAGACAAAAATAATTTAAACAAAGAACAAGTTTCAAAACGCCCTATGTACGAGCAATAATAAACAGCTATAAAAGAATATAAAGAAGCACATACACTGTTGCGATGTACGACTGGCGTTGACACAGGCTCCGGTAGCTGCGTGGTGTCGAGACCCAGGAAGTCAGCCAGGGTGCGGTGCTCCTCAGAGCCGCCGCCACCCCGGCTAGTGTCCTACAGAAAACAAAGTTGTGTAAAATATGAAGGTAGGCGATGCACATAAACGCACCTTTAACACCAGTTATGTTAAGTGTACCATGTAAGGAGTAGAGCCTATAGCCATAATCCAGGCATAACCTCTGATATGGAATCTGATAAAATATTCAAAAATTAAAATTTTAATTAAAAGCTCAGAAAATCGAACCGCCAGACATTTTGGCGGTACCAACAATAATAGTCACTATTTGTTTACGGGGTTACCCCGTAAAAAGTAAGAAATATCACATGAAATCTCAGTATAGGACCAGCTTTTCAAAATTATCAACCGTCTAGTAGGACCAATAAAAAAAATTGTAAGTGAGGGTAGTTGGCACATCAATGGAACATAGCCGAAATTTAAACTATAGCAGATTTTATTTTACAGACAAGGGTAGAACTAATGTAATGGGCAATAAACTGAACTCCTAAATTGGCAGCCACTAGACTAATTTATATGGCATAGAAAGTTCAGGATCCAGAACTTAACTGGGTGACCCAGGCTAAATAAAATACGAAACCAATCAGGCCGGGTCAAATATTTTTAGAAACGTTCAATGATTTCTGCAAAAGGGCACAAAGAAACAAATAGGCATTTAAAAACCAATAACAAAATAAAATTAAAAATTCACCTGGTGTATAAGCGGCATATGTGCCGCTAAAAAAGTTTCAAAGTTCCGATGTAGTCTAGGGCGCGTCGAACAGAGTTCCAGGCCAGGTTGTTTGCGCGACGACGGCGCACAGACGACTGAATCAGAGAGAGCGCGCCTCGAAGCAGGAAGCCACAACCCACCCCACCTCCGCCCCTACCACCCACTCTCTGACATCACAAGCCACGCCCACAATACTTTACTCTTTATTCAAATTTGATGCTAAAAAATGTTAACTTAATTTCAAATTATACAACCAAATATATTTTTAATTTTACTCTAAACGAAAATATTTAATTATCTTCCATATTGAAGATACTATTATTTGTATTTGTAACGGATTTGCGCGCGCAAGATGGCGGCGTTAAGCACGTGGTTTGCTACGTCATGCGCATGTGTGGTGAAGTCAAATGTAATACAATTAATTATTTATGAAAGTTTATTTTTAAAACATTAATGTAAGATGAATGTCACTGGGTTAATTATGTATTGTTTTACTAAGCGCAATTATTTATATTTGTAGTCTTTAAGTAGGAAACAGCAAAACAAATTGTATGCCTCAACTTTCAAATAATTAATAAACGCACTTTTTAGTAAGAAATTTATCGTTTTCTTATTATTTTTGTTATAAAAAATGTAAAATTAAGCTAAATAAATTCATAGAAATCATTTTAGTGCTAAACAGATAAATTATAATAGACTTACCGTAAAACGGGGTGAATAGAACATTTTCTCAATATTTATTCACCCCTCTTCTGTATCTATTCACCCCTCGAATTCTATTCACCCCGTTTTACCGTTATATGAGTAAAACTACAATAAAACACAATTTCCAAGATAAAATATTTATTTGTAATCTGTAGTAAGGCAAAATTATTCTTTATACCTGTTATTTAACATATTATTTTAAATGCAGAAATCATTTTATTTACTGAAATAATAATTAAAGACTATTTTATTACAATAGCTACGTCATAAATTCACATTACTAGCTTATAACCCGCGGTTTCTATTACAAAAAGGAAGCGGGATAAAAATTCAATAATAATATTTCGAAATTCCATTATAGTTTCAGTCATCCTCCTTCATCTCATACTTTATAGTCCACCATTTAACTCGATAGATGGCGTTGTTATACATTTCTTTATTTGATATTTTTCTTCCAGATTCATAATATTTTTATACGTTTGTCGCAACAAATAACGACACACATAAGATTATAAGAAGCTTGGGAAACAGAAGGGAACAGATATTTAATTTATTTCATTATAGAACTATTACTTAAAATATATTCTAGAGACGTATAAAGACATCTAACTAAAATAAGATTCTATATCTTCTGTTTTATGACTAGTTTCTGCTTAGTTATAAAATGTTTTATTAAACACATTGATATTAGATATTGGCACTTTTTCCTACTCATTGATAGATTTGTTTTGCGTAAAATAGATCATATCGAGATTGTTTTAAGGTTCATTTTATCACTAGAAACTAGCAATGTGATAATTCTTAGTTCATTTTTACTGTTCTACTAGTTCTGCCTTTCATATTTACTATTTACAATTACCTGTCGCTTTATAGTCTGTTGTGATTGTTGATAAATAAAACATTACAATTTTAATGTTTTTTTTACTAAGTACTCAATAATTATTTATCGATATTAGACCAGACATAGATACGAATAATATAGACATATTCGGTCTGCTCTTTCAGTAGAGATACTTTTTTCAGAGAGATCAAGATATGTCGGTCTTAGATTTAGCTATTGGTGATTCCCCAGACGTATTTGACACACAGCTATATTATCATAAAAACTATTTTTTATATAAATCTTAGAGAGTTATCAATTGTACACAACATCAATTTTCATTTTCATGGTATAACAACATACTATTATATTAAATGGTATTTCTATTAATTTCGATTTTTCTCTACCAACACTGATAGAAACGTCATAAACGAACTTGCATAACATAAATGCCACTATAAACTCTATGTAAAAGTCAGTAAGGTCCAAAATTGTATTACAAGCCTTGTTTGGTGTCATTCTGTTGGTTTGCTTGCTTCATTCGTTGCGCTCTTCGTTTGGCTGTTTTTGAGAGTTTTTTCGGGGTCTTATGGGCCCAGGGGATTCGTTAGTCTTGTAGGCCAAATAGTGGGGCTATAATGGTGCCTGGCTGCAGGGGGGTTCCAGGCCTAGGCCGAGGAAGACAGCCCCTCTCGTCTGAATACATGTATGGAAGGCGCAGCACCCAGTACGCTGATGCTGATAACTTGATGGGTGGTGAGCCCACGGGTTGCGGGACGAAGATCGGTCCTCCTGGTATTGGTTGGACCTGGAATTTGAAGTGGTTTATGTTTATTATTTTGATTCAAAAAGTACAATTACAATTATTTAATAATTCCTTTGACCATCACACACACATGCATAGTCTTTTATGCAATAAGTTCGTACCAGTGGCAGGTAAGGTTGACCTATTTCTAACAACAATATAAGTACGTTTTTAAGTGTGGGAGAGCCATGCTTCGGCACGAATGGGCCGGCTCGACTGGAGTGATACCACGGCCGAGCAGAAAACCGACGTGAACGCTTGCGTTGAGTTTCGTCGTGTGAGTGCGGTTACCGGAGGTCAAATTACCCTCCCCTTCGCCAATCTCCCCAATCTTTGAATCCCCAAGGATCCTCAAACTCCTAATCCCCAAAAACGTAAATAACGCACTTGTAACGCCTCTGGTGTTCCAGGTGTCCATAGGCGATGCCGATTGCTTACCATCAGGTGATCCGTTTGCTCGTTTACCGGCTTATGACATAAAATAAAATTACTTAGGACTTTATTATAATACTAGCAAGTTACAAGCGTCTTCAATGTGGAGCAGGTGCGCAACGAATACGTTACGGGCACACAACGAACGTGTCACGGTTACGCACCAAATTCGTTGCGGTCGCATAGTAAATACGTTGTCTTGTCGTAGTATATCTTGTTGCATATTTATAATGCTAGCACATTGAGACATTTGCAATCTGTAGGTATCAGTTTACAGTAAAAATGGTGCTATCGGTGTATGACAAGGGTAAAAATCTATGTTAAAGAGTACTAGGTTAATACCTAGGTACAGTTGCCTAATGACGAAGAGTTGGTATTATACATGAAAGATGCGTGTGAATAGACAGCATAGCTTACCTTGGGGTCGAGAGTGACGTGTACGGGCGCCTTAGGCGTGACGACGTGTAGGCGCGTGAGCTGCGCCAGCGAGGCGGCGGCGGGCGCGGGCGCGGGCGCGGCGCGGCACACGCAGGCCGCGTACAGCGGCATGTCGGCCGCCGCCAGACGCGCGCCCGCCGCGCCCGCCTCGCGCCCCAGCGCGCCGCCGCCGCCAGACACCATCGTGTCCGGGGACGACATCATGAACCTGCGCCAGTCACAGACAACATCATACCTTACACACTACATGTTTAAGGCTATTTTCATAGAAAGGGGGAGACAGTATTACTCCTCCCGCCCCGAGCGAAACGAGACTCAGCAAGAGCTGTTTTGGATAAAAACTCCGCTTTGGATAAAAATTATGCTTAAAGCAAAACAGTGTTTAAGAAGTTGTTGTTTAAAAGATAAAGACCACTACATTAAAATTTGTATGAGTTATCTCGCCATACATAAAATAATAAATTAATTTCAATTGTCTCACGAAAATTATAATACAAAAACAGGTAAAGAATATAAGTATACCTGTGACCCCTAGGGCACTCGTACTCGAATCCGATGAATATCTTGACCGTGAGGTGATGGTGCGGTGTAATCTTGCCGCGGCCCCGAGACGGGCCAGACACCCGCCAGCCACTCATTGACTCCAACCTGCAGCGATCCGCGAACTATAACACTCATTAACTACATCTTGCCGTGTCGTAATGGCAATCACTAAATACATTTTACACCACCGCTTTTCTTTCCGCTGGTATGGGATAGCCGTTTAACAGGGACGAGTTTAGCTACCTATCGCCATGAAGATACAAAGATACTTTTTTGCAAACACGGGCTTTGTCAAAGAATTCTAAAGAGGCAACCTGAGATAAACGCTTCCTGCGAGTAGGTGGAGTATCGCAGCTTTTACCATAATTGGTGGCGTATTGCTTAGTTTGTTATACGTTGGTAAAATGGACTGAAGGAATTAGTTGTGCAGTTACTTACAGCAATAATATAAAGTACTAGCAAACCCAGCGAACTCCGTTTCGCCACCAGATGGCTTCGTTTTATGTAACACTTCGTTTGGTGATTAAAAGATGAAGATACATTTTTTTTGTTTTATATTTTATAAACTTCACGGAGCCCGAGACCTATCCAACGAATGCAAAACCGTGGAAATCGGTTCGTGCGTTCTGGAGTTATAGCGTCAGGAAGGAAAACCCGACTTATTTTTATATCTAGTAGATAATAAAAGACACAGTACCGCACGGCGCAGTCCCAGGGCAGCAGGTAGTTGGTGTGTGGCAGGAAGCCGGGCTGCAGGTGCTCGGGCAGCCCCAGCGCGTGCGAGTACAGGCTGGACGCGCCCAGGCACACCAGCGACCAGCTCGCGAAGGCCGGCAGCAGCCCCGCCGGGCTGCCCGAGTGCAGCATGCCTGGCAGGTACTCCGTCGTCGATGGCTGGCGACTCATTATCTTTTCTGTCAACAAAGCGGTCCGTGTAAGGTGTAAACAAAATTGCAATTGCAATTGTGCAATTTATTTGCGCAAACAATTTAGCGCAAAAATATATTGCGCAAGTCAATTAACATAAATAATTTGAACATAACATCACGCCTTTTATCCTCGAAGGGGTAGGCAGAGGTGCACATTATACCACTGTACAATGTAACACCCACTTTTCACTATTTATGTTATGAGTCCCATGTAATAGGGGGTGAGCCTATTGCCATATACCGGGCACAGTTCCAGATTCCGTGCTACTACTGAGAATTTTTAAAAACCCAGTAATACTTTGCTCGACCCGGGAATCGAACCCGAGACCCCTTACCGGCAGTCGCAATTGCGACCACTCGGCCAACGAGGCAGTAAAATAATTTGAAATAAACAGTTAAAATAAGTAGACAGCATAGTTACCAGTCGCGGCATCGCCTCTAACGGGCACGACGTATCGATCCGAGTCGTGGGATTTGTCGTCTTCGTCGTCGTGCGCAGAGCCGGGCGACAGCGCGTCGGGCGCGGACCAGTTGTTGTCGGGCGACGCGGCCGACGCGGGCGACACGCCCGACCCCGCCGGCGACCGACGTGGTGCTGAGCGTTCTGCGGCTTCCTCCGCTTCCTTTAGGGCCGCCGCTCTGGAGATTAAATAGTACATCTAACATGGGCTCGTCTACGCAACTTTAAAACGGGTACGAACTCAAAATAAACTAAATCAATAGTAAGGTTTCTATGACATTTGAACTGTAATTGACTGGTACTTACTTGTAGGACGGCGTAGAAGGCTGGAAGACGGGGAAGTCGATGGTCTGCAGAGTGGGACAGACCCCGCACTCCTCGGCGGCCTCCGTGTAGAAGGTCCAGTTGGCGCGGCGCAGGGAGTACGGGTCCTCGCGGGACCACTTGCAGCGCCCGCAGTTACACGCCGATATATAGCGCACGCCCGACGAGTGCTCCTTGCTACTGTCACTGTACATAACCGCCACATTATATACTCTATAGTCTATGATAATCTTACAAATATTATAAACGCGAAAGTTTTTATGTTTATCTTTTTCTTTAATTGCTACTCTTTCGCGTTAAAACTTGGATAAAATATGGAACAGGAGTAGATTAAATAACATATGTGCTACTTTTTATCCCACAATAACGCGGGCGAAGCCGCGGGCAGAAGATAGTATAGTATAGTTGTAGTAGGTAGACTTACTGCTCGGGCTCGATGCAGACGTGTCCGGTTAGAGAGAGTGCCTCGCACAGGCTGCGCGTGCGCCAGATGGCGGTGCAGGCCGCGCTCAGGCGGGCGCGGGCCCCCCGGGCCAGCGGGCCGCGCGCCATACTGTCCAGCACGCCCAGTGCTAGACTAACCTAATATAAAAACGTTATAATATCATCATTCAAAATGATTACGGAAAATGGTGTCTTACCATATTTACATAAGACTCAGTATTCTGTAGTTAGTTTAATACCTACATAAGTGTGCATTCGACTTACCTTATGTGCATGATGTTGGCTGGAATAATGAGCAGGTAAACCTTCCGCGTATGATGCCTGTGCTATTGGCAACACCTGTAAAATTAAAAATACACTTAATTAATTCGAAATACACCTTTTATAAGCTTCTAAGACTAAATATAAAAATAATATTACCTTAGCGCATCGGGCCTGAGAGAATCGTACGTCAGTGGCGAGTGCGTCGTACAGTGCAGCGGAGGCGGGCTCGTCCTGCGCCCGCGCGACGGGCGACAGGTACACTGCGGACAGCGCCTGCGCAGCCGCACGCCATGCTGCAGCACTGGGGAGCTGGTGGACACAATGTTGGAACATTTTCAAAAGGAATTGGGATTTATAGTGGCGTAAGATGCTTTACATAAAGTGAAGATACATATTTATAATGTTCTTGCAAAATGGCATGGGGTAGCAATGATTGGAATAATGGGGTATAACGTTTCTTTACTCAACAGATGGCGCTAGTGTGCAAATTTTAGTTTTTCATCCAATAGAGAATTTGCTAATGTCACACTAATGGATGTTCTTTACAAACAATGGTAACCCCATTGAGAAGGTACCTCTCAAGAATCAGTTGCGCGATTAATCTATAATTCAACAATCAATTAACAAAAACCCAACTCACCTCAAAGAACGACGTGCTCATAGCATATTTTCCGACGTTATCATCGAATCCCTCTCCGAAGGCCATGTCTATATGCGTCTGTAGGAACTGGCGGAAGGTGGGTCGCGGTGGCGGAGTATCCGGTACCGAGTTGCATCGCGCCACCAAACCACGGACTAGTGCGCTCACTTCTCGCGCACTTTGACTCTCTTCGTCACCGCTAATGTATACAAATTCTTCATTCTTTGGTATTGCGAACAGGGATTTGGCACTGAAAAGAACATGAGTTATTATAATAACAGTAGGCCGCGCGACATCGCCGTGACCGAGCACGCTGCTCATGTGGAAGGGCCCCTCTGTGACTCGAAACTAGTAGAGCTTTACTCAGTATTTTCACGTGAGTAACCCGCGATTTTATCTAATAGAGAACATGAGTTATTAGCAGCTATCATAAGTACTTTGTTAGTGTTATGGTACAGGCATACAACCTAGTATTCATTATCCAATAATTTATTTTAAATATTTATTTATTAACGCTTCATGCACAAAGTGTACACAAGGTGGACTTAATGCCGCAGGCATTTTCTCCCAGTCGTACCTTTGGGTGATGCAGATAAGAGTGAATGGTAGGAGCAAGAAGCAAGCAGCGATATAATTGAGAAAATAGAAGATTATACTAACATATTTCAAATATGAACATAAATAAATATAATAATATTATTGACGCCTAACATTGCAAAACATCGAGTGACATTGCCAACGCAACATGACGCGTGGATTAGGTTTATTTCAGTGCAACATACATAATTATTATAGAGTATCTAATGGAGAGGTGACCCACAACAGTAGATCCTCTGGTGACATTTTGCCATGTTGTTCAATGTTGTGAGCAATATCGTGCGAAGACAGAACACTGATTTTCAATGTGTTGAGCATCAGTTTGTATAGTATGTTGTGTCAAATGTTACATAATAGATAAATAAATAAAAAGTTTAAATCTTACCAAACATTGGTAATAATCCGGGCTTTTCTAAGTATAAAATACAATTGATCTTCCACAGCATGTTCTAATCTTTTCAGTGCCGCCGGTACCTTCTTTACAGGATTGGGAGCACGACGGAAGTGAAACAGTAGGCGAGGGCAACAACACCGCCCGTGTGACTCCCATGCTCCTGTTGCTTTTATGTTCAACAGGGCTTCTGTACTGCGCCCTATTTGTTCTGTTCTGAAAATTGGATGCAATAACTTTAAAAAATAATATTTACTAATTTTAGTCAATTTATTGATTTCTTTTAGGTAGTTGGGGTCTGTTGCAAAGATTTCTTTTTTTTCTGGATTTGAGATCCACAGCGATTGCATGGCTATACCATTTGCCATTTGTGTGAAATAATTTTAATGACCCTACTGTCGAGAAAATTAAGATGTATAAAAAAGAATATGTTAATTTAAATCTTACCTATAAGCATCAATAGCCTTAAACAGCTGTAAGTATCCGAGATCAAACACTGATGTTGGAGAAGACAATACAACAATGTGACACAAGTGGAACAGCAGAGCTATAGCCTTGCAGGATTCAGCAGCCAGCTCCCCTGAGGCTACCAGCCAGTTTGCGGCATCAGCCTCCTGATCCTCACTTTCTGACTCCTCATTTAGAGAAGCTGCGAGGCTTGTCAGTCTTTTTGTGTCAAGGTATGTTATAGCGTGTAGGTAGAGGATTGAACGACGTTCATCCCAGTGACATTCTATTCCGTTCTGTGGACAATGTTTTACAAAAACGGGTTATTGTATGTTTTATTTTATTTCATAGTTCTATGAATGAACCAACGTTACTTATTCTACATCTCTTTATTTTGGGTAAACATTGTTATACCCTAAATAATAAAAAAAGAATTTCACATACCGACGTCTTAAATAAAATATATTAATTAATGACGCAACTCATTATAAGGGCAAGTTTTTATCATTAATAATTATTCAAATTTGAATAATAAAATAAAAAGTTGGTAGAAGCTTACCTCTGCAGATTGCACAGAGGGTACAAGTGGGGTTGCTTTATTTGGATACCGATACGGCGACTTTCCAATTACGCCGACCACTACGATACGTTTCTTCTTCGAGAACTCCGGAATATCGGTTATTGGAAACACGTTCATCGTGCTAATTTCATTACAATTCACAATTAAAATGCAATATTCTCTCAATGTTTACCAAATACTCTCGCTTCTTGCTTTGCTTGACGTTTTGTTTGACTTTGACAGCAGAAATCGATTGTACGATTTCTTTTTCCATTGGGCTTTAATCGGCTCCGAATTTAAGACAATATTTTCAAAAATAATTACGGTCAATAACGCTTCATTTACAATGTACTTTTCTATTGTTCTTGTGAACATAACATTTTATTCCTAACTAATCCTGAAACTCTATATACATGAAAATCTGAACGAAAACATTTAGAAATCGATGGACGAAATATGCAACTAAACGTGAAGACAATATGGCCGGTCTTTCAAAGTAATGTCAAAAATGTCATCGTCAGCTGTATTTGACAGGCTAGTGGACAGTTGGACACTTTCGAAAACGAATTAAAACTCGAGTCTCAAGGTTGCGAAACGCTAACAATCTAATAGATTGGAGAAATGTAATAGTTATCAAGCGTAAATCTACTCAGGCGCACGCTTCCGCGAGTTTTGCGATAGTGCGCGAACTCGGACTGGCCATTCCGTAGAGATAATAGATCAGTTTCATAATCATTGATAAAAAACAGTGGAGTTTTAGTGAAATGTCTTCGCTAGTGGACGATGTTTGTGATCTTTTGGACAGTTACAATGGGAGAGACAAGGTATGGTATGCGGAAACACGACGGCCTTGGTATTTACTTGGTACTTACACCGGTCACACCAGTAACCTGACTCTTATAACTTTTATTAACTTCTGTCTATTTAACTAATTATTTTGAAAGTGCTGACCTTTGACTCGCATTATCTACCTAATTACGTTGTAATTTTATGATCTTTTTAATTCATAATAAAGATAACTTTTATCCATGTTATGTTTTATGACCCTTATTACCAGTAGAATAAACAATGTTATACTATAGATACTATATATCTATTTCTTGCCAAACAGATTGGAAAGAAAAAAATGCTTCAGGGTTCTAAATAAAAAAGTTTAATCATTGAAAAATAATGTATTTAATAATTAGGCTTAGATACTATCTAATTACCACACACTCACTCATTCTAAATACCTAAATGCTTTACTCAACATTCAATAACTTGTAAGTATACATAATACTTACAAACTGCTCAAATAGTATAACATAATATAAAATTTGCATTAAATATTCAAATTGCAAATAATATGTAAATACTACAATAAGGAAGCAAAATTATTTAATTTAAATTCTCAAGTTCATTGTTAATTTAATTCTAAGAATTTATTGATGACAAAATATTCAAATTTTGTAAAGATCCTAAAAGTACAAATCCTAAGGCTAAACTTAATATTTTTTATTACTTTGATTATATGATTTTTAGCTGCCCAATGTGGTTTGTTTTGATGAGCATACTTACATACATTTCTGTCTGTTTTCCATGAAAATGTAATCAACTACTAGACCTTTAGTAGTTTAGGATACAATGTGCTAATTGCCAACTGGTTTTATTTAATTTTTATTTATTTATACAGGTGGTCCGTCTAGCTTGTTATGCATGCAAACTATATGGATGTGTACAAGATGAGAAGCCCTGGCAGTCTGCTGGCTCTCGGCTGTCCAATGCCAGGATGATGCTGCGACTCTTCGATGATATCCCCATGATCAGACACACATACAACTATGGTTTAGGAAAACATGTAGGTATCAACTAATTTAAATATTGCTATCTGTATCTGGGAAAAGAGAAAAGATCTCTAAATGGTTATTTTAACACAATTTTTTCTTATATCTGTTGTTTGTGACCATTTAACAGTCTAATTTTGTAGAGTTAGTAGAAGTGTAAAGCTTTATTAAACTGTCAAACACCAAGCGGTCACCGGTAACTGCAACCTATTGTTCTTTAATTGTGTCTATAATGATGGTACTCAATGAGTTAAAGAATAATGGATAATTTTGTAATTTTTCACCAAATTCTAGTTATTACTAGAATTTGGTGAAAAATTACAAATTCTAGTTATTACTAGAATTTGGTGAAAAATTACAAAATTATATTGATAACCAAACCAAAAAAATCCTTGCTGCGCTCTATACCAGCAGACATAAGAAAATGCCATCTGGAATTAAATTCACCCATCACCACTCTTGTAAAAAAATCGATATAAAAGTGCTAAATTCATAACATACTTCCTCCCACAGGAAACTACAAGAGCAGCAGCAATACTAGGAGTTGTAGCAAACATGGTGGACCAGGCATTCTTACCTGTGGAGAAGGCATGCTGGCTCTATGATGTGGGCATCCTTAAGCTGTCAGATGACACTGCTTATAAACTAGAGACTGTCAGCACTATGCTGTGGGCTGCTAGTCTGCTTATATCACTTGTACAGTAAGTATTTAATGCTAATATTTCATTATGGTTGTACCTAATCTGCCCATCCTCAAATCCTCAATCCCCATTAAGAATTCTACACACAGTGATCCCGCCTTCTTTAATAATATGTTTCGAACTCAAGATCCCTTGAATGAATGACCAACGAAGTACCTAATAATAGAAATATCCTAACTGTACAGAAATCTCCTTTGACGTGATTCATGAACCAAGACCCTCATCGTTGGTCTATGCAGATATTATTCTGTAGCACATATCGGTCGGCACTTGTATAGATATTACCTACTTATAAGCATATTCATTTTTAATATCAATTTCCGTGTCTGACATTCTCTTTGTCTCTCTATTCATTGATCAATATGTCCCTTACTTGCTTCCTGTGTCAATCTAATAATAATAGTTATCTTATGGTTAAGATATCGTCACGATAATAGTGCGGATTTTTCTAAATCGGAAATAGATAAGAAACATCAATCGATAAAATACATCATGCGGATGCAATATCGATAAACTGTTGTTATTTTTTTGGTAATTTGGCACTTTTTGGGTATGATATTTCGGAAAGCTACTCGACATTTAATATTGTTATTTTACTCCCGCTTGCAAGTACTGGACTAACAAAGCAGTCTATAGAGAAACAACACTGCATTGAAAAATATTTTTTCTTTCTAGAACATCAAGCTCAATAAGAAAACTATGGTGGAGTCGGGATTGTTTACAAAAAGCGTCAGAAAACGGCGGAGCTGATGCCAAGAAACACTTAGATGTCAGACTTATGTTGGAGAGCATAGTAGCAGGGAAACTATGTCTGGACATCACCCATGCTATCAGCTGCTTACCCGAAGGCTGGCTTTGGGGAGAAAAGATTGGATCGACGAAAGTAGCGACCATAGCAACTACATCGTCCGTCATAGGTATTGCCATGTACTTCGCGAAGAAACGACTATTAAAATAAAATAAATTATAGACATTTAGACAGCGAAAATGTGACTACATGTCGTTGGTGGTAACGTCCTTATTACGTGTATAATAAAGGCGATTTTCGATTGTTACCATCAGCATGCAGTTGTTGATGAAATTGGACTGTATTAAGGTTTGCAGGAACAACCTATTTGTAAATACTGTATATTTTGCCTTTATATAAATTTTTAATTAGTTTGCAAGATACTTGTGAAGATACCTAATTATGTTTAAGTACCATGTGACTTAGCAAAAATAGAAATACTAATATTCATGTAAATATTAAATCTACTTTACTGATTTAACTCTTAAATTAACTTGTTTCAGCTCTTTGCAAAAGGAATTCTTTTATATTACTAATGAAAACATTCTCAAATTATTACTTTTTTAAATAAAAAGTGTTATTAAAAAATGGCAACATTAAATAAGACGAAGAATAATAAATAAAAAAGAAGGCCTTTTCTTGCGTTTTTATCAGGGTAAACATAACACAATTAGCTATTAGATTTCTTTTAACTTCATACATATGTACCTGTTTCTATATTCTTCAGTCGCCTAAGAAACCAAAGCTATAAATATAAATCTTACAGAAATTAAATAAGGTCAAAGTTGCTTACATGCAATGGGTTTGTTACGCGACTGAATGATGTTAATTTCTAAATATAATGATAATATTTACTTATGCTGCGTAACTAATATATCTATACATACATAATTATAATAAAATCGTAGAAAAGTCAAAACTAAATACATTATTGAATATTTTTTTAAAAGAATACATGAGGCGTGATCTACTATCGATACCGAAGCAAAAATATGGTTTTTAGTATTTTTGTCTGTATGTATGCCCGTCATGATCTCCAAAAGTCCAAAAGTACTGCTGCATTGATTTACTTTAAATTTTGCATGAATATTACTAACAGGTCGGGTCAACATATAGGCTACATATATTATTATCACACTATCATCTACGGGGGAGGAACTGTGAATCACAATTCCACGCGAACGAAGTCGCAGGCAACAGCTAGTTCACGAATATAGGTATGTAAAGTTAGTATTCTGTGTTGCATTTCCAGCATTTATTTACTTACACAAGCAAATGTTGTTTAAATCAAATTAATTGTTAAAAACACCACAAATAATGACATATTTAATTTTTTAAATGGGTATGTTGTGTGGTGTATCCCGCTATCTCATTGGAACATGTCACTTTAATGGCGATGATGTCATTTGTTTTTATTGAGCATTCTTTTCTGTTGAATCACTTGTTTCAACAGATAATAAGGGCCTTCTTTACAATATCTGACTAAATAGAACTCAGACTGAAATTCTTCAAGGTCCGAGTGAATAGGTTGCTTAAGGGCAGACCAGAGACTTACTCTTGAAACCAATTTAAATGTCAATAAATGTTCAATCCAATAAAATCTCAATAATTATTCAATGTCAAAACTATACTACCCCTATCGTAGCTGTTACAATAGCATTCAGAGAACGGAATATAAAGCCAAATCAATACCATTTAGTTCATTCAATATCCACGCAATACGGATGCAATTCAAGGGTACGAAATTTCGCAATATCAATGTCGATCGATCGGAATTGGATTCAAGAGTAAGCCACCTGCTCCATCGTAGGCCGCATGATCGCTTGCCACCAGGCGAGATAGTGACTTTCCACCAAACGTCGACCCTTATAAAATCACCTTTAAAAATTATGTTAGTTTGACACACACATTGAAACTACACTTAAATAGTTTATGATTCCGATGTTGTTTTAAGTACTACCTACTTACTTCATTAGCTATAGCTAATTTGTTTATGTACAATTACATAGTTTATAATTGTTAGATAGATATTATGAATATAAAAAATATACATCTTCAACTGATATTCTGTTTTATTTTAGTATTTGCAACCCGAATTATTTGTATCGTATTATTGTATAGGTACTTCACTATAGGCCAAGAGAGACAAATAAATAAATAAATAAAATTTCACAACATTATTACCAATTCATTATCATATTTATCTTTATGTGTAATGTAGTTTTCCAATCATATTTGGAGATTGGATATGGTAAAAGAACTTGTGATAGCTAACCATTAAGGTGCATTTTACATTGGAATTTATTTGGAACCTACATAAAGAAAAGAAAATGTATGTTAAGATTATTATCATATTATTAACTTGATCTAGATGTATAACAATTAAAAAATGTGATTACAATTGATAAACAAGTTATGCATAATGGAGCCGTAATTGTTGGTGCGAATTAGATTCTACTACATTACTAAACATGGATAACTTATTTTATATTAAACCTTTATAAAATACTCTTTATGTCTGCAAGCCTGGTAGCATACTTCTTTTGAGTCATGTGCTGTCTCACATGTTATTTGAAAAGCATCTAATATATTTTATTTTAATTCTTTTTGATTTACTCCTGTGTCGTGGGTGCTTTTATGAACGTACAAGTTGTCGCGGAGAACTTAACGGGGTACCGGGGCTCCGGCTCGACGTGCAGGAGAAGGAACGGGATGGTTTTTAGTCAGTAAGAGTCTGACACTCTCCCGCCTCACCCAGGCGGAAGCAGTCATTCGATGATTTTTCCCCCCTTAAAAAAAAACGTATAAGTTCACCTACACATGACACCCAGATCCGAAACAACAATTTGTGGATCACACAGAGTTGTTCCGAGCGGGAAACGAATCCGCGACACGTTGCACGGCAGACGGCAGCCAGTAGCCCAGCCACCGCGCCAATAATTCAGTCTATTTCGTTGCTCTCAGGGTTTCTTTTCTACCTTCCCTCATAACACAGACAAATATCTATGCTATGTATCAATAGAAGGAATAGAAAGCATTTATATAAAACAAATACCATTGTAATACTTCATGTGTTTATTTTACTAATCATAAATGCTCGTTCATAAAGCCCTGTATCATACACAAGATAGCCATAACTCACATACTTTATACCTGTTCTATTCAGTAACAAATATCTATATTTTCATATCTAATTCACAAAGATTACAATGTCATGTGCAGATAGCTACGTTTGGCTATCAAATTGATTGCTTACATAACAGTAGTAGATGTTTTTGGGAAAAACATTGTGGTTGACTACGTCAGTGTTATCGTGGACTATTGGAGGAGAGCAGTAGCTATTGAGGTGGTTAAGTGTCATGGCTGCTGTGAACGAACTTGCTGATCTGTTGCAGGCGCACGCTAATAGGGATAAGGTAGGAGGAACTTATATTACTTAATGATTATTATTATGATAAAGGGACTACCTATTTACTATTTAGGAATGATAAAGTACATATGTGTGGTAGTCCATTTATCAGTGTCGTGCTTTTTTACAATATTGGTAAATAAATTACTCAATGATTGCACATGTGCTTGCAGTTTTTGAATGAATATTGTTTTTAATTCTTTTTAATGCTCTGTATATTATGTATTTGTGATTCCATTTTATCAGTTAAAGACGCTGGTAGGTTGGTCTATTTAAATTAAACTACCTGCACATCCAAAGTAAGGTAAAAAAATAAACAGAAACAGCTGAGTTGTAATCGAAATTTAAAAAGAAACTTTAATGGAAACATCAGAAAGCATATATTTACTTACTAAGAACATGTCAAGCTAAAACCGCGAGACATAATCACACTATCATACCAAATATTCAAAGTATGAGTTACGGCTGTGTTTATTCTTCACATTATCACCTATCGACTTTGCCACTTTTTTTCGGATCGATTTTGTTTTATGTCCTACTCACAAGAAATACCTTAACAAATTCTCAGTTTCTATGTAATTATTTATTATTCCTTTATTTCATCAATTATATTTTCCCTCTTAACGTAGGTGGTAAACTTAGCATGCTACGCTCTGAAGCTATGGGGCTCTACAGCCAAGCGTCAGGACCTGCTGTCAGCGAGCGCGCGACTGGCGGCTGCGCGAGCCTGCCTGCGACTCTTCGACGACGCTATGGCTCTCAAAACTGCACTCGCTTACGGATTTGGAACGAAAGTAAGTTACTAAAGAAAAGTATTTCCTTATAGGATTTGTTTCAAAACTTTAAGATCACTGTTACGCCATACTCAGAATAATGTAATGGTTATTACTTAGCCCTGTCCTTAGCAATTGTTTTCGGAACAAAATCGTTGCTAAGGAATAGTTTAAGAAATCAGCAGCCATTGGGGTATTGCCCTTTGCCATTGGGGTGGTTTTTAGGCCACTAGACTCTCCTGCCTCACTCAGGGTGGGAGGAGCATTTAATAAGTCCTATCAAAAAAATGATTTTTTTACCTTAATACCTTACCTAATTTCGTATAGAGAAAAGAGAACCTTGTAAGGGCCAAATCACAAAAGATTTTTCTTTCAGGACGGTTCATTTTGGGGTACTCTGGGCGTGGCAGGCAGTGCATTTACCCTGGCATACCTCCAGGCTGAAAAGCTATCGTTCCTCATAGACACAGGCATGCTCCACGTGTCCAAGGACACGGAGTTCAGAATCCGGACGGCGCACAAACTGTTCTGGTCGCTGTCGGCATTTGTCGGCTTCCTCAGGTTCGTTAGAGCTAGATTTAAAAAGTTACAAAAGAATTTATTTGTTTTATACCTTATTTGACAGTTCCTCTTTTGAGAAATATTTATTTGAAATGGTTGAGGCGTTAAGAGCTATTTTTGTAAGACATATTTGCTAACTATTGGTTGTTGTACCCTAGAAATAATGCTAGGTGACCAAGATTTATTTATCTCACTGAGCCCTTATCATGACACTATGACAATAATCCTACACCTACACTTAGAGCAGAACATGACAATGTAATAAAGAGTTAACTTTACACATTTATGCTTTTATTATTTTACTACCTCTCATTGAATACATTCAGAAATGTTATAAATATCTGTAGGCAGCTTCCTAGTTCGTCAGTAAGGCTTACTTACTAGCTTTCATTTGTTTATTTTCTGTTAAAACTCTGTTACATACCTATACATATAGAGGGATTGAAAATATAATCAAGATTAGTGTGCTTATAATTAGATCATTACAAGTAATAATCTAACAATACATTGTACAGTAGCATTAAGTGTCGTAATGTGCACCTCTGCCTACCACTTAGGGGATAAAAAGGCATGTTTTGTTATGTTATGTCTAACAATAATTTTGACTTTACAAACCAACAAAAATTTTACATATCAATTACAATTTTGACTTCTACAATACACCTTAAAATACATCTAGCGGCCGAAATACATCCAATAACCGATCCCAATCCAAAATCTGTACATTAAGCTCAATTTCAGACACTACTTATATGATGTACTTAGCCGCTAAAAGAGGACCAAATTAAACTAAATTATATTTTACAACCTACAGATCAATCCGTGCTCTCAATGCGTCATCAGAAGCTCTAAGACGACCAGACCGGACAAAGTGTGCGCCTGCAAGGTTCACGCAAGCGTCGCTGACCACCACCAAGTTCCTACTGGACACTATACATGCTGTGAGCTGGCTGCCACCTGGCTGGCTGTGGGGAAGCAGGCTCAGTGTACCACAGGCCAGTGGCATTGCCACTGCATCCGCAATACTAGGACTGGTCATACATTACCATGGGAAAAGGTTTTAGATTGCGTGTAAAATGAAAAGACTCTTAAAGTTAGGTATTGTGGACAAATGCCAATGTTTATCTTAATCTGTCATTCTATAGATTTGACCGTATGACTTTACAATAAAATTTATTTATTTATTTATTAAACTTTATTGCACATACAGTGAAATTGGCGGACTTAATGCCGTAGGCATTTTCTGACAGTCGACCATTGGGTGGTGCAGAATGTTAAAGCGGTAGGTGCAAAATTGTAAAAAGAAAGTATGAAGTAGATAACGAAGTTAAGGTAATAAAATATTAAAGAGGGAAGACATCATTGTTATAGTCGATAATACATAACTAAGGATATAGGGTCTTAAAATGAATTATATAATAAATATATATCCCAAATATGCATACATATAATATGATATAATTATAGTGTAGTGTTAAGGAAGACATTTAGGGGTATCTTATTATATCTAATGGAATTATTGGCATTTGTATTACACTACACTAGCCACAGAATGAATGAGAAGAAGAGATTTAGTCGAATTTAATAATAAATATAGTTATAATTATTTAAGTGAAATATTGCTCAATGAAGTTTTAATTCATACTATACTTACCTACCTTGTAAATAAGAACTAAAATAGTTGTAATCCAGCCTTAGGATCCAGTAACTTTAATATTAAATGTATCTTATTTGTTCTACCAACGAGTACTTGAGTCCATGTTTGCGAACACGTGTAATAGTCAACTTTATCAATAAGTGACTGATAACATCTGTCACGAGTGGACATTGATCTTTATATTATACTATCGATAATAATCAACTGAACTTGCTAGGACTGTGTGTCAAATAGTGTTAGAATATTTCAACACTGAAAAAGAAATTAATCAATTTTATATAATTGATCATAGTTAAAATCTATGGAAACCCGTACCCGTAGCAAGCAAATGTATTAAGAAGTCGGTTGAAAATAATACATTTCAAAAAGAAAATGCGTTTAGATTCCAGCCTGTCGGGGGCTTAGGATAGCAGTTAGCTCATTAGTCGCAATTAGCCTGTAGCTGATTGCAGTTTTAAGACAATATAATTTAAGTATAACTAATACAACATTGGGTACTTAAAGTATTTATTATTGTAAAAGATGTGTAAGTCTTATAAAGTGTTAAGAAATAATAGACCTTATTTATTCGAAAATTATATTTATTTTACAGTAACATAACAGTGTTTTATTTGAGCAACCAATTCACCAGAAGCTATCGGAAGATTTATGTAAAAATAATATAGGTAACATTTTTATTTACAACAAAATAGAATTGAATAGTAATAATTAATAAGTTGGCTGGGATTAATTTTACAAAAGAGTATTATTAAATATATTATTAACACCTCGAGCGTCCTTATGAGCACCCGGTGGATCATAAGAAAAAATGTTCCAAATGTCACGTGTGCACCCGTTGGATCATAAGAAACGCGGACACTCGACGGGTTAAAACAGTGAAACTATTACCCAGTACGATTATACAATACATACAAATAAATATATTTGTATGTATTGTATATAGTACCTAACTAGTTTTAATGGCAAAAAAGTAACTTGATCTTTACATTTCTTTTAATAATTTATTTCTGTATACTAATATATATAAAATTAAACCAAATATATTATATTTGTTTGTAAGCACTGATGATTGCAGAAAAAAATTTAGAGAGACAATATATAGAGCGAAGTGTGCTATGAAAATCTATGGATATCTTTATTATTGTGATAGCGCAAATATTAGTAATATCTATTTTAATATAATAATACAATAACATTAGGTGACTCATTAATAATTTTGTCATAACATTTGACTAGTACGCATGAAACAATTAACAAGCAATTTTCGAAACAGTATTTTAATAACTAAAATAATAAGAATTTAAAATAAAAATTAGTATCAAGTCTTTCGCTAATACATTTAGGAATGGATATTCATAACTAGATTATTAAAAAAAAACTATAAGTCTTTTCTAAATAATAAAAATCTAATAAAATTTTAGAAGTATTTTTATCAGTCATACGCTATGATGCGTTTCCTATCTTTAAACTTTTTAAACTATACCATAGAGATTTTCACTTTTTTACACATTCAGTCAAAAATAATATACATTTCAATATACTTAGATTACTATAATAAAATTGATTTAAAATTGGATCGACTACGGAGTATTATTTCAAACATTCTAAAGGTGTACGTATTTATTTTTAGCGTTGCGCATTGTGCCGCGACATGCGCAATTTAGCGCAAGTTAAAAGTTTTTTGCGCAACTTTTATAATAAAAATATTTTAATTTAAAATTTGGCAAGGCTTAGCAAATTAATACTATAATTAATAATTCGATACTTATGATAGCCTGAGATAATACATAGTTACAAATAAAACATTTTACTAAATAATTTTCCTTCATCTCATCTATGACACTTTTTCTATACTTGCGCTTACTGAGAAGGCAAATCAATAAAGCACATAAGAATATCACATTGGATTTTAGCACTAAGGATGACCACATAGAGTATAAAACAATATTAATCTATTCAGTTTTAGACGACATTTACGAATTAGTTTACATTTATAGCGCAACCGTCACCAAGCAACGAGATCACGGTGTGTAATTATTTAAAACCTTTTTGATTATAATAATCGATATGTTACATCAAATCTTCCAAGTTTACTTAAAAACATTGTTGCGCAAAATATTTCTTTTCATAATTAAAAGTACATCACATTTTACACTTTATTCCCAATACCATAAGGAGCAAACTAAACTGCACACTGTACAAAAAAATCGTTAAAATAGATACACTACATTTAAAAACAGTCTTTAAACACTTACATTACTTTCTTCGGGCGCTAATTGGATTTCGTGTTGGAAGTATTTTTCATACTTTGGCCATAGTCTGATGGCGAGTCTAACTAGTTTGTTTAACTGTGGGGTGGCGGCCCATGTGATGACGTCACTGTTGGCGCCCAACGTGGTACTACACGCGGTTTCATAGTTCCGACGCGTAGTATCGTCTGGAGAGATCACGCATTGAGCGTAGCGGCACAGTATGCGATGGCTAAAAGGAAAAGGATGGAATTATTTAGATTATTTATTATTGACTACCTACTCAAATTAGGACTATTTAAATGAGCATGGTGGGATAATAAGTATTATAATATGTATTATAAACATCTATAAAAGTTGTCGGAATGCTCAAATTATTAAATGCATGTTAGATACTACTTCTTTCTCTCGACTCGACCTCACGCTATTGTTTAGTAGTAGACTAATGATCACAAACTTTCTCCAACAACATGTTAATTTAAACTAAAATTATATTTTGAATAAAGAGTACTCACAGTGCAGTAGGTTTATCAGTATCAGCATGCATAGTGACGACCCTGAGTATAGAACGGCGCGGTGTCTCCGCCCAGCGCGCTAGTAGAGAGCGTGCGCACGCGCAGCTCTCACGCGCCTCGTCACTGTGTTGAGGGAGCGAGACAGCTATACGACATGCGAAGCATATCCACACTGCTATCATTGGTTCGTTGTCCACGCTGTTGAAAAATAGAAGTGATATTTGTAACAGTTACTTTTCTTATTTCACCTCTTTCTAGTTACTCCCGCGCAGTTTCATCCATTTCTCGGATCCTATTGATCGTAGCGTGATGTTATGTAACCTATATAGCCTTCCTCGATAAATGGACTATCCAACACAGAAATAAATGTTTAAATCAGAACAGTAGTTCCAGAGATTAGCGCATTAAAACAAACAAACTCTTCCGCTTTATACAGGGTGTCCCTGAAGTCGACGATCAAATGGCACCAGGTGATCGACAAAGTTCTAAGAGTTATCAGAAAAATATAAAAAAAAATTGTTAGTTATATAGCCAGTAAATAATATTTGTGAAAACTTTATTTATAATCAATTGTAACACGTTATATATTAGGATTTTTCTAGTGTCGGATATGAGCTTTAAACACATGTTCACGAACATTTTACACCTAGAGTCGAAACAACAGTTTAAACATCATACAAAGAATAGTACGTAAACTTACAAGTGTATGTCTGCAGCGTGCAATGCAGCGAGTACATCGTGCAGTGCGCGCGCTGTGTGCGCGTGCGCGGCGACGCATGCGTACGCCGCGTGCAGGCGCGCGCGCGCACACAGCGGGCCGCCCTCGCGCCACGGGCACGACTGCCAGCGGGATGATATCTCCAGCCAACCTACTGGCTCTGGGGAACGTACAATTACATCATTATAAACATGTAACATCATACAGATACCAATGTTCTTATATAAATGATTAGGATCACCACTGGACCATGGCTCTTCTATAAAAAAGGAGTTTGTCATAATATGCACCTTTGGGAAACGCGTTTGAGATTGCAGTTTCAGAGTTTATCCATCTGGTTAAATATTTTAAAATATTACACACTTTTTTTATTTTTTTACAGAAACGAATACTTTCGACGATATATTAATTTAAAATGTCGCGTGTCGTCTCTTCTATGTACATTTTATACGTAGAAATGACGTTTTAGCCCCCACTCCTAAACTTTGATTCGTTATATCTAAGTATCATTTTATTATACAACAATATAAAAAAATACCGTGTCTAATATTTTTTCATTACTTAACTGACGGACTAATTACATTTTTAATTTTCATACCCTGTCATCGTCCCTATTGTACTTAAATATCGTGCTATCTCTATCATTATACACTTAAAATTGAGTAGCGATTCAGTATTCAGTATTCAATCCTACAATAACAACTGGGTGAGTAGGCTTGGTAACAAATGTAATACACAGTAATTATTATTATGACATATGATCTCACCAGTAGAGAGTAGCAGTGTCCGTGCCGCAGTGTCGGCGAGTGCCGCGAAGTACTCGAAGGCAGTGAGCGCGGCCGCCGCGGATATACTCGCGCGGACCAGGCGGGGACTGGCGCTGCTCACCCACGATACCCACACCTGTGTACATATAGCCAAAGTACAATATCTATTTGATAACTAGCTGACCCGACAAATTTCGTACATACATATATAACTTCACGCTTGTCCCCCATGGGGGTAGGCAGAGACTATGGAACGCCAATTAGTACGTTATTACTATTCCTGCATACTTCTTTCGCTTCATCAACAGTCATCAATCTTTTCATGCATGCTCGTCGGTTAAGGGTACTTTTAATTTGGCCCTTCTTTAATATATCGCCAATCTGGTTACTATATGTCCATCTAGGGCGTCCTCTACCGACGGTCCTATTCATATTCGCTCTGTATACTTCTTTCGTTACTCTACATTCATCCATCCATTCTACATGTCCAAACCAGCGTAACAATTCCTTTTCAATCTTTGTCACTACATCATCTTTCAATCCACACTTTCCTCTAATAACAATATTTTTCACTCGATCACTCAATTTTAATCCACACATACTTCTCAGGGCTCTCATTGCATTAATCCTGCTTTCATGGTTCTTTTCCCACACCCATTGTACACTATACCATACATAAGCTTTGGTGTCAATACACACTGCATTACAGCAAGTCAAGCTTTGCTGAATATTAATTTACTCGACATTACAGAGTGTAAGGCACCATTAACAATATTTCCCGCTTTCACTCTCCTTTTAATATCCCCGTCACACTTTCCATCTCTCGTAAATAGCGAACTGCAAACTTCGTCGACTAGTTTCAAGCCATGCTAGAGGCTCATATTCATGAGCAGCATTTCGCGACCCGCGACTGCTGACACGCTAGTCAAGAATTACGCGAGTAAGCCGAAAACATAATAATTGATTTAGTATGTCTCACGAAAGTTATAATACAAACTTCGTATAGCCTAAAAATTGGTTTTGTTACCTTTTAAACCTTCCCTGCACTTCCACGAACATTTTAAGACTAAAATTACCCAAATCGGTTTAGACGTTCATAGATATAAAATGATGTCTAGCTTATGAAGATAAGTAAGTGTAGTCGATTTTTTTAAAGTAACGTTGCCCTATGTTAGATTTTTCTCCGGAGTAGTGGGTACGTAATTAATTACACATATACAACCAATTTGTTGATCACACAAAAAGTTGTTTCGTGCGGAAATCAAACTCGCGACAAGTTATGTAACTTAATTCTTGTTTCAATTATACTGTTAAATAAAAATGGAAGTTTAAACAAAATGTCTACTATATTATACGTCTATTAAGTTTTAGCATTGAGTAAGCGTGGTATTTAATGCTCGAACCTCCGTGTGAAAAGAGGCTTTGCTCAGCAGTGGGCATTTATAGGCTGTTGATGATGAAGTGTACGCTTAAGTTCACACTAAATATAAAATAATGTTAAGTATGTATGCATGATTACCGGCAAAGCAGAAGTAGCAGCGGGCTCTATACACATGATGACGACGGCGCGAGACATCAACTCCTCCAGCTCTCCTCCCGACTCTTCTAAATGTGGCGCTGGATTCAAAACAATTTTATTTATTTATTTTGTTAACTTAATACAAAATTAAGTTTCTCAGTTACACAAACATCTAACGATTTTCGATTTGTGCAAAAATAATTGCTCGATTTGCTCCAATGCTGTCGAAAGCCCTGAATATGAAAGCATATTGTTACATGTATGTACATCACTACTTAGTAAGTAATGGCCCTCTCACTATAATGTGTTATATAAGGTAGGACACTCGTCAGCCGTTGTCTACCTGTCATAGTCTGGTGTGTGTACACGTCGTGCGCCCTGCACATTATTGTAATAAATCCAAGTAAAATAAATCCGTCTATAATTAATCAATCCACCTACATAATACATATCAGTATAGGAATGTCTATTTGTACAACGTACCTAGCATCTCTATGACGCGCAGTAGATGCGCAGTTTGCGCAGTGACATGCGCAGCGAGCGCGGGTGCGCATGCGGCGCGCACCCACTGCGACACTCCGCGCGCTCGCTTGTGGCGCGGCAGGGGCTCGGGGGGCGCCGGCTGCAGCGGGGACAGCTCGCACGATACTAGGATCACCCTGGTAAACAAGTCTCATTCAGTATTGATTTTTAAGTAATAAAATAAATGGAGTGTTCAATTATTGAAAAAGCACAACTGGAAATATTTTATAAAGATTTTACAAAAATGATCTTTGACGTTTCGATAAAAGTATTGAATTTGACTAGTTTACAACTACCGTATGGTAAAAAAATAGTAAAGTATTAGCGACTTTTTAGTAAGAAATACATAATTTTAAGAATAAACATTTTACAGTTACAATATATGGCAAAGTTCACGAGTATTATACAATGATTATAATAGAAAAATAATTACTTGAACTGCGGCAGGTCGTGGTAAGGTATGGCCGGGTTATGGTGTACCATGTAGAACCGATCCAACGCCTCGTCCAGCGCCAGCTCCGGGAGTCGACGCCATGGTAACTTGCACGCTTCCTCTAGTACCTAACAAAAAAATTTGAAGAAATATTTAGAATGCAAAAAAAATGTTTAGTATCAGTCTCATCTTAAGGTAAATTTCAAATAACTTATATCTATAGTTTTCTATATTTGAGATAGATATTTGTCAGATTATATGAGACAAAGCGGCAAACGAGTAGATTGCCTGATGGAAAGCAATAGGGTAGATGCCTAATTTGTATTTTATTGTCCGTCTGGTAGATTATTTTAAATCATTAGACACGTATTTTTTATTTTCTTACATAAACGAATACTTTTGACGATATATTGATTTGAAATGTCGCGTGACGTCACTTCTATGTACATTTTATACGTAGAAATGACGTTTTAGCCCCCACTCCTAAACTTTGATTCGTTTTATTTATAGTCTGATTTTTAATTCGAGTCAGTAAAATGACAGGGGCAACTGTCACTTTCACAAAAAAGGGTGACCCACTACAATAGTGATGTTCCACAATCGACCGACTTAGAAGTTTAGTCATGATTTATTTTATTAGGTATCAGAGCGTTGTTTTTATTGTAAATATTAAAAGCATAACGTATTAAGTAATACAATTTTAGAAATATGAACCTTCCCAGCATATTAAAACTTCTCACTACAACATTATTACAAAAGATGGGGGATTCAGAGGAATCAATAATGGAAAGTAAGAATAATACAAGTAATTTTATAGGTTTTTATTCATAACGGTTGCGATTCCGAATCCGATTCTGAATCAGTATATTCAGAATCGGAATCGGAATCAGTTACATTTATTATAAATGAATCCACACATTCGTCTATGATGTGGTCGAGTTGGCACATTTTGTCTTCGACTTTTATTGCATGGTTGATGCACTGTCGCCAATTTTCAGGTGTCACTTCTTTCACACCTTCTTCAAACAACTTTTTACGTCTTTTATTTTAAAAGTTTTATTGTTCCTGGCGACATACCCCTTTGTTTGAGCCCAAACTAACTCTATTGGGTTGAGCTCACAGTGATAGGGGGCAGCCGCAGGATTGTGACACCATATTCAGGCCAACTCTTCCACAGCATAGCGTTCGTAATTCGATTTGTGGGATTTTACAATCTCTATTAATTCAGCTTTTATCATCCTAGGTTGAAATTGAATATTTTTTTCATTCAACCATTGAATTATATCATCTTTCCGCCAGTTTGAAGTGGGGATACGCTCGACTTTTCTAGAATGATACGGTGCGTTATCTAGTACCAGCACCGCATTTGGCCTTAAATTTGGCAAAATAGTTTTAAGCCAGTCCTCAAAACACTTTGAGTTCATTTCTTCATGATAGTCACCGGTATTTTTCTTGGATTCAAAAATTAATAACCCGTCTTCTAAAAATCCTTCATCACTGCCTATGTGGGAAATTATTAGGCGTCGACCTTTGCCGGTTGGGCCCTTTAGGCCTGTAGTTAAACCTTTTGAAAAGGCTTGTTTGGAAGATTCTATCGTTGTATCCACCCAAACTTTACAGTTGTATGACCTGTTAATATACAAAATTCATTAAATAATACAATACTGACACAAATACATTTTGAAACTGAAAAACTATGCACTTAATATAGTTGTAAATAAAAATATACAATTACCTTCATTAATCCACGTCTCGTCTTGATAATAAATTACTTTTTCTTGTCTCCGATATTCTTTGATTGTTTTCAAGTACCGTGCACGCCACAGAATTAAATCTTGACGATCCATCAAGCAGCTGCGTCGGTTGCGTCTCGCATATTTAAAATTTAAATGTTTTAAAACTGCTCGCATGGTACTCTTTGACATATTTGGTAGGTCAGGATCATCACTTACAGCCTGATGAACCTGTAAAGTATTACATATATTTTTTGTAAACTTCAGCGAGTCAATGAAATGTGTGTTAATTACTACCTATTCAGAATCAGAAATATTTATTTGTTAAACATAGGTATTACATGAGGATCTTATCAATAAACGCAGTGCGTATGTTTTGCCGTGAAGGCGTACACACGTTAAAATGAGAGATACTTATACTACAAAAAAAAAAATTAAAAAGTTATGAAAAAAACTGAAGAATTATTAGAAACAATTTATACAAGAAAAGAACACAATCAAGTTAAAAAATATTCTGTATGACTAATAAATATTAAATTTCACTATCATATATTATGTATGATGTGCAATTATGTATTTTGTATTGTATTATAATTTTACATACCTTGGCAATAGTTGGTGGGTCCTTCTCATAAAAGAATTGGTGAACTTTACGTCGTATCGCCGAAAAGTCAAAATCATCAATTTTATCTTTGAATGTCAGTTTGGGTCCGGGTTTTTTCTGATTTGTTAACTGAACGTTCTCCTTTTGTTCTTTCAGTATCCGATATACAGATCTAGTCGAAATTCCCAATATTTCAGATACTGTCTTCACACACTCATCTTTCTTTGGAACTTCGAAAGATTTTGCTGTATTTTGATTCCATACATAATTATATGCATTGAGAATCATTTGTTTCTCACTCACAACAAATGATCGACGCTTTCTTTTTGGAGGGAGACATCCATCTTTAGAGGTGGACGGTTGGGCATCCATCTCAATCACCAACGTAACAAAAAAACGTAACAAAAAACTCAACAAATAACAAGTAAGAAATAAACAAGAAACTGCAGAGGACACTAAACACTTCTGACACCGTCGGAATTCGGGAGCAGAATGAAAAACAAAATGGCGTCCATGGCGTCATAAGTGATAGTCCTGCCAATAACAAAAAAAAAATATAACAACAGTATTTTATGTAATATATTATTACATGTCTTCAGTTTAATTTCCGTAAATTACATATTTATAATGTATGTACAAATAAATAAATGAATGTAATCTAGACTAACTTTTAATTCTCGATTTAAAAATCTCGATTTTCCACATCACTCTTTATTTGAGACCCTATTTTTTTAAAACCGTGCAACACTGGAAATGTCATTTTACTGACTCGAATTAAAAATCAGACTATAAGTATTGTTTTATTATGAGACAAAATAAAAAATACGTGTCTAGTATTTTTTCCTTACCTAACTTACGGACTAATTAGATTTTTAATTTTCATACCCTGTCATCATCCCGATTGGCGTCGGCCATGGCCACCCGCAACCCCAAAATTAAAAGTGCCTTGCGGTTTAGGATTGGGCATTTGCAGATTAGGGATTTAAGGATAGAGTATGGGAGATAGAGAGAGGATTGTTTGATTTTATCAACAGATTAGTTTATCTATATTTTTCCAACATAGGCAATATGTTCAAACGAGTACCTGTAGTGAGTGTGGCAGTAACGTCCCAGTGAAGAGATACAGTAGTTGCGCCAGATGCGGCGCGAGCTGCGCAGGCTCGCAGGCGGCCAGCAGGCAGTCTGCGCGCGCGCAGCTCCACGTGGCACTGCACCAGGACGTCAGCTCGCGGTCTGTGCTTGTCGATATCTAAGTGCAATGGATAAACAGGTAAAGTAGTGGTCACAAGGACAAAACATTTTGTTTTCAAAGTTTTTTAAGCATTGCCCCTCACTAAGATTTTCTCTTGTGTCGTGGGTTGAGCGTTTACAATCGTGCTTTTCACTGTGCCACTAAAATCCCCCCTTTTTTGAGCGACATACATCAATAAACTACTCCTCCCACCTAGTGTCTTGGTGAGGCGAGATGGAGCGTTCTGACACGTCCTCTCGCGTCTACCAGGTCGGGATGGGTGGGACGGGGTGGTTTTTAATCAGTTTGCTGACTAAAAACCACCCTTTTGCTACACTTACTTCAAACAGGGGCGCGGGGCCGGGGTCGTAACTGATTAAGCTTTACCAAGCTCCTTTCGGGACTAAAATCTCTCTTCGTTTATACATATGAACTTACCTGTAAAGCCTGCTGCAAACTCTTGCCATAGAACCACTGGTGCTCCGTCCAGGGTAGCTTGGCCATCTCGGCGAGGAGGGCCGAGGCCTGTACTCGAGCCTCCTGCGAGGCGGGGCCCGAAGAGGGGGCAGGGGCGCAGCCCGAGCCGGCGCCCTGCACCGTCATATAGGACTGTACGCACCACTCGAATATTTGCTGCAGGAGGTAGATCTCAGTACCTGAATGAAATTAATTTTTCAAACATGTGATCTACAGCTGAAGCACTAGCAGCCGCTTCACCAACCCTTTATTCATATTTTAACTAAGAGTTACTTATCGTCAGAGTTGTAAACTAACCCTTTACATGTACTAGCCTTACATTTTTTGGGACCAGCCCGCCATAACGTCTTATAACCACTGCAACTCCTGTACACCAGGTTCTACGGGGGGTGAGCCTATTGCCATATATCGGGCATAATTCCAGACACCGTGCTACTACTGAGAAGTTAAAAAAAACCAGTAGTACTTTGCCCGACCCGAGAATCGAACCCAAGACCTCCGAGACTCAGCAGTCGCACTTGCGACCACTCGGCTAACGAGGCAGCCAACTTTATAAAATGTTGAATATAAATGCTAATAATATATAATAGTATAATATGTGTCACTAACCAGGACAGTCCAGCATGACCTGGTGTATGCAGTCAAGGAAATGCCTCAGCATGGGCGTGTAGGCCTCCAGGTCCGACGTCGACGGCAGCAGGGGCGGAGCGCCCGCGTGGGGGGACACCCACGCACCCCACGACTCCTGGAGGGCTGACCACGCGTACCATGCCACTGTGGATAAAAAATGGATTTTAGACATTACACTTATATATTTATTGTGATATTTATAACCGACTTAAAATCTTTGGATTGAGGTCGATTAGTAATTCCAGCTGTAACACACTACACATTTACCAACACCGTTCTTCAATAAACTAGAAGTCAAAGTCAAAATCAATTTATTTCAATATTTTTTTATCGTATATGCCGAAACGAAACGAAACGAAACGAGCAGACGGATCACCTCATGGTAAGCAATCGGCGTCGCCCATGGACACCTGGAACACCAGAGCCGTTACAAGTGCGTTACCGGCCTTTTGGGATTAGGAATTGATGGATTGTTGGGGATTCAGGGATTGGGGAAAGGGGGTGAGGGTAATTGGGCATCCAGTAACCTCACTCACACGACGAAACACAACGCAACGTTGTTTCACGTCGGTCTTCTGTATGGCCGTGGTATCACTCCGGTCGAGCCGGCCCATTCATGCAGAAGCATGGCTCTCCCACAATTAGACCAGGAAGGCACTTTAAAACGTCAAACAAATATTAAAAATGTCAGTCAGTCGTCAGTCCTTTAGTGAAGCTATTTGGTCGTTTCAGAGTGTAGATGTGTGTTCCGTTCCTATGTAGAAAAACGATCAAGACACTCTATAGGTTACTCATTGTCTTAGAACCTTTTGAACTGTAATTTCAAAAACTACCTAAGAAGCGATCTCTTGTGTAAAGAAGGCTCCAGTAGTGGATTGCAATTTATATATATATATATATATATATAAGCTTAAGAACGGCTAAATCAATTTGGATGAAAACTGGTGGGGAGATAGCTTAGAACTAGGAGACATAGTATACTGTTTATCCATAATTTTTTTACTTTTTACTGACAATCACGAACGGGAACGGGAACAAACGGGATTGCGCGTACAAAGTCGCGGACAGAAGCTATTACTTAAATAAAAAAAAAGTATTTGCAGTGTAGAAAAGAGTAACCAATTAAAATAAAATTAAAAATGCGCGGTCGTGGCGATATTGCGACACCGACACCGATCGCGCACGCTGCTCATGAGTAAGATCTCCTCTGTGGTTCGAAACTGGTAGAGTTTTTCTCAGTATGTTCACGTGAGTAACCCGCGATTTTTAGTTAATTTAGTATATCTCACGGTAGCTATTTTAAAATAAATGTTTTTGGAATAATACAAGTGCGGTAGTTACCCCTGTCAGGCGCGTAGCTGAGGTTGCGTGCAGCGTGCACGAAGGCCCGCAGCAGTGCGTGCAGTAGCCGCGCCACGTGCGGCGCCTGCGCAGCCAGCGCCGCGCCCGCCGCGCCCGCTGCGCCCACTGCGCCCGCCTGCCTGCGCGTGCGCGCCTCCCACCACACCACGCCCAGCGAGCGCAGTACGTGGCCCAGCTGGACACAACATTATTTTAACATATCACCGGTCGACACGACTCACGACATATAATAAATAATAATACGGCAATCTCTACTACTGTAACTAATTTTTGAATACTTCTAAAATGCAATCTATCGCCAGTGGGACATTGAACAGTAGGTTCGTCCATAAATAAGAGCGTGTTCAGAGTAGCGATGTCGCATCCTTTTAATATTCATATATATCTACTGCAGTCGATAAACCTTAACAAATCATGCTGTCTCTTTGATTCTTTGTTGTCCATCAACTGTTGGGCCAACCAACATATTTCCGGATGATTAATGATTCTATGTTTGTAGGACTTGAAAATCTCCTCCGCCACCATCGGAGTCTTCATATCGTTTTGTAATTATTGTTCGTAGATCACGAACCATGGGGCATTTATTATTATTCAGTATTTTATTTACCTGTAACTTATAAGTTAAAACAACGAATACGAAAGTAATAATATGTACCTGATCAAATGGCACACCAGATGCCTTAGCATCGACAGCTCGGATGAGATGCACCCAGTGTCCGGCCGGCAACTTGTTTTCGACGGCTGCGCCTGCGCATGTGACAAGATGCTCGCCTAGTTCCCTGACGTCCAGTAACACAGCAGTATGCAGGCCCAGCAGTTCCACTAGCATGCAGTGCTCGGCTGCAGGCGTGGGACCCCAGCGCTGGACTGTACGAAGTAGAGCATCCAACATCTCTTTACGTTGGGTAACGTCTGCAGTTTCCGACCAACGACTCATTTCGAACTGAAAGATATAATAAAATTTGCTGGTAGGTACTTCAAAATATTTAATTATACAGTCAAATTCAGTACTTTGTTCGAACCGTCAAAAACAAAAGTTTTCTATGAATTTTGTACGGTTTTTAGCGTCAAACAGCGTACTTGATTCCTAAAAAAATATGCTGGTATAATACTAAAATTAAGTTGGTCATAAAATCAATTAAGGAAAATGTGATTACTTTATAATAATTAAAAAAAAATGATTATTATTTTATTATATTGAGGAAGAGCCCTTCTATGGCTCGAAACTAGTAGAGTTTTTCTCAGTTTTTTCACGTGAGTTCCAAACTACTTACCCTGGACAAATAACTGAATAATGTATGCGAAGGTAGCTGTGTCCCCAGTAACTGCATATATACAAGTGGCCAGGCCTCCGCCGGCAGTTGTCTGGGCGCCAGCAGGGCTCCGCACAGGGACTGTTGCAGGGAGCCACTCGAGCGCTTGCCCCAGGAAGATAATAGGTCCGCGCATATACGACCGTTCTGACATATCCAGCGCTAGAAATCATTGGTAATAAATTATTTTTTATTATTACCTATTAATATTAATATATATTTATTCGTGGCTACGACCACGTGAATTTAACGTTTAAGTGTGGGAGTCATGCTTTGGCATGAACGAGCCGGTTCGACCGGAGTGATACCACGGCCTCACAGAATACCGACGTGAAACAACGCCTGCGTTGTGTTTCGTCGTTTGAGTGAGGTTTCCGGAGGCCCAATTATACCTTCCCGTCTCCAATCCCCGAATCTCCAACTATCCTCAAATTCCTAATCCCAAAAGGCCGGTAACGTACTTGTAACGCTTCTGGTGTTCCTAGTGTCTATGAGCGACGACTATTGCTTATCATCAGGTAATCCGTCTGCTCGTTTACCCGGCTTATTCCCAGTAAGGTCATAAAATGATACATTCCGTACCTCAGCAAGTAGCGAGACGAGTGCGTGGAGTAGCGCAGCTGCGGGCGCGCAGGCGGCGCAGTGCGGTGCGCCCGCGCAGCGCCACGCGCGCTCCACTACTCGCACGGCTGCCTCGCTGCTGCGGGTGCGGCTGGACGGAGTGGACGGGGTTTTTAATTTAATTATTATAAAGCATTATTATAATTATTTTATATGTGAATTTTTATCATCATCAGTAAGAAGAACTTGTTTGTTATTGTTACTTAATGGCCTGTCATTCTACCTTAAAATACAGTTTTGAACCAAAATATTACAGGAACTTAATATTCATGCTTATGTACAGTTTCTACAAAACAAACTTTATACAATGGTTCGTTTTTATAATAACTATCGTGATACTTAATAAATTAACTAAAAACCGCGGGTTACTCACATGAATATACTGACAAAAGAACCAGTTGGCTGCGCGACATCGCCGCGACCGCGCACGCTGCTCATAAGGAAGAACTCCTCTGTGAGTCGAAACTAGTAGAGCTTTTCTCAGTATTTTCAAGTGTACTAACCCGCGATTTTTAGTTAAGTTTGTTATTTAATTTTTGTTTAACAACGTGTAAAATAAGGCAATAATCTTAATTAGAGTTATAAATAAGTAGTATCATGTGTACCGAGCAATAGTATGCAGCGCGGCGGCAGTGCGCGCGGCGTGCGGGCGTGCGCGCGCGAGGCGGCGCACTGCTGCGCGCGCGCTGCTCCTGTTGTCGCGCACGCCGCGCTCCGCGTCCACCGACACACACCACTCTTGCTCCTACACAACATTACACATATTTTTAAGTGTTGGAGAGCCTGGAGAGTTGCTTGGGTACGAATGGGCCGGTTAGACAAGAGTGCGCCCACAGCATTATTGAAAACCAGCGTGAAATATCGGAAGCGTTGTTTTGTAGAGTAAGTGAGGTTACCGGAGGCCCAATTCCTCCCCTCTAAAATCTAATCCTAATCTCAATCGTAATCCCCAAATTCCTAATCTTAAATCCCTAACTCCCAAAAGACTGACAACGTACTTGTAATTCCTCTGGTGTTGCGGATGTCCATGAGCGGCGCCGATCGCTTACCATCAGGTAACTGTCTGTTCGTTTGTCGCACTATCCCCATAAAAAAACAACATAAAAATAAAGATACATACCGGTATATAGATGGTAATATGCTTGCACTTGTTAGCGCACTGTTTGCGGACTGGCGGCAGTGCGCGGCGCACGCGCAGTACACTCACTAGCTCCCACAGACGACTGTCCAATGAGGAGACGCGACCCACTTCCGTACACCACTCTCTAAGGAATAATAACAATTAACTTAATGACACGAACGTAATAACGTATAGTCGTTATTTAATTTTCAACCTTAACACTTTAAAATAGAGTTGAAAATCTATTGAAAGAAATTGATAGTATGAGTATATCACTATCACTTTATGGCAATATTTTCAAATTTTATAAATAATTTATCATTTGTATTTTCTCATTTATCTGTTTATCATGATTTTTTAGACTCCATACTAAATATGTAGTATGAAGTCTCAAATTAAACTAGTATACTGAAAAAAAAAATAAGGGAAGTATATACTTACTGCGCAAGTCTCTCGATGTCTTTCAGATGTTTATCGACTAGAGACAGCAGCGTACGCGCATCTTTGAAGTCGACGTCTTCCACTGGCGACTTGATCAATGATCGCTTTCGTCTAAAGAACATAAGAATTATTAAGTGAATATTATTAAGCATGGCTAGTCAAGTTCCTCGTCAAACAGTTACTAGAGTAAGTCGAAAACATAATAATTAACCATTTGAGTACCGTCATTATAGACACAATTAAAGAACAATAGGTTGCGGTCACCGGTGTCCTCGCGGTGTTTGACAGTGTTGTACTATGTAGTTTCTAAGATTATTTGGACACCACTGACGGTGTACAAAACCTAGATAATATAACTTCATATTATAAGTTTGAAATGGCCAACACGTCTTGAGCAAGTGATGTGATTAATACTCAAACCTTCTCCGTGTGAGAAGAGGCCTTTATTCAGTAGTGGTATAAGTTACAGAATATTTTTATGGGATAAGTGGGTAAACTTACAGACGGTTGATCACTTGATGGGAAGTAACCGGCGTCGTCAATGGACTCCCGAAACACCAGGAGAGTTACAAGTACCTTGCCGGCCTTGGGGGATTAAGGATTTATGATTTCGGGGATGAGGGGATTGATATTATCACATACCTTCTTTTTGAATGGTCTTTGATCTTCAGTATAGTATCGACAGCTACATGGAATGGCGTCTGTGGCGGGGCGGAGTCCTGCGCCGGTGGAGTAGTGGGCAGGGGGAAGCTATCCACCTCTATACACGGGACTGGACGGACTACTGCATGCTTCCAACCTGCTTCTAACGCCTGGGAAAAGGGGATAATAATTTAAACACCTAATTAAACTGTCTAGTATATTTTTGGTTTTACGAAATTAAGACTTATGTATATAAATCTAAATCATGTTTTATGTAAGGCCAAAGGTCAAAAGTCCTATTGGTTGCGCTACAGCGCTTATACACACATGCAAACGCATATTTTCATCCGTGTGCGTACGTCTGCGTGTGTTTATGCGTACGCACGCGTTTTTATGCACATTAATATGAAATTAGTTACGCATTGCCGTGTGAACATCACTCACAGTGGCAGTGGACTATTGACCTTTGACTGTACATACACACAGCTACACTTTGAGCAATAGAAACCAATTTATCTTGGTCTCGCTTTGTATAATCTTTCCGCTTACTCGACGGTTAATTTATATTGGAAGTTAGAATTGTAGCCGTATATATAATCAGCCAACATATTTGGTATGCAGGTAAAACAATAAAGATTGATTCAGTATCGAGATAGGAACTATTGGTCGGCTACTGAACCTACCCACATAGTACAAAAAATGTCTGGCCGTACATTAGTTCATATTGGAAATACATACATAATATGTATATTTCAGTATTGTATTATACTTACATGCTCCGGTATGAACCTGGCGAGGTCCGCGAAGTGTGGCGGCACGCGCACTTTGTCACCTTCCTCCAGCCAGTGTAGATATTCGCTGAACATTCTAAACACAGAATAATTAGGCATGAATAAATAAACAATATGTCGTAGAATAATCGCCTTGGGTCTTACTCTTGAATCCAATTCCGATCGATCGACATTGGTATTGTGAAATTGTGTACTTTCGAGTTGTAATACTAGCGCCCATTGCAACCGTATTGCGTGGATATTGAATAAACTGGTAAATAAAATGGTATTGAGTTTGGCTTTATATTCCGTACTCTAAATGTTATTCTAACAGCTACGATTGTGGTTGTATAGTGTTGACATCGAATAATTATTGAGATTTTATTGGATTGAAATTGCATTGACATTGAGATTTCGGTTTCAAGAGTAAGCTCCCTTATACATGTTGGTTCAAGACAAAAACTAAATAAAACTTTATAAACTTTATATATTTTTTTAATATAGTTTGGACCAACAGTTTCTGTATATATAGTATTAGAAAAACACACATAACAATAAGTATTGGGCTTATACAGTCGCCATTTATGGGTTAACCTACTTTAAAATTAAGTGATAAAAAATACTTTTAAGTATTTTAATTTGAAAATTTTGGCAATACAGGTATATGAAGATAAAAATTTACTCACTTTTCAGCCCCAGCATGATAAACAATCAGATTATAAACATTCTTCTTCGCATCAATCGCTTCACTATTCGGACTCGATTCCTTCTCACTGTGACTGTCATCATCAGTATCGCTGGACTCACTCGATTCTCCAGTCAAATCGATTATCGATAACGCTGGTAACAGACTATCTTCGATTTTAGACGGACTTGCTTTCTCTGCTCGAGAAATCGGTTGTGTGTCGCTAGTATCGATTGATTTGTGCTCGATTTTGAGTGCTTCGCCTTCATTGTGGTGGTAGGTAATCGATTCTTGGAGTTTTCGTTTTAAATGTGCGAGTGTGCGAGATTTTATTAGTCCACTGAAGAATAGTGGGCCTACTGGTGGTACTAACCTAGAAAAAAATGAGACATGATAATAATATTGCAAATAATAAGTAATAATATTCAGATGGAAAAGTACAATACTAGTTTCTTTATCTGACATAATAATTGAATCCTAGAACTTAGCAACCAGCAAGCTTAGTTGAGCCATTACAAACGTGTGATGAACTGTCAACAAAGGAATGTGACAAAGCCGCAAAACTCGCATTAGTATAGTCATCCTATTACTAGATCTATGTATTAAGTTTCCACAAAGAAATAAAACAAAACGTACCCATAATCAGGTGGAGACTGTAGATATAGATGCATGAAGAGCCGCCACAGCGTTAGGTGCGCGGGGTGCGAGGCGGGCGCCGCCAGGGCCGCCGCCGCCGCGCGGTATATCACTAGCTCGTCTGATGTCAACTGGGTGCCTAGTTTCTGGAATACAATTTGGAAATGCTAACTTTTTCATCCGTGATAATATGTCGAGATTAGATGTAGTAATAAAATATTTTTGTTTTATAACTTTATTATTTAATTAACTATCGTGTCTAACGGCTTAATCTGTCAAACACCAAGCGGTCACCGGTGACCGCGACCTATTGTTCTTTAATTGTGTCTATAAAACCGGTACTCGACGAGTTAAACTGTCAAACACCAAGCGGTCACCGGTGACCGCGACCTATTGTTCTTTAATTGTGTCTATAAAACCGGTACTCGACGAGTTAATGTGGTCGGCCGAATGACGTTAGCCGCAACGCGTGCCGCGCAATGCTACTCATAAATATGAGCCCCTATCGGTGCTTGAAACTAGTCGTGTTCTTTGTCAAATAGTTATGTGAGTAATCCGTTAAATTTTGTTTTTGCCAGTATTAGGTTGAAATAAAATGGAGGGTCTAGTAGTATAAGTATAGTAAATTTACGTCTTATTGACAAACTTTATCGAAACGGCTATTATAATATACACGCTTTATACAAAGTGTCCCAGGATGATAATAATAATAAATAGAAGTAAATTACCGTAAATACGGCAAATAGATAATTTTACAGGAAGAAGACATGTCATTTTACAATGTCGTAAGTATAGTTTAGCGTGATGTACCTGTAGTGCATTATCGACGTGTATCCTGACGCTGGCGGCGCGCTGCAGGTGCAGGCGCGTGCAGAGCGCGGCGTGCAGGCGCGCGCAGTGCGCGTGGTGCGCGCGCAGTATACACTCGCACAGTCCCGGCGCCGTACTCGCGTTGCGGACCGCTTGGGACACATGTTCTCTTGCGTTTTCCTCCTAAAAGGGTATGATATCCTGTTTATTTGGGGTCTGAGTCTTTGTCCGACATCCTAATGGCAGATTTACATGACATTTTATTGTTACAACGGCAAATCTACAACTGAATCCTAAATGAAGAGACGGCTGTAATTGATAATTGCAAAATGAAAAAAACATACAATATAATTAAAATTATAAGCCCAGGTTTCCTCACTTAGAAAGTACATACAAATCAAAAAAGGTCACATTAATACTCGCTGTTGGTAGGTTTTGAATTCGCACCCTCTTACATGAGAAATGGGCGTCTTTTCGAGCTACCACGACTCTTAGTTTAATCATCATAAAATAAGTGAATTATCAATATCGTAAAAAAGCTATCGTAAAGCGTAACAATATATAAATACCTGCAACAACCCCGCAGCGTACGCGTCGAGTACCGGCCAGTCCCGCGTAGCGGCAGCGGCCGCGTCCGCCAGTGCGCAGGCGCCGGCCGGGCCCCGCCCCCATAGTACGTGCAGCCACGCACTCAGTACACTCGCGCGGGACTCGCCACTGTACATAAGAATAAGAACCGGTTTCCCAATTAGCCCTCGTTTAAGGAGACGCGAGCAATCAGCAATGACGCGACTTTTTGCGTCAATGTACGACGATCAGGCCTTATACCTAATATCATACAAGTGGATTGCAAGATTGTCAAAGTGAAAAAGTTGTCAACGAATATGTTACGGACGCACAACGAACACACCGCGGCTGCGTACTGAGTACTACCGTAGACGAGTAATAAAGTTTACTACACGCAAACGCAAACCAACGTATTTACCCGAGCGTGCGGCGCGTCGCGTTCCGTGCGAGCCATTAGACCACCGCAGAAGGGGCTGAATAGGGCTGATGCCGATACGGAGCAGCGGAGAACTTCACGGGTTACCGGGGCTCCGGCTCGAAGTGCAGGAGTGGGAAATGAGTGGTTTTTAGTCAGTAAGAGTCTGACACTCCCTCCCGCCTCACCCAAGCGGGAGAAGTCATTCGATTATTTCCCCTCTTAAAAAAATCAAACGTATTTGCCACTAGTCCGCGACGTCTTAATTGCGCAGCCGTGGCGTGTTCGCGACGTATTCTTTGCATGTACGTACCGTTGACTTGAGAAGTAATAACATCACGCCTTTTATCCCCGAAGGGGTAGGCAGAGGTTCACATTACGGCACTGCCACTGTACAGTGTAACACCCACTTTTCACTATTTATTTTATGACTTTCATGTAATAGGGGGTGAGCCTATTGCCATATATCGAGCGCAATTCTAAACTCCGTGCGCTACTACTGAGATTAAAAAAACCATTAATACTTTGCCCGACCTGGGAATCGAACCTGAGACCAAGGGGCTGAGTACTAATGAGGCTGTTTCGCAGTTGAAAAGTACAAAATTGTTTGAGACAAGACACACGCTTGCTTAGCGTAAACCTGTGTGTCGACGTACAATCCCATACCTTAAAAATTATGATAGAGGAGGCTCATAGTACTGTCACGAGCTATTTGTGTGAATATAGACACTAAAAACGTAATGCTACACTGACCTATCTTCAAGCTGTGCCAGTATGAGTCGCAGTAGCAAGTCGGCCCCGGTGACACCGCCGCGGCCCAGTGCACGCTGCACTAATGTCGGTCCAGAGTTCAGGAGGAGAGATATTACTTCTGCAAACCTTGGAAACAAACAAACATATATTTATATTGTAACTCTTATGACACATCTTAAATTTAATTACGTATGTTTTCGCATCGTTTTCGCAATGCTGCTCTTGATTATGGGCTCTTAGTGTGGCTCGAAATTAGTCCAGTTACCTCGTCAAACAGTTACGTGAACAAGCAAGTGCGGAATAGCTATGCTCCGGCACGAATGGACCAGCTGAACTGACAGAAATATGGAGTGACGTTACCCGAGGTCCAATCCCCCCCCTTCTTTCAACCCCTATCCCCAAATTCCGCCGATTCGGAGTCGTGGAGAACCTAACGGGTAACCGGGGCTCCGGGTCGACGTGCAGGAGAAGGAACGGGGTGGTTTTTAGTCAGTAAGAGTCTGACACTCGCTCCCGGCTCACCCAGGCGGGAGCAGTCATTCGATGATTTTACCCCATAAAAAAAAAATCACCAAATTCCGAATCCCTAATAGGTGGAGAACTCACTTGTAACAAGGAATTAGTACCTATAGCTAATTGTCGGCGGCGATTGATATCCATCAGGTGATAATGTTAAAATGTGCGTAGAAGTTTTGCGGGTTATTCAATGTTTTACTATACCGATTTGTCACCAGTTGGCATAGCAATAAACATGTAAGTATGGCACTCACTTGGGTGTGTAGGCGAGTGACTCGGGCGACTGCGCCATGACGAGCATGGCCCCGGCCAGGCACTGCACCGCGTCGCGGGGACGACTACTGGCTAGCTTACACAGGCCAGACACTCCTTCCGAACATATCTAAACAAATTAAATATACTTACTTAAAATATACTTTTACTACATAAAGTTTTTAGTTATTGCCTAGGAGAGATCGCTGTTAAGTAAAAGGAATTAATTAATGCTAATATTATTATTAAATAAGGCTGAACAAAACTTTCAATGTTTGAGGGCTTGACTCGGGAGTTGCGGACGACCTAACAGATTATGTGGCTCAGACTTGAAGCAGGAGTAAGGACAGATAATTTTTAGTGCTTAATAGTTTGTTCAACTCGCTTCGCCCGGGGCGGGGGGAGTCGTTCGATAATTACCTCCCCCCCTCCCAAAAATATCGAATACCTATCTAACTAAACACTTTTTCACATTGGCCTTATAATTTCTAGTATTTACTAATTAAATTGGAATCTTCAAAAAAACATAAAAATATAAGATTTTCATTTCACAATAAGTTTACATAACATAACATCACGCCTTTTGATCCCCGAAGAGGCAAGCAGAGGTGCACATTTCGGCACTTAATGCCACTGTACAATCTAACACCCACTTTTCACTATTTATTTTATGAGTCCTATGTAATAGGGGGTGAGCCTATTGCCATATACCGGGCACATTTCCAGATCCAGATCCAGATTCCAGATTTCCGTGCTATTACTGAGATTTTTTTAAAACCCAGTAATACTTTGTCATAAGTTTAATTATACAAAATATACTTACAACAGGTATACAATGTCCCCAAGACGAAGACATCAGCGCGTAGGCAATGGAGAACAAGTCAGTGGGTTCAGTATCCGGCGGGGGCGCATCGGGGGCGAGCCGCCACGACGTGCGGTGGGGGCGCAGGCGCCGGAGTATACTCCAACACCACTCTGGGGGAGCGCCCCCGCTACTGCCGGGGGATCTAACCCGCACCCACTCACACAACCAGCTACCTATGCTTAGCTGAACGTCTAGAGAGACACCGCTGTAAAGAATTAATTAATTTTTATATGTTTTTTTCACACACTAGGATTTAATTAAATGTCGTAGGCGCGTTGATAAACATACAAGTTCACATACACAATGACACCCAGACCCGAAACAACGATTTCTGGATCGCATAAAGTGTTGCTTCGTACGGGAATTGAACCCGGTACACGTTGCGCGGCAACCGGTAGCCCAGTCACCGCAGCAACCGTACAGATGTTGGTAACAAATGCTCGTAATAGATAATTTTGTAGTTCTATTTTCTTTGAGGGGTGAATCTGAAGTGCAAAAGGGGGGATGGGGTAAACTAAATATAGGTTAATAGCATTTAAAAAAGTTTGAACACCATAAACAAGAATTTAAACCAAAATATACTTAAAACACTTACACATAAGGTGTATAATCCATCTCCAATAGTAAATGTTGCAGTAAGTTCTGACACCGCCTCGACCAGTCGTCCAGTAACGCCCTCGCCTCCCCGGTGGTGGGACGCCATTTGTTCACTTTTAAAGTTTTCACACAGGACGGGTCTAAAGACTCCACTGTAAGTATAAATAATAATTAATTTAATTACGTCAAAAATATTTTTTTAATGGAATAGGAGGCAAACGGGCAGACGGATCTCCTGATGGTAAGCGATCAGCGCCGTCCATGGACACCCGCAACACCAGAGGAGACACAGGTGCGTTGCCTGCCTTTTAAAAAGGAATACGCTCTTTTCTTGAAGGGTTGAAGAAAAAATCGGAAAGTGAGTTTGTTTATTTGTTCCGCTTTCACGCCGTAACTACTAAACCGATTGCTTTGAATTTTTGAAGGCGTAAAGTTAGAAGTCCGGATTAAATAATAGGGTACTTTTTATCCCGGAAAAATTGATATTCCCGATTGAAAACAAAAGTGTTGGTATAGATGGCGCTGTGTGTATTGGTATATGTCACATAGGCTACTTTTTATCCTTTTGTGACGCGAGCGAAGCCGCGGGTAAAAGCTAGTACTACATATTTGACATATTTTTAACAGCCTTCAAAAAAAAGTAGTAAGTATGTACATTTATGTATGTATGTTCGGTCCGCGATTATCTTGGATTGGCTGAATCGATGTTGATGCGGTTGCGGTTAAGTGTTTGTTACGATAAGGACAAGGTTTTTTATTATAATCTTCAGAAAAGGTAGTTGAAGCCAGTTGTTTTAATGCAGTTTAATGAAAATTATTGTATAATAAGTATTCAAACTACATTTCAACTGGGTCGTTCGCAATTTTTATGATTATACTAGCGACCCGGCCCGGCTTCGCGCGGGTGCAATATGCATTCATTATACATATAAACCTTTCTTAAGAATCACTCTATTTAAAAACAACCGCATCAAAATCCTTTGCCTAGTTTTAAACATCTAAGCATACATAGGGACAGACAGACGGCGGATAGCGACTTTGTTTTATACTATGTAGTTAAGCCCCGACGTGGCTAGAAAGTAATCGAGTATTTACGTATGCACTCACCCACGCTGAGATCAGCCAGTATATGTAGAGCCATGGTATGTAGATACACGTGCGTGGCCAGTAACTTGCCCACGCACTCCCGCGCAGCCACGTCGCATAGCACTTTACACGATATCGATTTACGCTTCAATCCGGTCTGGAAACAAACAAACATATAAAAAAAACATACATCTATTTTTTAGCATATATTTCTTTTTTAAAAATACTTTGTAAATATATGCGAAAACTTGTAATTGGCCATACTTTAATCATAGTTATATATAATTGTCAATTCTAGCTGTAAGTTTTCTAAATGTAAAAATAAAATAAAATAAAATCTATTGCACTCGAACCTACAACAATTTATTAATCACAAAGAGAATTATCCCTACGCCGTGTGACACCATATTTCCAGCACTAGCTACTTCGGCGCGGTTTCACACGCTCTGCTCAGCTCTTATTGGTCGTAGCGTGATGTTTTATAGCCTATAGCCATCCTCGATAAATGCGCTATCCGTCACAAAAAGAATTATTCAAATCAGACTTGTAGTTACGGAGATTAGCGCGTTCAAACAAACTAACAAAAAAACAAACTCTTCCGCTTAATATAAACGTATAAGATAAGATTTGCGATCAACAATTTTGACCAATTAAAAGGACTTTTGACTAGCATAATTCCAATGTTTTAACTAATTATATATAGTTTTAAAGGTTTATCTGTTACTTCAACGACAACAACATCAACAGCCTATAACCGAAGGCCTCTTCTCACACGGAGAAGGTTTGACCATTAAATGCGGGTTGGCTATTACAAACTTATAATTAGAAATTATAAGCTTAGGTTTCCTCACGATGTTTTCCTCCGTTTGTCAGTGGTATCTTATCTAGATCAGATCTTAGAAAGTACATATAACTCGGAAAAAGTCACATTGGTACTTGCTATCTGTAGGTTTGGAACCCGCACCCTCATGCATGAGAAGCGGGCGTCTTAAACCTCCGAGCCACCATGACTCAGTATAGTTTAAATTCTCATCTGCGATTTAAACAACTTTTCAAGTGTATATTTTATTTAATACTCCACCCACGATTCCTAATTATTTTTTTTTACTGAGAATCGAATTTCTTTAGGCATCACTAAAGAAATTTTAATAAATCAATAGTTTTTATACCTGTAATAAAAATTCCAAGACAAGCCTAGCCAGCTCGTGGTCCTGCGCGCGATCTATAGCGGCCTGCGTTATGATGCGCACGCGCACGTCACACGGTAACACTGGCAACTCTATTGCAAGCTGATCCAATTGTTTTGGAGATTTATCTGTGGACAGAATATTTTATTTTAAAGTTATTCACTATTTGCAATAAGGGTCATGCTTAATATCGACTGAAATGATAGCACGGCTTTACAGAAAATTGGCGCGAAATAACCAAAGTATTATATTTCAGTATGTGGCTGAAGTTACCGGAGGCCTAATTACCCATCCCCAATCCCTCCAAATCCCCTATCCTCCCCCCATCCCCTCTGCCCCAATTTTCCCATTCCCCAAAAGACCGGCAGTGCTCTTGTAATTGCTCTGTTTTTTTGATTTGCTTACCACCAGGTGATCCCTTCTCCCTTTACCTCATAATAACCAACTTACCATGTAATCCCACAATGAGAGATATACAGTACTCCTTAGCGGCATCATCAGATAACAATGTAGCAGGCAATTGATGCAGGTCCTGTGCATCATACAGGTGGAAACCGGCACAGAATGCTGCTTCCAACTCCGCTGATATCTTCTCTTCTATGTCGGGGTCGTAGAACGCTCTGCGGGAGTAGGAGAAAGAGAAATTTTGGAAAGTTTTTGTCATTTTTGACAGTTTGAAGTTAAATATCAATATAATATTTTGTATCGTTATAAGTTATAACTTGATTAAAAGTGTTAGTTATTGATTCAGATCCGGTTACAGTTACCATCCAAAAACAGTTCGGCAGGAAATAGCTCAAAACAGTTTGAAATATCAGGACAAACTGACAGCCCATGGAAACACACCTGAGTACACGCTCTGAGTGAAGACACCCTTCGGCATACCAGGCTAAAAAGAAGTGACATACCGAGCCTACATAAACGACGACACACTTGACGACAAGAGAGTCGTGTGAAAGGAATTTTCATACAAATATGGCTCTTGAAGAAAACATAAACTGAGAAATCAGACAAAGAAGTGGCTTATTGTTGAAAAATAAATTGCCATGTAGCTGAACTCAAAAAAAAAGTCATTGATCCAAAGAAATAAAAATTTAAAAACGGCGTGGGTTTGGGTTCGACTATAAATTAGAATACAATGTTTTTGGAAGGTAGAACAAAATGTTTTTTTATTGCAGGAAGTTTGATATTTCATCGGTAAGCCCACGGACTTTACCGCTACGAGACAATATTTATATGTTTTAGTATAGTTAAATGAAATAAGTGTTATGTTTTCCGTCCGTACCTAGAAGTGAGGTGCAAGCAGGCGAGTGCATGCAGGGTGCGTGCCGCGAGCTGCCGCAGGAGGTGCCGCAGGCGCGCGTACCCAGCCTGCGCCCGCGCCGCGCGCCGCCACACGCACAGCGACACGCGCACGCCGCAGCACGCGCGCAGCACGCCGCGCCCGCCCGCGTGCTCGCCCCACTCCTGGGGCCGGGCGCGACGGATGTCCTAATATGTACAATATATTTTGTTTGTATCAGCAATGGGTCGGCCTTTTGGCCACTTTGTCGCTTGGTGGTGTAAGCGATGATGCCGCCTACGATAGACAACAAAACTGGCGTGAAACGACGCTTATATTATGTTGCGTTAAGTGAAATCAGATTATAAGGCGTAATCCTCCTCTCCCCCTTAATCCTCCAATTCTCAAAAAGTCAGCAATGCAGTTGTAACTCTAACTATTATTGTTGTCGATAGGCGGCGCAATTGCTAACCATAACCATCACATGTTGGTTCGCCAACCTATTCAGTGTGCATAAGACACCTTAAGAAATATATTCCTTAGACATTAAAACTTTTTGCATCTACAAGACACATTACTCTTAATATAAAGTAACTCACAGTATGCGTAAACAGTACGAGCCTGGCGACCAGGTCCCTGAGCGGGAAGGAGTTCAGCAGCGCTATAAGGTCCCGCTCCCGCAGCGTGCCGTCACTGACCGCGCCCTCACCGCCGTGCTCGTCCACCTCCTCCCACGCATCCTCACCCTCTAAAGAATAAACACCCTCATAAATCTCCCAATCATCCCCATCCCCAAATCCCCAAACCTCATCCTCTGAAAAGCAGGCAAGGCATTTGTAACTTCTCTCTAAACCAAATAATCTCACCCTCAATACACTCGAGCGCGGTATCGGTGCGGGACCGGACGAGTAGCAGCTCTAGTATCGCAAGTATCCGCCAGGGGGAGGCACTGTCCACGTGCACGTGTATCACTTGTGACGCCCACTGTACGGACCGGGTCTGCCTGTAAATTACATTTAAAAAGATAATTAATTCTCTGAAAGAACTAATGATACATACAAATAGAGTCAAATTTTGAATGGCACTAGTTGATACTTACTTGAACAGATGATGTATGAGGAACAGCAGTTGTCGCAGATCTCGGTTGTCGATCAAAGCAGCGGAAAGCGCTGTGGCCCACCGCTGTAAAGCGCTGGCGAGCGCATCAGGCGCGTTGTCGCTGAGGCGCAGCGCTTGCAATATTAGGGATAGAGCTTCACGAATCATAAGCTTGTCGCTCTGTATAGTCTCTGAGATTAACTCCTCGATCTAGAAATGTGAGAATTTAGTTTATTAAATCCCTTTTTGTGGAACAGACTCCAGTCTAACAGTGGACTCTCACAAGTTGTTGTTGATGATGAATGAGTCTGTCTTGTTGATCACAATCACAAGAGCGGCTTCCAAGTATAAGTACTAAATAACAAACAGTATTTAGGAAGATATATTCAATATCTGGTGAAAAGCAGGTTTACAATCTAACCTATCACTGTCTATCCCTTTGGGAATAAGCTGTCTGAGCCCCCATGATGTTATTCAAGATCAATACTAAACTTAAATTGTAAAATAAATACAGTGCAGATAAAACAGTAAATATAAATGCTATAGGACAAATAGTAGATAATAATAGGTACAGCAGAGTACCTAAGCTGATAGCTTTTGTACCTAATATATGTGCATTTCCGAGCTGCAATTATAACACTATGAGATGTGGAATTTCCTTAACAAAACTGCACTTTGATCACATAATTAGCGCAGTGCTCAATCCAATAAAGTTCCTTCAAAATATCAAAAAAGAAAAATTTCAAACATTCAAATTATTACCATACTGCCTCGCTGACCGAGTGGTCGCAAGTTCGACTGCCGGGGAAGGGGTCTCGGGTTCGATTCCCGGGTCAGGCAAAGTATTACTGGTTTTTTTTTTAAATTCTCAGTAGTAGCACGGAGTCTGGAATAGTGCCGGTATATGGCAATAGGCTCACCCCCTATTACATGGGACTCATAACATAAATAGTGACAATGTGTTACATTGTACAATGGTATAATGTGCACCTCTGCCTACCCCTTCGGGGATAAAAGGCGTAATGTTATGTTATGTGTCAAATTATTAAAAGCATACCTGACAATGTGCCAACAGTGCAGCATGCTGATGATGGCAGTAAGATTCCTGTACATCTCTCAGTAGGCCCTCCAGCCTCATCTTGGCTACAGGCAGCCTCTCCTTGTTCAGCTCAGCGTACTCATAGCTAGCTCTAAGGTCCACATTGAGCCCGCACTGACACTTCTCAGATATATTCACATATCGTTTCTCTATCTTCCAAAGCGTAGCTCTCCTTTTCTCTTCGTCTGCAAACCCAGCAGCAAGCTTTACTCGTTCTCGCTCCACTGCTATTAGTGATGATCTGAACAACAGAATAATTGTGAGTGTGGTGTGGATAAGTGCGGGAGAGCCATGCTTCGGCACGAATGGGCTGGTGAGTGAGTGTGAGTGATACCACGGCCTCACAGAAGACCGCCGTGAAACAACACTTGCGTTGTGTTTCGTCGTGTGAATGAGGTTATCAGAGGCCCAATTTTCCCCCTACCCAATCTCCCCAATCTCAGAATCCCCAACAATCCTCAAATTCCAAATGCCCTAAAGGCCGGTAAAGCACTTGTAACGCCTCTAGTGCTTCACGTGTCCATGGACGGCGCCGATAGCTTACCATCAGGTGATTTGTCAAAATAGAAAAATAATATAAGAAAAGGTATAAGGTAGGTATAAGCTTCTGTTCGCAAATTTCGAAACCTTCAACATGGGAATTGAAAACATGGCCGCTATTAGCAATAGCACTCAACGAAAAAGACAGTAAAAAACGCGCGCATCCTACACGAGAAAAACAATACCCTTCCTATAGTGGGGTAATTAGTTTTTATGAAGCAAACACGTAACTGTGCTATTATAGCTCGATAATTCTCTCTGTTAATGAGTAAATAAAATAAAAGATAAGGTGTTTATAAACATAATAAAACAAACATCAACACAATAAACATCCAGAATAGTACATATATTCAAAGTTGCAAACCTGAATGTGGACAAAAGATCAACAAGCGGATGATCCGGTCCACTCATAGGTCCCGCTTCCACTAACTCCTCTTCTCTTTGGCTCATAGCTCTCACTTCTTCCATCTCCGTCCCTCCACAGAGTTTTATAGCATCTTCTAATGGCATACATTTTATTTTAGGTTTAGTTACTACAAACACTTCCTCACGTTGCACTGTTTTTGGTACTTCTTCAAAGCAAGGAGCTGATGGTGCTACATCTTCTAATTGTTCTAAAGAAGAATCCGGTATCTGCTGCTCGGTACTTAAGTAAGCATCGGGATGAATAAGCTCAAACTGTCTTTCTGGGCTTATTGCTTCCGTAGCTTCACTTGGTATAGCCATGTGTTCCAGTTTTCGCTGCAACTCTTTATAAGCACTTTCAACTATAGACTCTTTGGTTAATACATTTGACTCTTCAATTTGTCCGGCTGATGTATCTGTGATATGTATACTCTTTTCAATATTCTCAGATTGTACTAAACATTCTTGATCTAAATTAGTTTCTATATTAATTTGTTCACTATATACTTCATCCACATTTTCTCTACTTTCTTCTATTATTTCTATACTTATATTATTGGTTTCGGTTTGTTCTGTATATGAAACTTCGGTGAAAGATTCAATGGTAACATTTTGGGATGACTCAGCTTCACAGGAACTTTCAGTAGTGTAGACTAACTCCTCAAATGTCGGAGGAACTATGTTAACTGGTGATAGTTCTCTAGTGGCGCTCCCTCTGTCTTTTGATTTCTTTTTCTGAAAACAGTTAATTGTTTTATAATGGTATTATTATTTATTTGATATTTAGAAATAAAAATAAATGATTTACTGCAAAACCACAAGGCCTTTAATTTTCAATAAAATGTTAATGAATAAGGTTTAAAGAATTTCGTACTAACAAGAGCATAATATCATGCCTCGAGTAAATTTTTCTGGGATATTGTTATATTATTTTATTCATTATGAATTCGTAATAAATGACAATGTGATAGGAAGCGAAAACATTTTCATTTTAATACATCAAGGACACAGGGTTCCGATTAGACGACCTTTCTACTGTTTCCGTTATAATATATTTACACGACAACGGAATGGGTTATAGTAATAAAAACCATGCAAGATGCATGTTTTAAATGCAATATGCATGCTTAGTAAACAAAATGTTTAGCTGCGCAAATAGTAAAACAAAGGATTCTATTTTAACTTATTTTACACTTACTTCTTTACGCTTCTCCTTCACCATTGTAGCCATGATGATCGATTTTTATCCAAATGAGTAGTTTAAAAACAAACAACAATAATTACACTTTTTATCAAACGATTTTATTTACGTACATTCATGTTATTCCCCAAATCAAAACAAAGTGTTGAAAAATCATGTGTTGACTGACAGCAGGACAGAATATCGCTTATCAGTAAAGTTAGAAAAAGATAAAAGAATATTTATGATCAAAATTATATTATATCTAACTACGAAACGTAACAGTCAGCTGTGAACATGCCAAATAGTAGTTTGAGAATGACATTTTCTTGTTTAGTCGATTTTAGGTGCAATCACTACTAGAAAAAAACTATTATTGTCTTTGGAAAACTTGAGATAAAATTATTATGTGCCAGTAATATGTTAAATGGTTGCAATAGTTCTTTTTGTAAATAAATGAAAAGACTATGCTTGCGAAATCGTTTTTGGCAAATCGCAAAAAATGATAGTCTCAATAAGATTGTTCTTCATATTAGGAGTATTTTTAATTTCAACACTGTTAACTGCCTCGAATTATATCGGTAGTTATGCTACCGTAATACTAAGGATTCTGGAAATTGTATAGTTCTCTAGCCGGCTATTACACCTTTGTGTAGCCAACTAGGTTCAATGTTAAGAGCATCGATTGGTTTAATACTCAAATTAATATCAGACTACAATTTCATCAACAGTCAATAGTCATTGACAGTCCACTGCTGGACTATGAGGTCCCTCTTTTACAAGAACGGGGTTTGCCATAGTCTCCACAGTTAGCAGGTGGATTTGAGATCACAGTGTAAAATGTTCAGATTTGAAGAACTTCGATCCCTAATTGTTTTTAACAGACTTCAAAAAAAGGAGATTTTTAATTTGACCTGTATGTATGTAGGTATGTAAGAGGGGATGAAGTCGGTTTTTTTTTATTGGCCACTATGTCGCCTGGTGGTAAGCGGTGATGAGGCCTACGATGAAACGATGGAGCACGTCTGTTCATAAGCAACCTTTTCACCCAGGTTATACCCTTCAGAAAAACAGGTTTTTTGAAAAGTAATTTATAAAAGAACTAGCTTCTGCCCGCGCCTTCGTACGCCGGTTATCTCCCGTTCCCGTAGAATTTTCAGGATTTTTTCTGTTTCAAGAACCTTCTCCTAATAATAACAAATACAAAAAAAAAGAATTAGTGAAATCGGTCCGGTCATTTACGGCATGATGGAAAAAGAGATTCATTTTTATATATTACTAATTTTGATTGTTTGAGGGGAAAATCAATGATTGCACCTACCCGGGTGAGGCGAGACGGAGTAATTTCGACTAATATGTATTTTACAAAGTTGATTTGAAATATCGCTGCTCTAAACAGCTGACAAACGCATGATGGAATTTTCTAACTTTTACGATAAATATTATTATTTATGTAACATTTGCGCTCTTTGACCCTAACACGTTATCAGTGCATCATGCTTTGAATCACGCCGATACTCAAACTTATCTCATATAGTCGTTTATCAATATTTTCCTACTATGTTATTCACACTTCAGAAAATAAACAAAACTATTAGAAACAGCCCTTGACTACTCATGATAAAGTATCTTCTAAACTATGACCCATTTACGTGGCACATGCATGAAATAAGGCCATGGGTATTGATATTTTGTCATTGATTTCACAATACTAAATTATTTTTCTACTGAGACCACGACATGAATACTAGGAATTCCTAAATAGGCATATAAAAATTATTATTGTATGAGTAGTTACGTACTATACACGTACTATATTACATGTTGTACTACTGACGATTCTTGGAGTTGTACTATTGACCGTTAGGTACCTATCTTCAATGTACACGTACGTAATTTTAAGTTCCGTCCAAAGTACGGTACAATGAGGAAAGAGTTCAAGGCGTATAGGATCTGGACTTGGACCCTATACACATGATACTATATTGTGACATCATTTATCTTTACTCTTTGTCACGTTTGATTAAAAAACTTTGTTTTTTAGTTAAAAAGTACCTAATAACAATATTTTGGTAGTAACTAATCCTTAGTACCAAACTCCATAATTTGATAGTTGTTTGTGTTATGTATGAGTATGCCGTGTATACCTATGTAGCTTGCAACATTATTAGAGATTCTTTAGAACAAACTCGGTTTTAACACTGAAAATTCAGTTATTATATTTTTTAATGTATGGTCCTCATCTACTATGTTTATTCTGCCCCAAATCAAATGTTTTCAATAGTACCGCTGTTAGTACCCTTGTCTATTAATGATAAGATCACCTTTAAATCACAAAGCGATATTTGTGACTCATGCCTGTACTGACAATATTCAACTTACAGGTTTCAGCGAAACCAGTAGTTACTTAAAACAATACCTATGCCTGATTTATTTTTTTTATAATACAAGGGTGCCATAAAAACATACAGCCGACCTGATGGTACATAACTTAATTACGTAATTCATGTAAAGCAGCCGCCTATTACATGGGACTCTTAACATAAATAGTGAAAAGTGGGTGTTACATTGTACAGTGGTATAATGTACACCTCTGCCTATCCCTTCGAAGATAAAAGGCGCGATGTTATGATGATCATGTAAAGGAACCCAATATAAAAATTAAAAGTGGTCAATTAATTGAGTGTACAAAAACTCTTAGTTTCATTTCAAAATTTATTACAAACAAAACTCCTTTTTATGTAAAATATAGGTAACAGTCGTGCACTTTAAAGACAATATCACATAAATAATATCAACGAATCCCAAAATTAGTGCAATGTAAGTACTAACTATGTTAAATAACGCACTTTACCTTCCTAGCAACTTTCATAGTTGCTTTACAAATTTTACACTTTGTGTATTGCTTTTAAAGTTCTAAAAATAAATAAAATAAAAGCAAGTTTTAACCAATTAAATAACAAATAAACAATCTCTGTCAAGTATTGCGTCTTCCGCGACCCGCGTGCCATATACATACTCCAAAGCACTGCGAAAGGTAAGGTTCAGCTGCAACGAGCTACAATCAAATATCCTCAACAAGCAATGAGCTATCTCTAAGATGGCGATTGCTCTTGATACGTAATATTTTCATCTTCGTACTGTATGTTAGTAGGATTTTGTTGCGTAACTATAAATATAGGAGATTTCAGCTTCCGAGGAACAGGGGACGGCGACGTTGAGTAACTTCTTTGTTGTGACGTAGAGCTCTGCATTTTCGCGCGAAACATGACATTATCGATTTCATGCATCGCTAAATCGCGTTGGTGTTCGTCTAATTTTCTCAATTTCTTCGCTAATAGCTGACCGTATAACTCATATTCGTCCATTTCATGCTTCACGCCACCTGATGATGCATTCTTCAAATATGTTACAGCTTCATCCATTCGTTTCTTTGCATAATTTATTTCTGAGCAATTTTTGTTGGTGGGTGTTTTTGGAGATACTGGTTTACTTTGTCGAACCATAGCTGTGTGTTTATCAGCTATATTAATATTTCTATTAATGTTGTTTGTATGATCTGGAATTCCTGGTTGTGTTGAGTAGTTTCCTGTATTTGTATAATACTGAAACAAATATAAATAATGCCTGTAAAAATTGGATAAATTGGTAGAGTACTTACATAACACATATTTTTTAAATCACCTATGTAATTAGATTCACGATTTAAATCGAACGAATGAAATATTTGGCAAGTATAAGTTTTCATTGTAAGGACTAAGATAATTAATTTAACTAAACATGAGGCTCAATTCAAAATTCGTAAATTATGATTAAGAATTTTGCCAAACTTTAGACTTCATACTCAACAGTCGTGCTTATAACCATGCGACAAACGAGGCTATCAGCGCCAGACGATTGAAATAAAATAATATAAATAACTGCGTAAGTATGCTCCTACTTTTATTTATTTAACGTACTGTGTAGACGTATACGCAATATCAAATAACAAAGCACCCAGACATAATTGAGATACGTATTATAAATCAAACTAATGAATTAGTAAAAACCAATCCAATATGGAATTGGTATGTGTCGTACCAAAGTTTGGTTGCCAAATGTACAAACTAAATGGCAGTAAATGGTTATAGGCATTACGCAATTGGTTCCAATTTGGTCCAATACTTTACCAAAGTCACGAAACTTGTCGTTAAAGATGAACCAGTATTATTATTCAAATATCGTTGAAGGTATTAAAAATAATAAGTAATATTGTGACTATTAATATTTACCTCATTTTCCAATTGATTTGTGCTATCACATTCGTATTTGCCGCCAAGAAAACTCTCCATTAGTGAATAGGCGAACCAAGTTGTGCGATACCCCGGTTGAACTTTCTTTTTGCTGAGGTGCATTCTAAAAGACGTCATCAATGATTCTTTTTTCTTCTTTAGATCAGTAATTGAGCAATGAATACTTAAAGATGCCTGTATCCTAAGCCAGGACTCGGAAACTTCACTTCTATTTCTGTGCAACGGATGTTTTGGATCCCACAAATGTTGTTCTCTTCTGTACAGTTCTAAGAATTCTAAAACAGTATCGCTATTCCACGACATTTTTCTATTTTGCTGAAAACTGTTCTAATTATTATTCTCCCAAAACAAAAACCACTGAGACCGCTTGCCTGACAGCCAATCAGAATACGTTTCTCGTCCAATGTTTGTGTATGATTACACGTGTGCTGGCCTCGTTCCACAAATTTTGCGATCAATGTTCGTCATTGGCATTTGGCGACCAACCAATAATGTTTGATGAAGTTATGATGTAATTTTGTAGACTTTCTGTGTGGAAAAATAAAAGGACTTGAAGAAATGTTTGTTTTATTATCAATATTCTAATATTTTATAAGTTAATGAGAATTTTAAAAATATTTTTACTAATGCATTCATGCTTTACACTGTTCAGTTAGTTCATCCTTTTCTTCCCCTCTAGCGTCGTCTCTTTCTGGATTTTTTCCCCCAATGCTTTTCACTAAGTAATCAGAATTGCAAAAAAATTAGAACATAGTTTAAGTTTTAGTTGATATTATTTTCACTGTATCAAACTGAAAAATACTTTTCTTGTTACAGGAACAATTGTTTTAACTAGAAATAGATCCCATAATCGACTAAACCTATAAGACTGACTTTATTTTTAAAGTTACAATGTCAATGCTTGCCATACATACACATCACTAGTTGTGTCTGATCAAAGTCCAAACAAAGTGTTGAATCATAAAATTAAATAAGTTTATTTAATTATTCATTCGTCATACGTACGAGCTGCTTATCACGTATATATTTTCTATTAGAAGACCAGTTTACTTCAGTCAGTCGATTGAATTGTATTGAACAAGTAATAAATAATCGTGAACATATTCATTTTGTTCGGACTTTTAGAAAGTATTTGAAAAGTTTCGTGTATTTTTAAGGTAGGTTTTAAAACTTGTTTTTTTTTTTAATTATTATAGTACAGTAATTAAATAACTGTATGCTATTGCAGTTTTTTAATGTGCAAATATCTGTATTTTTTCAATCTGTTGCAATTCGTTAATTATTTACTGGTGAAATCTACTATAGTTATAACTTGGTTTGCAAATATTCATAAGTATTGAAGGTAGACAATATGTTGATGCATTGGATTAGAAGTGCATTATATTTAATTATATATTCTAAGTAGAATTTGACAACTAAAACTATAATTTCACTTTTGCACAAAATATTTAAATAAATAAATAATTTTTTTAGAAATAAAATTTTGTATTAATTAATTATTGTTTGCTGCAGATGGCTACAGAAGTAAGTGCTCCGTCGATGCCGCAGCTGCAGTCAGTGCAGAAGGCCATGGCTTTACCCACAGTTGAGGCTGCCGTTGGACAAGTCGGAGCTTTCTACACAAGAGTCAAAGGTGACTATATTATCTTCTATAATTTTCTATTCTATTATAAAAAATTGCAAGATATCTTTTTCTAGTTTATATTCATCTTAACTAATGTCTAATATGAGTCTTATTAGTTTTTCAATATACATTTCCTAGAAGAGGGTAGTCACACTCAAACAAATAACTGACTGGCTTAACTCGTCGAGTACCGGTTTTATAGACACAATTAAAGAACAATAGGTCGCGGTCACCGGTGACCGCTTGGTGTTTGACAGTTTAATAATGTTGCTGACTTTATTATATACTTTGTACAATTACATAAGAATAGTATATTGTCTTGCATAATGTGCATTTTTATGTTGTTATGTTGACACATAGTAACTTGGAAAAAGCTGCAAGGGTTGTGATATTGTATCCATAATGTTATGCTGTTAAAGTCTATTTTTTGGATAAACGAAGATATTATTGTGTTCTACTAAAAGTTACTATGCATAATGTGGAAACCCATCACATTTGTAGACAATGTCTGTTCCACAATATCATAATACTCAAATGCATCTCGGATTCAGTTGAATATTGTGAATATCAAAATCCTTCATAATAATAGGATGTCATCTGGAGATGTAGTGAAACTTGTACTGTTCGGTGTGTGTGAACCATGCCCTTTTTTCTAAAATTATAATAACAAGACACTAAAAAATTCTCTTCCATTGGTCTAGGAGCCCACTCCTTGCTAGAATGGGCGCTATCCACTGCTGAGGCGGGTATGTACCGTGCAGCCAACACAGCGGCGCCCTACGTGGCGGTGCCCCTTGCTGCTGGAGACGCCAAGGTGGCCGCCGTCATCGACGAACTGGAGCGCCGCGTCCCGCTCGTTACAGAACAGCCCAAGGTCATTGTCGAGACCACTAAACAAGCAGTCCTATCCAGAATCTCACCACATGTTAATAAGGTAAGTTTTTAATTCTTTGTCTACAATCTACCTTCAGATTTTATGAAAAATGTAGTTGAAATGATTTATTTATCCTTAGTAAATTTTTAAGAGATTGTTTAAATTGTGTAAATTCGTTTTATTACTAAACTGCTACTGAGCACAATGATTTAAAATTTTAAGCATCCTAAAATTACTTAACGAATTTTGATGCAATTTCCCTACAGATATATTTCACTTGTCAGAATCTCTTCATCTCAATATTGCAGCTTACATTACAGTGAACTACCTAGTTAATAAAAACATCGAAAAGTTAATTGTAAAACCAATTTCCGTTATCAGCATTCAAAGTCGAATTGATAATAAGAATATGCCGGACGTGGATGCATAGTTATCTTAGTTCAGGAAGTGTCTCTAAGCCCCTAGGCCCCCAATATAGAAGCGACACGGTCCAAAGTACAACTTAAGAGCAGGATGTTGCACTACCCATATAATTATTATCTGTCATACAATGCAATGTTATACTATTATTACACATGATTATTATATCAGATCATCACATCAGCAGTTTGTTTATAAAACACGGTCCCGCGTCAAAATATGCGCAGCCGTTTCCGTTGATAGGAAGTTTCGACCGGTTTTGTAGTACCGGAGGCTATTACCTACTCCGTATGTGGTCAGTGCTGTTCTTGCAACCTTTTTTGTTGCAATTATGGTTATTTGATATTCACAATATGTAGTAGAGGTAAATAAGGAGGGAAAAAGTAACTGTCAAGCCTGCAATAATTAATAACGCGACCTAACTATTATTAACTGCGTTTACTTTTTATTGTTTACACCGTAACTGTTAAATCGTTATTGATGAGGTAGATCAGATTTTCAGAATAAATAAAAGCCAAACAATTTTAATTAAATTCGAGAGTTTATTTCGATGCACCTTCGAAACTATCAACTGCACTTAGTTTTTAATTATACACGATTATTACATAGATTTGGTAACGTAAGTTTTGGGCGAAGTTCAAGCTGTCAACATCATGATATCTAATAACTAGTTACCGTCGGAGGAAGCTAAGCTAGGAAGAGTTCGTAATATTTTCATGTATAATTTATTTTATGGAAATCACTACCTACTTTTGAATTTTCCGCCTTTCTACCGTTTCCGAGAAATCTAGTTTCCGTTAAGTAGGCCCGTTATATGAGGTCAGGGGACCTCTGCACATACAAATATCAAGTTTAACTTGTCGTGTGTCTAAACGTGGATCCACGCGAGACACAATGTATTTTCTATTGTGTCTCATATACAGATAGATAAATAGATCATATTCAAGCGGTTAAAATTAATTTAAAAAAGGTCAGGTACAGTCAGCCAATATATTTTTGGAACAAGTAACACATGTTAAACGGTTTTAATGTGTATTTTGTGTATGGTCATCAAGAATAAGAGTGTACCAAAAATCATAGTGATCTGTGGTCAAGAAGGGAGAGAGATTCAAGGACTAAATTAGACCCAAACAAATAAACTAAATAAATAAATCCGTTATAAAATACATTGGCTGACAGTAAATTATGATATTGATAGGAATGGTCTCTTTCACATTTCTACAGTATTCACTATACATACAGAATATGCAGTACGGTTGGCCTGGTACGTCGGTATTCATTATAGTCATATAACCGGTACCTACGTTAGCGGTGTCCACTAACCGCGTGATATAACTGCAGTACCTAGGTGCACTGCATTCCTGAAACTCACGTTATAAGTTGTTGTGACTTGCGGCCAAGCGCCATGTGATCATTACCTAAGCTAATTACGTATTAAGTTCTCAGTATTCATATCAGATTAGAATTTATGATCGTTAATGTATAATCTAGGTAGGTACTGTTTTGTAAAGCTATCGCCGAATACTTATCGATATCGTGGAAAATTCCTGATTAATTTTACTTGTGTATGCATTTTTCCAGATAATCGGTAACTGCGTAAATTGTTAAATATGCAAATTAAAGCGTAGGATACCTACCTAACTTTTTCTTGTACGAAATATCAGCATCATCAATATAAATTATTATGTAAGCCAAAAACATTATAATTTATTTAGGGTTTTCAAAACATGGACGAAATAATTGGCATCAGTTTTTACCTAACTGATTAATAATTATGTACATAAACAAGCAACGATCACACGCTCAAAATAAAAATAAAATAAAATGCTGTCTGAACACTTTAATGCAGCTGTCTACCAGATACAAATAAAAAACAACTAGCCTTCTAGCCTATATAGTTGTTATATTTTTGTTGTATTTGCTCATAGCGACAAGCAAAGAACGGGTAACACTGCACCGATAAGATAATGTGAGTGGCGACTCATTATCACGCGGTGGACTGGACAATGAACCGGAACGTACCCACTTGTCACGATAAACATCTTTTTTTAATACAACTTCATGCTGTTTTCTCGAAAATGTGTACATTCTGGATGTTCCTGAGACCATTGTGTGATTGTGTGTACACTTGAAATGTTCACACCTTATTACAGATATCTATAAATAGTATCTAGGTACATACCCGTGATTAGACATGGAATCAAGAAGTTAATTGGCTACTTTCCTTAATAAAAAATAAATTATTTCGACTGTTCAACGCAATAAAATATGTATTTAAAAAAATTATCACACTTACATTAGTTGGTTTTATGACCAACGTAATTTTTTGTATTTTTCGAGCATTTTAAAAAAAAAGAAGTATGCTGTTTGACTCTAAAAAAACCTGACGTGACGCAATCTCGTATAAAATTAATAGAAAACTATCATTTTTGACAGTTCGAAAAAAGTATTTGTTTTGACTAGTTGGCAAGTACCTACCCAATTGCACTAACCGAATTATTACGGGTAGGCTTAAATTATATTTTTTCGTACCTGCATACAATATGACGGCAGATTGTACCTACAACAAGTACTTACGTAATACGGTAGTTGACAGGAAGTCAAATTCAATACTTTCATTGATATGTCAAAAACAATACTTTTCGAATTTTGTATTGGATCACAACTTATGACGTCATCATATATCTGCGTCAAATAGCATACAATAGAAAAAACCCAAAAGTAGGTAAATTATCAAATCAATGAATGAGAGTATAATAATTTTTTAATTAGTTATTGATTGAAAAATTTCAGGGTAGGTAGCCAATTATGCATCTAGTACTAGCTACTAATGTATTAGACAACGTTACTTATCTATAGGTTAACGTTAATAATGTTATAAATAATGATTTACGGTTAATTTACGATAAACATACATAGGTGTAGGTCAAACACAATGATAGATAGTCAAGGTTACAAGACTAAAGTCCGTATTACGTTTAGGCTATATGATATAGGTACAGTACATAGATAATATATATTTAATTACCTGCGAAGGAACGAAAAGTTATACCTAGCGTGTATGCTAAGAAAAGTCATTTGATTATCTGCTGCAATAAAATTCTTTTATCAAAGTTTTAGATAGTAGATATGTCAGTTCCACATTAATTAATATTGTGTTATTAAAATAAATATGAAAAGGTAAATTTTACTAAGGAGACTGCCATAGGCTACGGATTCACTTTCATTCTTCAGGTCTTAATAAATGGGTAGTATAACATGCTTAACATCATACCATCACCGCGCCTTTTATCCTCGAAGGGTTAGGTACACATTACGGCACTTGATGCCACTGTACAATGTAACACCCACATTTCACTATTTATGTTATGAGTCCCATGTAATAGAAATAATAAAAAAAAACCATTGATACTTTTGCCGGCCTGAGTTTCAAACCCAAGAAGACCCCTTGCCCGGCAGTCCCACTCGGCTAACGAGGCAGGTATCCTATAAAATGTAATGCACATTTTTTAAATGCGAATAATGCTCAAAAGATTAGCGCGACATTCTTTACATTTGTTTACATTAACATTTGGCATGCACTTTGAGGAGACATACACACACACATACTAAATATAACACAAAACTTTCTTCATAAAAATACTACTGCAATGTCATCGACCGCAGAAAATACATTATACATTTATACAAAGCCATACATAAGGCAATGAGCTTCAGTTTATAAATGCTTTACAAAATGTGTACAATTGCTGGATACAATTACTTAGTGCACTGTTACTGGGCTCATTGTGTCCACGGTATCCATTATATGAAAATAATTATGGGTCCAGTGATCGCCTGCAATCTTGCTTTCAATTTTCGAGTCGAGAAATGTAGGGACCTGAAGCCTGGAGATAATGAATATCAACACGTTTTACCTAAACTGTAGGTCTGAACTTGGCAATAGGCTTACCTCTTATTTGGAAAAGACGCTTCGAATATCTATGGTTTCGTTCTCATTTCTTTTATACCACAATGCTCATCAGGTGATCTGTCTGCAAATTTGCCCCCTACACCATAATATAACCTCATCTAATTAAAATTAACACATTAACTCCTTTCACAGGTATACACAGCCAAGACAGCAGCCGAGAACCGCGTCCACTCTCTTAAGGAGCTCTCATGGGCGAAGGCTAACGCGCTGCTGACTACAGCTTACGGCCAGAAGGTGGTGCACAGCGTGGATGCTGGTGCATCATACGCAATGCAGCTGCTCGACCACTACCTACCAGCTGTCGGAGCTCAGGAGGAAACTAGCAGTAAGTATCTTTGTTAGCAATAGGGTAGATGCCTAATTTTTATTTTAATGTCCGTCTGATAGATTATTTTAAATCATTAGACATGTACTTTTTATTTTCATACATAAACGAATACTTTCGACGATATATTGATTTGAAATGTCGCGTGACGTCACTTCTATGTACATTTTATACGTAGAAATGATGTTTTAGCCGCCACTCTTAAACTTTGATTCGTTTTATCTAAGTATTGTTTTATTATACCTACAAAAAATAAAAAAATACGTGTCTAATAATTTTTCATTACCTAACTTACGGAATAATTAGATTTTTAATTTTCATACCCTGTCATCATCCCAATTAAGGCTAACACTTAAGTACTTGGAACCTGGTTACTAATACTGTAGAAATCGTTTACTTCTAGAAGGTAAACTAGTCTTCTCTGAACTTCTTTTGACCAAATTAAATTGTCAAGCTTTTCAGACTAATGAATAAAGATTGCTACTTAATGTTATAAACGAATTAAACTTTAAATAATTTGAATAAAAATAAATCAATTTAAGTAAGTGCTATACATATTGATTAATTTACACACAATAGGAAAGTTATAAAAAATATTAAGTAAATGTTTGCCCAATACAAAGAGATGGTAATTAACTTTAATTATTTTTACCATGTTATCATTTGAAACCTTTAACAGTTAACAAACCAAACAGTTGCAATAACAAGCTAGCACTGTACCGATTCCGCTTTCACGCACGAGTCCACACTTTTTAAACACAAATTTTAAAATTGTGTGACTATAGACTCGTCAAGTGACAATGGAAAAATGTGGACTCGTCAAGGGCTGTCGATGTGTCATTTTGTTAGCTAAAACAAATGGTGACATCGCCAACAGATTGAGGGCCAAAATACTTAGTTATTGATAATGAAATCCAAACCATGATTGCACTATACTTACAGGATTATTGCACAATGTTCTAAAATATTACTTATTATCTTAATCTAATGATACGAAGCAGGACTTAGAGGCTTATTATGTAGACGTAATATTTAGACTAAATAACAGAATTTTGAATAATTGTTACAAGGGCGAACACGTGATTAAGTTACTAAGGAAAATTGTTACTTTGCAAGCAATTGTTTTTCACTATTTCGTCTTTTGCTGATTGATACTGTACTAGTTTTACATATTACACAGCTCTTTTCATAATAGTATTACAAATGATTATGTATGTACCTACATTGTAGTTAATTTACCCTGTGCATGACCCAGTTAGCTATACTAATCTACTCTATTTTGTTTTTTGAGTTGTTCTGAATGCCATTGTCAATTAGAAGGTCTCGGGGGCCTATAATCTATATATATAAAAGAAAGTCGTGTTAGTTACACCATTTATAACTCAAGAACGGCAGAATAGATTTGGCTGAAAATTGGTAGGGAGGTAGCTTAGAGCTAGGAGACCGACATAGGATACTTCTTAACCAATTTTTTTTTTTACTTTTTACCGAAAATCACGAACGGGGACAGGAAGAAATGGGATTACGCGTACGAAGTCGCGGGCAGAAGCTAGTAGTAAAATATATTTTAACTAACCCTTTATAACTAAGACCAGATTAAAAGCATGATTATATTAACTTAGTTTGTAAGTGCATGTCAACTTGTAGTTAGACGAGAAAAGTTGTCAATTAGTTAAGGAATGTAATGATTTGTTAATTGTAGATGAAATTGTAGCGGTGTCGAACGACCCGGCGCTGCACACAGTGCAGACTGTCGGTCGGCTGAGCGCCGTGGCAGCGCGCCGCGTGTGGGCCAACCTCGCATACAAAGTTAACGAGCTTAGGAACTCAGGTAAATTGGCATACAATCATTATACATTAACATCCCCTATCCTCAATTCCTGCCAACCACGCACTTATAATACTCTGGTGTTGCGGGGGTGCCCATGGGCCCATTTGTGGTCTATCACATAAAAAATACATTATTTGCTAGAAGACATTCACTGCTAAACCAAGGCTTTTAAACACTTATTTCTAACTATTTCCGAGCGGTTTCACATGTTCGGCTCAGCTCCTATTGATCGTAGCGTGATGTTTTATAGCCTATAGCCATCCTCGAAAAACACAAAAAGAACTATTCAAATCAGACTTGTAGTTATGGAGATTAGCGCGTTCAAACAAACAAACAAACTCTTCAGCTTTATATAATAATCCTCTATTAAATGGTACTCACAACTGGCCAAGTCTGTCTAACTAACCCCCAGGGCCTTAAACGGCGTGACGTTATGTGCATGTAGTTATTTATGTTGCAATTATAAACTTCAGAATGTTATATTTACCTAGTTTATTATTTGAAATGAGGTTGTAATAATAGATTGACGTTTACCTACCTATATGTTAAAAATAGCATGTAAACTTTGAAGTAATTATATAGTAGTTTCTAGGGACATTGCATTAGTCATTAGGTACTTGTGAAGTGGACTTTGTAGTTGATTCATATTTCACACATTTGTGTAGATATACAAAGTCCAAGTTGATGTTGTGGACTGTTAGATGATGCAAAAGACCATGTCTTGTGAAAATACAAATTGTTGTTCAGGGTTTGGGTGTAATCTGTGTGTGAAATTATATGATTAACTCATCGAGCGTTCGCGTTCCTTATGATCCAACGGGTGCACACGTGACATTTGGAGAAAGAAAGAAAATGCATTTATTTGGCCATTGGCACATGAAAACAAGAATCATTACAATAGAAATAAAAAATACAGTCAAAATAAAAACAAAACATTAATAATAGGTTTTATAAAGAGAAAGCAGCATGGAGCATTTTTTTTTATGATCCACCGGGTGCTCATAAGAACGCTCGAGGGGTTAAAATCGCTCCTAAGACACCGAAGAAAGTTCTAGTGTGCAGCGATTTTCTTAAACAAAACAAAATAATTTTTGTTCCATATTTCGATATCGTAATATTTTAGCGATACTGCATCGCAATCAATTATAATATCTATATTACAACGCAACACTGTAGGTATTACCAAAACAATACCCGTCAATACTAGTAACATTTAATATGCAAATATACGCAAATTGATACTTTCAAGCATTCACCTCTATCGACCTTCAGCGACCATATTATATTACAAGTCAATCTTATCATGTACGTCACTGATAATGATAACATAACGTCACGCCTTTTGTGGTAGACAAACATGCACATATTATACAATGTAACACCCACATTTCAGTTATGTTCAGAGTCCCATGTAATACGGGGTGTTATATTACCCTATTGCCATATAACGGGCACAATTCCAGGCCACGTGCTACTACTGAATAATTTTCGAAACTCCGAAATGAACTCAAATAATTTTTCGCCTGATGGGAATCGAACCCGACACACTCGACCCAAAAACCCGAATAATACTTTTTTTTTGACCCGGGAATCGAACCCACTCGCGACAATCTGATATTAATAATTTTGACATAATTACAGGTGTGGAACTGGATGTACGTCGGTACATCACCGCGTTGTTGGCAGCCCTGCATCTTGCTAAAGTGACCAGTGACCAGCAACAACAAGAGAAAGAGCAAGAGCAGCAGGAGAAGGAGAAGTTCCAGACCCCGGAGCCTTCGTCCCCTGCGTCGGCTACCTCCTCCCCTCCCAAGAACACGGAAGAATCCTCCCCCACCACCGCCAACAAAGTGAAATCCACACCTGAATCCAAGTCTACAGAAACTTCTAATTAAATCTTTATTCATTTTATTATAATAGCAATTAATATTATGTTTAACGTATAAGCTGCAGGCGCAGTTATTTTTAGCGCGTTGCAGTTTCAGCGACGTGCGATAATGCATGTCCTCATACAGACTGAGGTCGCGGAACATTCACACTCGCTAATAATAACAATGCGTCTGTCCTTAAGTTAAGTCACAGCCACAATGCCGGTATACAGGCTGTACCTACATTGTTATGGCGCATTTAATGTATTTATAATTAATCAAAGACTGTCGATATGTCTTCAATATTCAATTATTTTATTGTAATGAAGCTATTTTATAAATTTTATAATCATGTAGCGAGTTTTTAATCGCATTTTAATAGAAGATTTTATACAAATAAAACGCAGTTTGATTTCTTAAATATTAATTTAATACGCAATATGTTTCAAAGAGAGAATGTTATGTTATATTTGATTCTTAGGCCTCTTGATAATTTGTAGATATGAAATGTGATATGAGATTAAAGTCTGACGTAAGACGTTGGGAGCTTACAAATGTACAAATGTATACAAATGATGTGGAGTCGCACAGTCTTTTCAACACCGCGCGGGGCGGCTGTCTGATACAGTTCGTCATGAGTACTTGTGAACATCTCTAACAAACTATTCAAGCAGTCTGCGAGTCCCATAGCAATGTTATAAAGTGGAGGGCTAGTTGCAAATGTACCATTCTCAGTAACACAAGAGATTTACATAACTTCGTCTACTCTATAATTTATTCATAACAATTATTATAAGCGAAATTTTACCAAAATATAAGTATGTATGCTTCCTTTGGCACAAACCATTATTAATCATTTACCACAGTCACATAACGATACTGAAAAACTTATATTCATAATTCATAACCAACATTATGTACCAACGTTACGTACACAGAAAGAAGCAGTTCTACCAACATTCAAATTATTACTAAACTAAATTAAGTACATAAAGCAGTTGCCATTGATACTGTAATAGGTAAACAACCTCTCAAGTGCAAAAATATTTGTAATTAAATTCCTACTTATAAAATAAAAGCTCTAATTGAATACAATACGCAAATGAAACCACAGAACAACATGTAATGAACCTGGTATATGACTACTGAGTACAACAGTTAGGTATTTCAATAAACAACAACTATATCACTATTTTGACAATACTCTGTAATATATTTACATATTTATATTCACGATGTACACGCAAATCGCAACCCTAATGACATCAATATCAAAACGAGGTTTGTTACAATGTTCTAATATCAAAATCCATGACGTTTACAATGTTCTACGTGGTGGCTACGTATGTCGCTGGTGTGGGGGTAGGCCGGGGCGGCGCCTCCTTACCCGAGCCCGTGGTCGTCGAAGAAGCCCTGGGGCGTCTCCTCCTGCAACAAGGGGTATCACTGAGCCAGAGTCGCTCGTGGCCGTGTTAGACCGAGCCATCGCTTTTCGGTTATCTACACTTTCTTTCAAATTGTTGTTTATCAAACCTTTTTCATTAAATTAGGTCGCATTATTACCTTTTCCACAGAAAAGAGGCATTGAATTGAAAGTAAAAATGTTTATAACTTGTAAAATATATTTTATTAGAAATATGTTATTTTATCACATAGACATAATATGTATCATGAAACGAAACATTATCATATTAGGGATTAATATACATTATTGCACATAACTCCTTGATTATGTTATTTAAGTCTGCGTCACAAAATCTTTCAACCTTTGATAAAATACCCGATTTAACTTTATAAAAAAGGAATACTTATTTTTAACACAAAACCTTAAGGATTCTGCAATAAAAATTCAAATACCGAAGCTAACAGTTTATCCAAATAGTCACTCCAAATCTCAACGTGATTTAAACTAGAAAAACTTATTTAAACTAATAAACACATTTAAAGTGCTTTGTTTGGCTTATAATAAACAATGAAATTCGTTAGGTCATGTCAATAAACAAAAGTAAATAAACTCTGCAAAATAACTTACGCAAAGAATAAAAATTTAACTTATTTAAATAATAATTCGTTTTTCAACAATCGATAAAATTATAATAGTTTAACGGACCACGTAAATAATATGGACGAACATTAAAATAAAGAAAACGAACACAAACATTAAGTCTAATGAACAATTAATTTTACAACTAGTTAAGAGAAACTCCGAAGTAGTCAACTTACTTCTATAAAATACATTCGATTAAGAATTTATAAAATAATATTTCGTCTTGGTCCACTTTGGCCTGCAGAAACAATTCCGTCAATACATTTATATAAAATACTTACCTATATATTTAAATGGTTAATGTAATGATAATTTAAACCAATCTTAAGTATCAGTCGCCAAATAACTACAGTAGAAAATCTACAAAATCATTATTAAATGTTATTTCTATCTAAAAATGTACGACTGATAATGACAGTCTATAAAAATTCTAAAATGAATATGTTGTAGACATATAATAGTGATATTAAAAATAGGATTATGGCAAATGGTGTTTTTTTAGGAATAGGCGAGGCGACAGATGTTGAGAACGTCGTATTGTTAGCACGGTGGTAATTTGCAGTGGGTGCGCGTCGTCGCCGGCTCGCCGTGTCTAGAGGAGCCCCACCTCCCGTAGCGCCGCGTCCACTGTCTCGTCCTAACACAATCCACGCCGTCAACATGCAGCTAAGCTAGATGCTTCAGTACTTACGTACTTCATGTTCACATCTCACCATGCATACATTTGTATACTTTGTAAGAACCTACGTTTCTATCTGTCTTTGTTTAATTTGAATTATAACAACTATGTAGGTAATTGAACTTTTTAAAATTAAAATTGTTAAAAATTATCCAGGGTAGGACTCTAATTTCTGATTTTAGTATTGTCAGAATTTTATAATTTCATTTTGATATGGGACATATTTTTCTTAATACACAGATTGTAATATGAAAGCAATTATCTTTTTAGATTGTTATAAATGTTAATACGTTATCAAAATTATAAGAAAATTAGCATGCTGTTAACTGTTACATAATTACTGGTCCACGCCAAGGGGAAGCGTTAGAGGAGTACCACGAACATACATAGCACCTTTACGACACCACACCGGACACATGGGACTGCCGCACCACGAGTTACTTAAACTGTACAACACATTCTGATACCTAACTTCTGACTTTAATTGGACGAGGCATTTAAATTTTAGTGTTCTATCATGAAAATCAGAGGCTCAGATCTGGTACTCTGTCGTCATATCATAACAATGTTACGGTTAACTCGTGCTACGGCAACTCGGGACGGGACTCGGTACATGCAAGAAAACAGATTAATTTGTTTATATAATGTATTTCGACAACCCATTACAGTAAATGCATGAACAGCCAGACCATAACCAATAACCAAAAACGACACTGTTTTACAATGTATGTACGTATATTACACAAAGAGATTTTTGAAAAATGTTATATTTACGACTCGTAAGGATGAATGACCTCGAAATGAAGAGATTGAGCAATGGATACTTATGCTATTCTCTCGTTGGTAAACATTCCATTTGAGGGACGAACCGTGTTCAGTGTACAGAAAAGCATGGTAAAGCAGTGTCCCGATACAATGTAATAATAAAGTTTAACTACACATATATGTATGAAGCAACGATATACAGATAAACTATTTATAACTAACTATAATGGCGCCTCCTGTCCCTACTCACAAGTACATAATATCGCATGACAGATCTAGAATCGAGGTAATTTAATGTTTCTCTGAGATTTATATTCTGTATGTGTGTGTGACTGTAAATGGAGCTACGTTAGTTCTATATAGCCGTGCAAGAGTGGCAAAATATAAGGAATAAAAGTAATTGCTAGCTACATACGTAAATAATATAATAATAACTACATAATACTTAGATAAATATAAAATAAGAAAAAGCACATGCAGTAACAACTCTAAATATATCTAATAAAATAGTAAACTAATTAATTATCCAAGGTTGTGCAACACATCAGTGTAACAATCCATCGTTCAGGTCCTGACCGCCACCAATGCATGCATTTCACACCAAAACAAAGGATAAAATTAGCAGAGTGCAGTGGAAGGAGAAGTAAGAAGCAGAGAGTGAGATCACAGCCGGCGGCGGCATGAAGAGTACACAGTAGAGTTAGTAAGAAGTACCAAGTATTGAGCAAGTAATTACTAAAAATCTATCTTCTATCTCTGTTCTACAAGTCTGACGCAACATAGTATAATATTATAATGTCTTTGTTTTTAGTAATTGAGCAAAATAACTCTCCAAACGCCGACTGCATCACTCATTCACTAGTCATTTAGCTTTGAGTTTTGCAGACATGAATAACATTTAAATTTTTTGTATGTGTTAAAGTGCTGAGTATTCTGTTATAATATCAACATTTACAGTGACTAATATACATACATTTTTAAACAACTTTTTAAATATATTTTTGTTTAGGCACTAATATCATCTATCTATTCATAATATTCGTTTTAATCTTAAATATTTAAATTTCGCTGTCTATCAAACGACACATGTAAATGTGTGTGTCATAATATTTCGTGATATGTCGTATTCATTCTGAAAGCATATTTGTTTCACGTTATTTTATAGATGTTTTGTTTCATTTAGATGTTTATGTTCAAATGTTTTAGAAAGAAATATGTTTCCAGACAAATATGCTACACAAATAGTGTTATTACACCATAGCTTTAGAAATTGATATGTGTTAGACATTAGTGCTTCTTCGAAGTTAATCTAAAAGGCAGTGCTCCTACACGCGTACATTAGTGTTACATCTAATACATAATCAAAAGGCACTACTGAGGCCACTGTCCTATTAACTGGTCCACTTTATACCTATATTTATTTATATATTCAATATTTACGTCTATATATACCATCTAGATGCATTGTGACTAGTATGATTCAAGTTTATGGCAGTTTCATTTGTGTTTTAATAAAATTATTTTCTATATTTTCAAGTTAAATATAAATCTGGTAGTAGTCTGTTAATTGCTAATTTTTACTGGTAACAATCTTAAAGAACAGAGTAAAACACTGATAACTAATATTTTAGGAACTACATAATTAATTTTACTTATAGTATAGATAATGTTAGAAATTATTGAGGAATCAGAATATAGGATCAGTTTGATTAGTTAAACACAACACATTTTTAAACCTAAATAATATGAAATGATCAAATTACTTAACAAATACCTAAAGATAAAATAGGACAAGTTTAAAAATGGTTACTTGATATTGCACCATTATATTATAATCCTGAGTACGGCCCTGCCTATATAGCATTAGTATCTCTCTCTGAATATTACATCACATGCAGATTTTTTGTTATTCACATATTGTGCCCCATACCATAATAATTATTTTTAGTTTATTTATTTTGTTCCACATTTACCATGAGCTTAATAAATTGATGATGCTGACTGGATTAAAATCTTACAATAAACACATTAAGTAAAGCAACAAAAAATCTGCCTATTGAATTAAACCTAAGACCTGCAATACCCATATTATTAATTAGACAAGCTCATTATCCTGACTACTGACCTCTTGGAGTAGATCCTGTGCAGCGATGGCCTTCAGGACATTCTTTTTGCTGGTCTCTTGCAACTCACCACCAAGCACCAATTCGTCCAGAATAAAGTACGCCTTCTCAAAGTTGAAGATTATATCCAGCTCACAGACCTGTAAAAAATAATATTTTAATTACTAAACTAAACTTTAACATGGTAAATATTCTCAAATTTTTGCAGCGTAGAGTCAATAATGCAGCCTTCGTATTCCAAAATGGTCCAGTTCCATGTTACAGATAGTAAACATATTACAGTTCCAGACTAAGAACTATGGAAATAAAAATGAATTTCCGTGTGTTAGTCTCGCTAAATGTGAGGATGGCTGAACCGATTTAGCTAATTTTGGTTGTCAAATGTTCGTGGAAGTCCAGGGAAGGTTTAAAAGGTGACAAAAAAATTGTAGGTAGCGCGAAGTTTGCCAGGTCAGCTAGTCTACAAATAATTTTTGAAAAACAGAAATCTACCCTTAGTTTGATGACCTGTAAATCTGATTCCGTGTTGAGCAGTTATGCTTGTGACCACTCACTTAACCAACAAAGCAGTCAGAATTGACATTAGGGATATACTCACACTGCCAAAGTATTTGTCAAGCAGTTCCACATAGCGATGTATAAGCTCCAAGGTTAACAGCTCATTGTCTTCCTGCTCCATCGCACAACAGAAGTATAGGGACGCATATCTATTGACAGAGATGATAATGTTAATTGCTTGTGGCATTTCATCATCATTTCAATGAAGTCTTAGAAAAATGTTAAATGAGTAAATGAAGACAGAGAAACTGGTTGCAAAACCAACTATACTGAAATATCCAATAAGACGAAGATAGAGTGTCAGAGAGAGTCAGAGTGTATGTCTCATCTGATAACATGATAGTGAGTCACAAATCTATTGTAACAAACCTTTGTTTATAAAAGAGGTCAAATACCTTTTGTAAACTATTTTGACGTCTTTCCACTCCAAGAACGAACACATCTTAGGCTTCCTGGCTAGCACAGTGGTTATAAGTTCACGTGTGATCTTCTTCTTCAGTTTGTCTGGGTGCGCCACGTACCATTTCTGCAGTCTTAGTTTGCCCTGCCGGCTGAACAACAACATAAACTGCATCTGAAATATAAAGATTTTTGACCTTAATATTACAGCAATTTCAGTGACTTAGACCACGAAACGAAAAAATGAAAATAATACACTTATAAGCTAAAATAAAAACACATTGAATAATATGAAATCAATTTAGAAACCAACAAGATTGTAATAAATAGCTGAGGAAAACGCAATTCGTTAGAGGTTACTCACCATCTTTAAATCTTAAATCTAAGTCCCACAATATATGTAAAAAGGAATGTTTGATACTTAAGGACATAAATTAAAACTTTACTACATATTTTTCCTTGAATACAGTTAAAATAAAGCAAAAATTATTGGTGGCTGACGTGACGACATGATCAATATCATTGATGATAGATGACGTCATACAAATGTTGACAGAACAGAGACAGACCTGCGACTGAAGCACAGATTATACAAACGAGTAAAACTATTAGTTTGGATTAGTCGATTAAATAAACCGCATTTCAAGAAATCGCATAACATTAATGCATTTTTCAATACATATTTCGGATATTTCTTACAACGAAGGCACATCTTATGATAAGACATGGCTAAGGCACTGTGTATTTCTTTTACGTTTTATTTAAAGGAAGAGGAAAATAATCACAGGGTCACAGTAACATGTGCTATCGAGTGTATCAACTATCGATCATGATATCGAGCGCTTCAACCTAATTTATCTGTAGCTGTAGTAAAAGTGACATTGACATTATTGACATGCAACCAGAGTTTTCTTCCGACTTTCGTCTGCGGCTCTGGCGAGTGGCGGCTCATTGACACTTATTGACATGCTAAGTGGAAGTGGAAACCTTGGATAATATTTATTTGCGAGTGATTTTGTGTAGTGCAACATATGGCAAAAATAATATTGCTCGCATCAAACGCACTGTAATTTCTTGCAGAAAACATTTAAAGGGTCACCGACAGAAAAATATAAAATGGTAAGTGTTGGTTTATTTTTGTAAATTGTTTACTACGTTTTGGCAATTTTTAGATAACATACTGACCTAAAATAGCTAAATTTACGATTTAAATGGTTTTACAGACCAGGAGCACTTTATCTGGTCAATCTTTATTATTGTTACCTACTTGTTGGATAAAAATGTTGAATTATTTTAACGATAAATCTATTAACATATTCTAGGTACTATGTAAAATATTATCACTATATACCTGACTTGCGTTTTGTTAATAAGTAGGTAGGTAATGATCAACTACCTAATTTAATTTTCTTTCAGGCTCAAGTATCGGTAACTGGTTCATCGGTTGGTGGAACAGGAGGAGACAGTGAGGGTGAGGAGCAGGAAGACCCTTCATCGTCGTCACCTGATGAAGTGCTAGAAATTGATGATTCTCTTAAAAAATTAAATATGCAAGATAAGCCACAGGTGCGTGAACAAAATTCTTATTGGAGTGTTATTTTATAATAACTTTACATAACACACTTTAATTCTACTAACAAAAAATAATCATAACATAATTAATTTTGTTGTAAACATATTGATAGGCAGTCTGTCCAGGTTGATTGTGGTCCAGGTTCCATAACATTCTCCTTTTATGTATATTAATTCACTTTTAAAATTTTTATTTTGTTTTATAATATTTGTACCACACACAAATTGTACAAATTATTTTAAACAAAATTATGGCTTTCTTATAAGAAATAGATTAAAAACCAGAATCTGATGTAACACAAATGAATAACGTACTGTCATTATTAAACAATGAATATTGTGTGTTGCTTATCTTATATTACATAAAATAGCCATAGTCATTGTTATCTTTTAAATTAGGTGTAATTACGCTCATATTTCTCTAGTTGTGTAATTAGTGAAAAAATTCTTAGAAAAAAAACCTTTTCAGATAAGTAACTGATTTATTTCCATTTTCAAACTATAACAAAATCAACGGAACAAGCAGTCTATTTCCAACTGGTAACATTTCGTGAACTACCCTTTTTTATTATTGTTGAATTAAATAAAATTCAACACACCATAAATATAAATTATCCTATTTAGAAAAATATTCCCACAGTTCAACATTGGATTACCTAGCATGTTGGATCTCTATACTATTCTAAAAATTTTACCTTATGTGGGTGCATATATCAAAAACTGATCCAAGTCAAATACCTGTAGTTCTCAGCATAACAGGAATAAATAGCTAGAACTGTTATCAGTATGATATCAATGTGTTTTCTTATCACTGATATTATCCAGCTCCAGTAATAGCTATTAACTGTCGTTATAAAAGTATGTGCAAGTCATGGTCATTGTTGTTGTTCATAAACCTTTTCTTAGTACTATTATAGTTGAACTTAAGTCAACTATACTTAAGTCGGAATTTTTGAAGTCATCTAAAAACTTCAATAGAAAACAAAATGGTAAATTATGTACAAAGCACCTTGGATTTAAAAAGGATGAAGATACCCCAATATATATCTCAGAGCAAATGACTACGAAAGGAGCGCGGCTGCACTTCTTGGCACGTGATTTGGCTAAATCCAGAGAATATAAATACTGCTGGACAGCTTATGGGAAAGTTTATATCAAGAAAGATGACAATTCACCTACTATCGTTATAAATAGTGAACAGCAGGTACAAAACCTTTTACAGCTCCAGTGACTAGTTTTCAGAAAATTACAATATATCAGCTACATTTTATACCTTCATAGATTTCTTAAAGTTATAAAATTAATCATAACCAAGTTAGACACTAATTTCAAAAATGTGTTATGTTTTGTTTACCGATCGCACCACAACATTTATTCTTCAATGCGTAAAACTACCTTCAATTCTAATACCAAACTCCTAAACATTCGAATCACGCATATCTCTTTTCACTCACACGAAATACACACACTCACACAGACACACACAATCATTCTCACTCTCACACGACATACAAATACGAATTTAATCATATTATCCACTATTTATAATCTTTATCATAATGGATACCAATCGACAAGCTCTGGATGACATCGACAATTCCGAAATAGCTCAAGTGTTTGATTGTAATATTACTGACTTTGCCAAGTTGGTTAAGGTTGGCGCGTCTGATTTTTCCATTGTGTCACAGAACATTAGATCTGTTTATACTAACTTATGATCTCCAATTGAACCTATTTAATCTTGGTATGGGAATTGATCTCATAACCTTAACGGAATGCAGATTGAACTCAAATAAACCAATACCCCAAATTACTAATTATACTTCGTTTCAAACTACAAACCACATGAATAAGGCGGATGGGGTAGTCGCTTACATAAAAAGTATACACAAGGCAAAAATTAGAGAAGTGAAGTTAATACATGCGTCTTGTTTGGAGGTACATGTTGCACCTGACATTATAGTTGTAGCGATTTATCGATCCCCATCGACTTCGAATGCTGACCAATTTATTAGCTCTTTGGACGATTACTTGACTGCTCTTACATCAACTAAAACCATAATAATAACCGGAGATATAAATATTAACTTAATATATAATGATAATGAGCAGTCGTGCGAGCGTTCAAACAGACATAGCTATCTCAATATGTTAGCAATGCATGGCCTACTTCCCGGTCACCTGCTTCCCACTCGTGAAAAGTCCTGTCTTGATCACTTTATAATAAAACTGAAACCAGGTAGCCAAACTCCAACTGTTGCAATTATTCACACTACAATAACGGATCATTTCATGACTTTCTTAAAAATCACTTGTCATAAAAACTTAATTAGGCAACGGAAAATAAGGAAAGTTTTTAATTTAGAGGTTGGGTTAGAACACCTAACAGTTTACAACTTAACGGATTTATTGAAACTTGACAACCCTAACACTATTACAAATAACTTAATCAAAATACTACAAAATTGTGTCGAACTCAGTACAACTACTATGAGCATCCCTTTGAAAAATAGAACCCTAAAACCATGGATGACCGTTGGTTTACTGCGCTGCATCTATAATAGAAATCACATGCAAAAGAGACTTAGGCTTGATCCATAAATGAAGTGTTGAAAATCACATACAAGAGATATCGAAATTACTGTTGTACTATCATTCGAAAACAGAAACGTAAGTATGAGAGAGACCAACTTACTAAAGCATCTAAAAATCCCAAAAAAACATGGGCTATAATTAACGACATCACACAACGCAAACCTAAAAAAGACAATAACTCGGAACTACTACATAGTCTCACTGATCCACAAAACTCTGTAGAAAAGATCAACGAATATTTCTGTAATATAGGCAAATTGCTTGCTGAAAGCATCATCACCTCTCAATCTTCAACAACAACACGTTATAACACTGACTCATTTTCTTCTAACAGTCTTTTGACATCATTTGTTCTTCTTGATACAGACCACGACGAAATTCGAGCGACTTTAATGAGCCTGAAATCAGACAGTGCCCCTGGCTGGGACAAGATACATGTCAACTTTATAAAAGCTGCACACATACAAATTGTACCAATTTTGACTCACCTAATTAACATATGTTTCAGGCATGGAATCTTCCCGGATGCTTTAAAATTGCACTAATAACACCAGTATTCAAGTCTGGCGAAAGAACCGACCCATCTAATTATAGACCAATTTCAGTGCTACCATGCATTTCGAAAATCTTTGAAAAGATCATCAACTCACGTCTGATGAAGTTCTTAAACAAATATAAAATACTCTCACCCTCTCAGTACGGGTTCAGGCAGGGAAGGTCTACTGAGGATGCAGTTTTATCACTAACATCTGTTTTGGTGGATGGTGTGGATCGGGGAGACAGGTGTTTAGCGGTTTTTCTTGATCTCAGGAAAGCTTTTGACACCGTGTCTACACCTCTTCTATTGCAGAGGCTTGAACACATAGGTGTAAGGGGACATGCCCTTGAACTGTTTACATCTTACCTCAGCAATCGCAAACATAAGGTCAAAATCACTTCATATTCTAGTTCGGAGGCATCGGTAACCTTCGGCGTTCCACAGGGCAGTGTCCTTGGACCGACCTTGTTCCTTATCTACATCAATAGCCTCTGTAACATGAAGATTGAGGGAGGGCATATTTTCTCTTATGCTGACGACACTGCCATCGTCTTCACTGCGAAGACTTGGGATGAGGTTCGTGGGTTGGCAGAGAATGGTCTTGCGAAGATAGCAGCATGGCTAAACCATAGCCTCCTAACGCTAAACGCTTCTAAATGTAACTACATCTGCTTTACTAAGTATAATAATTCGCAACCGCCTCAAGATTTCCAAATAAAAGCCCATATTTGCCACAACTTCCCAGCACTAGACTGTTCCTGTCTACCAATAGACAGGTTGCAGCACACCAAATATCTTGGCATCATGATTGATCAGCGCTTATCTTGGCACATGCACACCGAACTTATTATGATAGAGTTAGGAAACTTATATGGTTGTTCAAAACATTGCGACATGTGACTTCAAGGCAACTCCTGAAGCAAGTTTATATGTCTTTAGCGCAGTCTATCCTCATGTATTGTTTGCCTTGCTGGGGAGGCACAACAAAAATGAAATTTTTGGAACTTGAGAGGACTCAAAGAGCCTTACTTAAGGTAATGTTCTTTAAACCCTATAGATACCCTACGCATGCCCTTTATTTATCAGCTGATCTTTTATCTGTTAGAAAACTTTACTTACTCCGACTCATACTGAAAAAACACATAACTCTCCCATACGACCATTGTAAGCCAAAAAACCGAAGAGACCATTTGGTCGCCCCAACTGTTAGGGTGAGATCTGCCTTTGCTAAAAGACAATACCCGAGGCAATCATCTTATTTATACAACTTGCTGAACAAAGAACTACGAATCTATCCCATGAAACTTTGGGACTGTAAAAAAGCTGTAATGGACTGGCTCAAAACAAAGACGTATGACGAAGTTGAGTCGGTTATAACCACTCTTTAATAACAGGATTATTAAAAACTGGGCTGGTGTGCATAGATATAATTAGTGAAGGTAATCTTTTCGGATTCCTTCGATCCCAAGACTTTGTCGTAGGGCTAATTGGTGAACTGGTTAATTAACAGATAAAAAAAAAAAAAAGAAAACCATATATCTCAACTCACACAGTTCCTGATAATCTTACACTCATATTTGCACTCACTCTTTCACTCACCTACTCACTCAATCACTCATACACATACTCACTATACATGATTGACATACTACACATACATACATTGTGCGATCTAGTATTTTCATAATAACATTCATTGTCTCTGCGATTAGAATTGTAAGTTTAACTTGATTTATTTTCTTCTTGTTTTATTGTTAATCTTGCATGTTTACATTATCTTCATTGTAACTTCAATTACTTAGAATGTCATGTGGAAGTGCGGAGTCTCCTAACACAAGCAATCCATTGCTTAAAAGGTGATCTCCAATAATTTTATTTAATGCCTTTTGTAATTGAAATAAACTTTTTTATTTTTATTTTTTATTTTTTATTTTTTTATTTCTGGGCAAATATGCAGTAGTATTATTTCAATATTGTATTTCTACCCACACCACTGCAAATTTTGTATACCGTATCCATAGCAGAGGACAAAAAAAACATCAATAAATGAAATCCTGCATATCCCAAGGACATAAATGTTTAGAAAGTAATAGACATGTGTGTACTTACAATTACAATTCAAGGCTGGTAAAATAAATGAACATATACGATACATGTAATGTCTATTTCATACTTCATTAATATGCCTAATCAAAGATCTAATGGATGTTAAAAAACAACACAGCAATGTTCACATTGTAAATATCTGCAACTATGAACTTGAAAAAGAAACAATACTTTATATGTTGTTTTGTTAAAAAAATATAGGAGTGACACAGTTTTTAAAGGGATTTCCTAAATAAATTATGATATAACATTGAGTTGTTAAATGTAGTATGATGTCACACTAAATTGATAAACCAATTAATACTTATCTAACTTACGGTCTACATAGAAAGTGTTTTTCTTAACTAGGCATCACTCTTACTTAGTGGACCACTTAGACTACTATAAATAAACACAGAAACGGCAAAAAGCGCTTTTGGAACATAAGCACTAACACAATAGTCTAAATACCTGGCATATGGTGTATGCAAACTAAAACTTTATGATTTGATTTTATAATCTGCAGTTTTATGATTAAACTATATTACTATTATTAGATTGTACAGGCACTCTTTTTATATCTAAATTACATTAATTACATTTTTTAATGAATATCAGATAATAATTATTTGTTTGTTTAGAATGCCGACGACGAGTTGGCGGCTTTCCGCCAACAGTGGCAGCGAGAGTTGGAAGCCAATGCAGCCAATGCTACCCCGAAAAGGTCCACGCCGCCGAAACAGAAGCAGTTCCCTGAACCTATCTCTGACGAAGAAAAGGTACTTAGATTTTATATGGTATTAGAGACTAACGAACAGACGGATCACCTGATGGCAAGCGATCAATCCCATCCATGGAACATCAGAGGTCAAAGTCAAAGCATTCATTTCAATTAAAACTCAAACTCAAAAGCATTTGTTTCAATTAAACCATAATTTGGTACTTTTTAAACCATAATTCGCTACTTTTGAAACGTCAACAAATATAAAATAAATAATACATTATTGTTTGTAAAAATAAATATGTGTATTAAAAATAAAACAACATAGAGCCGAATTGCTAACCTCCTCCTTTTTGTAAAATCGGTTAAAAATATATAATATAATAATAATAATCATTTATTTCAGACCATGTTCATATTTAGTAGTTGTTAGTAACATTTAACGTAAAAAAAACTATATAAAAACTAATGTATTGACAGGGCACCGTTAAAATATTTATAGTTTTAAACAATTCACTCAGCGATTCGCAACGGCGCAAGTTATATGTAGTTCGGATAGCCCTCTTTTGTAGAATAAACATTAATTCTATTTTTTGTCGTCAAAATTATTTGCACGTTGGCCTATTTTAAAAATTAATGATGTATCAAAAGCACCATTCTTGGTTCATTTATGAAAATAAATGGCAAATCATTCATATAGACTATAAAAAGAGAAAGGGACCCAATATTGAACCTTGAGGAACGCCCATATTCTTCCCAGATCCCTGTGAGTTAATACCGTTAACATGAACCTTTAATTGACGAAGCACGGTGTTTCTAATCCCGTAGTGATCTAATTTCAGCAAAAGCGTGTCGTGGCCAACGCAATCAAACGAGGAGTTGCACATAATCGCATTGTACCTTATAGAAGACCTTTTCATAGATAGGTAGGTAGATTAAGCAGGTAGGTAGATGAACTATATATTGAAGAAAAGCAACAAAAAATAAAAGTATGTGAGGAGAAAATCCCAATAAAAGTATATTTTTTTTATCCAGTAAAATACGGGATAAATAACTGTTGCATGTTTGTTCCACATTAAAATATTAACCCTCACACCATGTAGGCGAAGCAGCTGTTCTTGAGTGGCATAGAGATGGAGCAGCGCGGCAGGCTGTATGAGGCCATCCAGCATTACAAGTACTCCCTGCAGATACTGCCTGACGTTGAGAAGCGCCTGCATAACGAACTACAGGCCGCAATTCCTGAAGGTAAACGATACGAGTCTCCATTGAATGTAGCCTTAGAAATTTGAGGAGGGTGTCTAGGTGTAGGTGTAGCCATATCTCACCAACATCTAACACATAATTATGCGAGACATATATAAGGTGTTAAAAAATTAGCTCTAAATATTTTATGTGGTTGGTGGGAATCAATAAACTGACACGTTTAGCAAAAAAAAAATTAACAATTTTAACGACTTTTATTTTTAACAAAAAAAAGGAGTTGGTTAAAAATTTTTTTGCAAACCGTACGTGGAGCTGCGCTTGCGGCCCGAGCGAAGCAATGGCGCGCCGTCACCGTCCCCATGTTATCGCAATCTCTCTCTCTTTCTCCCTCTCTCCCGTTCGCTAGTTGTTCTTTATACTATGCTAGTTGCCCCGCTCTCTTTCCCACTTCTCTCTCTCTTGATCGCCAGTTGACCGATAGCTGTCGCGCGGGAAGGGTGTGGCCCTCAGTGTCGTTCAGTGTTGTGTCCGATCAATCGCACGCGCCATTTTTTATTGTTTGTTGTTCAATATTCAATAATGCCGTTTACGTACAGTAACCGCAAGTACTTAGACATGTTAATGTGGTACATTAGAAGTGGCGAAAATGTATCTGCAGCTCGTCAGTGGTAGTGAGATTAGAAACGCGGACGAATTAAAAATAAGCATAATAAACGCGTTTGATAGAAAAGTGACAGAGACACATTATTGCGAGTGAAAAACAACGTAATACGTCGCGTCGTGCAAACTTGTGCATCGAACAAGGTGGAAGACACTTCCAAGTTCCAGCATCTTCTGTAAATAAGGTAGACTCTTTGTTAATACTTAAGTATCTAGAGACGGGCATTTATTCCGATGAATACTTGTAAATGATAAAATACCTAAGTAACTACCAACTACCTAGTACTAGTACTACTAACTACCGAAGTATTGGTTTTTGGTCGAGTTATTATTAGTATTTACCTATTCAAAAAATTGACATAATTAATCATTGTAGCTAGCTATGCTATTTTAATTATAAGCATATCAAATCAGTTAAATAACATAATCTAAACAGAGTCGCGTGGTCGTTTATTAAAATGAAACATTATTAAGTTCAGTTCAGTAGTAACATAAGCGCGCGGTACCTACCACGACACCTGCGTCAGCGCGGTCGCTCGGGGCTTCGTCGACGGCCTAATACGCCGTACGGCGCGCATATTAGGCTGTTTACGTGTAACACAAATAGTGGAATAACTTTAGAACGGTAGCTTTTTTTTAAATTATTTTTTCGTAATTAATTATGGAATAAATGTTTCAACAAAACCTTAGATTTCCTGAAGCTAATTTATTAACACCTTATATATATTTTTATAGGTATGCAGGAATGGGATTATTTATATTAAAACTTTCGTGAGACATACTAATTCATTATTGTTTCCGGCTTAATCACGTAACTGTTTGCCGAGGAACTCGACTTGTTTCAAACCATGCTAGAGGCTCATATTCATGAGTCTCGTCGTGGGTGTCGGAATGCTGTTCTTGAATATGAGCATAATGCAAGGACGATCTCCGAAATATCCTCATTGTAATGCAAAGGCAAACGAATAAAGATTCTTGTTCAAGTTAGCATTAATATTTTTTTTTTGTACAGAGGAGGTGATAGAAACAGAAGTAATAAGACCAAAAGTGGCATACCCTGAAGATGATGAGGAGGAAATCGAAGGGGAGGACCTGCTGAGCAAGTTGAGAAGGATCCTCGCTTCCAAGGGAGCACTGTGTGAACCTGAACTCGAGACTACGGTGAGTCTTAGATGACCATTAAACTGCCTCGCAACATAATGTTGATCAACAAAATGTTGCTCAACATGTTGAAAGCTGAAAGTCAGTGTACAACTTTTAAGCAAAGTGGTCTGTCTACTCATGATTTCGCTCGGAACATTAGTCGTCAAAGGAAACTGTACTGAGTCACGTCTTCACTCGGCGACGTTTGATGTTCAAATGTATGTTGCACAGAACAAACTGTGGCGACGCATGCCACATGTCAACGGATGACGTCACAAGAATCCTACATCGCACATGCAAAGTTTACAAGCGAATAAACACGGATAGAAAATCCCAACGAACAACTGTTGGGCAGAAAGCCCGCCAGGCACGATCACCTCGCCTGGTCGGAGGATCCTCCTTTTCCGATCTTAGGGAACTTTACTCTCTGTACCCTAAAGTGGTGACCCCGACGTGATTGGAAACAACCTTCACTTCACGGAGCAGATTAGCACCGTCATCCGTATCGCCATCCCTCTCATTCATCACTTCTCCGCTGAGCGGTAATCAAGTCGCAGCCAACCAGCATCCTCGGCCTCATCAGGGACCACCATTACCTGCAACGAAGTTGTGCAGCCTGGTTCTTCCCTACGGCCTCACCAGCGTCTAGGCACAGCACTTCTGCACACGGTCTGAAGGACACCTCCTCCCGTCAACGCAGATGCCGGCCACTACGCACCTACCCTCGCAGCATCTCTTCCCCGACTCACCGTGGGACACTGCGAACGCATCTCTCCGACTCACTGGAGTTTCACCCTGCACCGCTGACCCGACTCACTGGGCACTCAGCGGCACGGTTCCGACCCACTGGAACTAGGGACGTTCTACACTGGCTCTGGCACCGCTCATCTCAAGCATCGACAGCAGTCTCAGCGGATCGACCTCCGGTCTTGGGAGGGAGTGATGTGGCGACGCATGCCACATGTCAACGGATGACGTCACAAGAATCCTACATCGCACATGCAAAGTTTACAAGCGAATAAACACGGATAGAAAATCCCAACGAACAACTGTTGGGCAGAAAGCCCGCCAGGCACGATCACCTCGCCTGGTCGGAGGATCCTCCTTTTCCGATCTTAGGGAACTTTACTCTCTGTTCCCTACAAAACAACACGTTGCGCGTCGTGTTGCGCACCAGCTTGATAAAGTTGTGCGATATTGTGCATGTGAACGATTTGGAAATCAAAGTGTTGAAGAAAATTAACAAACAATGCCCCTTTATTAATTCATAGAAACTTTAATTAAGATCATTAACATAGCAATAATAATAAATAAACAGTTTATTCCACAAGTGATCTACTTTTTTTCTCATAGTACTCTATTTTTCTTCTCAATAACTCTTCTTCTAGGTCTAAGTTTCTGGATTTTCGTTTTTCATTTTCCATCTGTATGTCATGCAGCTCCTTTCTGCATTTCGTTTCGAGCGTTGATATACTTGCGACGCACATAGTAGGTGTCTGAGGAATATAAAAAAAGTAATTAGGTAGCTATAAAATATTCCGTAGAGTTACTATAATTTTTAGTTAAAAATATTTGCTGCTCACCTTGTTTCCAGACGCTTTCTGTTTTTTCTTATCACTTGGAGACATATACTGAAACAAAATAGCAGAATGAATAAGAATAAAATCTGTTATTTGCACGACGTATAGAAATAACACGTGATTATGATTTTAAAAAATTGCCCTAACATCGCCTACTGTTTTCGGCATGCAAATAATAAGTCAAAATACAACTTAAGTGTCTTCAAAAGGTTGTTTATAGGCAGGCGTGCTCATCATAGGCGAGTTGGGGGCAAAACGTCATCCTAATTAATACAAATAAATATGAACCCGCATAATGTGAATTTTGAGTAAAGCTTATTATAGAAATGATGATCCTATGAAGTAGTAGTTAATAGAACATAATAAATATTGTTATTTACCTCATTGTCTTTTTGATTGTTCTTATTTAAAACTTCTTCTGTTGTATCTTCTCTTTGTCTAGAAGGTAGAATGTCCTGAAATATTTTTAAATAAAATGTAGATATAGGTGCTGCAGTTGTTCAGGGTTTTTATGTTTAACCATTATTTACCTCTATTATAATTTCATCCTCGTTTATTACTAATTTAATTGAATCTGTAGATGACGATCTCTCTAGTTCTTTAGGTTTCACCTACAATTGAAAAAACAAAAAAAATCAACATAAATATATAATATTTTAGTGTAATAACTGGACGTAGTTATGCAGAAACGTTCCAACCCACAAATCACCTGAAATAGAGATAATAATGATCTTACTACCTTTTATAACAGCTAGTGTCAGATTAGCAAAAAGGTTCAAAAATTTAAGTCTTAAATTTTCGAAACTATCATAAGATGATAAGAATGAATATGAGTCCCGTTGTGACTGGAAACTAGTAGAGCTTTTCTCAAATAAAAAGTTATTTTATTTTAAACTAGCTACACCCGCGCGGTTTCATCCGTTTCCTAATGACAGTAGCGTGATGTTTTATAGCTTATAGCTTTCCTCGATAAATGCACTATCCAACACAAAAAGAGTTATTGAAATTGGACCAGTAGTTCTGGAGATAAGCGCTTTTAAACAAACAAACTCCTCAACTTCATATATAAGCTTTATATAATAGTATAAGACTAAAAACAATATTTATTAATTTCTTTAATATAAATAAGAAATAGTGATACTATTAACTTACCTGATGATTGACATCGTGGTTAGATTTATTGGTTTCTAGCATAAATTCGAACGGTACCAAGGTGTTAACATCATCTACTTTGTCAGGGCTCTCGTGTGGCACTGGATCGCCACAATTTGCAGTAGCGTGCTTCCTCTCCTCAATTTTCATTCTCTTCGTGTTCATTTTTATAATGCCCCATTGCGATTTTAATTGTGATATGGTGCGTTTACCGCCTGCGCACATGTTGTTGAAACTGTAATGATCATTCATTGTTTTTAAACCTGACGAAGGTATTTTGGTTAATCTAGTAAAACTTTATTTGCCAATTTCCACGCTCCTAAGTAACTATGTTTTAGTTGTGGAAGTAAAAGTACTATATGTACCCCATTTCAAAATTTAATACTGTCAATGTTGTTTTTTTGAGTTAAAGTTTTAGTTCTTTTCATAGCTTTCCAGTTATAGTGTACAATAGAAGCTGCCTGTGACGGCGCTTTTTAATAAACATAGTTATTAATGGTCGGCCCGGCGTAGTGTTAACAAATTATCGGCCTAATGATATCATTAAATAAGTTTATCCTGAAAATGTCACTTGTTAAGGTTCCGAAGTAAGAGCTAACAAGAATATAATAAAAATTGTACCTGTTTTGCAAGTCTACCCAGGCTGCATGCTTTTTCGTATTAGTATTCGTATCAGTGTTTTTATTTTCTATATCCGAAACTCTTACTTTGACCAGTTCCGTCAATAGTAGCTACAAAAATAAATATGTAGGTACAATAAATGCGCGGTCAATAATAATTATGGACACACAATATTACAATAAAAAATATTTTTAACCGACTTCAAAAAAAGGAGGAGGTTCTCAATTCGACCGTATATATGCTTTTTTTCTAATAGACAATACTAACCTTGTCTTGCTTGAACCAATTTTCACTTCTTTGTCTCTTTTTATGACCTCGGTTTTCCATTGTGAAAACAATTTTACGAACCGTGTCCCCTAAAAGTGGTAATGCTCAATAGCTAAAATACTCAATAAGTTTATTAAACGTTTTAATTATTGTATTCGTAAAACATTCAATAAACATTTAACAAATAACATTATAACCCCTATACTTATTATACTCTTTGAACATTATTTTATTGTCATTGTGACAAATCTATGGCAGAAACGATTTCCCGCTTCTTGCAAGGAGAATCTAATCTGATATTATTTTTCTTTTGTTGTTTAGAGGTTGGTTATGTGTGAGCCAGACTCGCGCTAGAGTTCTGTCCATATTCAATGTTGTTTTTATTTATTTTTTACTTTTTTGTGATACAACTTCTTCAATAATATCCAGTTAAATTCAAAATCCACCTATTAACTGTTTGTATGCCGGAACGCAGATCTACGCGAGACACAAAGTATATTCTATTGTGGTTTATATACAACTGGTTAAGAGTATTTTATTGAAAAGGCGCTATTATAAAATATAGTCGTCGTTGCATAGCTTTTTATTTTGAACAGCTTCTACTAGCTACTAAAAATCTTATACTGTCAGTCTAGATCATGACGTAAACGAGACTAACCCTAAGAAGAGATGACGAAGTATAGAGAATATTTTGATGAATGGAATTGTCGTCATCTTCCAGCATATCTTCTGTGCAGGATGCCCACATCTCCTGGCTGCCGTACGAAGTGATCCTGGAAATACTTCGCTGGGTGGTCAGCTCAGAGCTGGATGTGTTCTCACTGGACCAGGTGTCCAACGTCTGCCGAGGACTGTACGTCGCTGCACGAGAACCTGACATATGGCGCTCGCTTTGTCTCAAGTATGTTTAGACTCCATCATTCTTTACGGCGCACTCGTTTCTAATCTTAGCCGAACGTAGTTCTAGGCAATGTAATTTTTAGTTATCTAAAAATTGTTAGAAGAAATATTAAATCTTGCAATAAGACTGCAGTGCAGATAATGAAGGAATTTTGACTTAATGTGACGTCACAAATATTTTTGTCGTACTAATATAGTCTTTAACTGTAATAGTTTTTAACCGCAATATAACGTCTCTAGCACTTGGGGCATTGAATGCGGCACCCTGGCATCGCACGGCTACATATCCTGGCGACAGATGTACATGGCGCGGCCCCGGGTACACTTGCATGGCGTCTACATCAGCAAGACAACGTACGTGCGACACGGGGATAAATGCTACCAGAATGAATTCTACCAGTCTTGGTTCCTCATCGACTACTATCGGTACCTCAGGTTAGTTTAAACACATTATCCTTCTTTGCATCGCGAAGTCGAGTAAAAAAATGTTGCTTTCATACTGAAACCTGTTTTTCTTCTGCAGTGTTACCATCATAAATATATCAGATGTCATTTCCGTGTAGCAAAAAGTTATCCATTGTCATTTCATTTTTTTAATCGGCCTTGACAATTTATGAAGGTTCATAAAAATCTTATCCTGAATTCTAAAGTATACGATTTCGACTCGAATGAAGTTGTATTTAAGATGGTGTTTTTAATATTCATTTATGCTGAATGCTTTTATAAAGTGTCATTAAGCTGCAATGTTATTGTGACCTATGTGTGTTCTATGTGGCAGAAAGTCAATAACACTGACTATTTCTTACACTTCCGGATACTTGAATCGAGCTACCTTGTTTTTTTTTGGTTTGGAGAACTGTAACTTGTAAAAAATCAATGTAGAAGGAAAATGTTTTGATGCAGTTTTGGAGCTGGTTTAATCAACATTCATTTAGAGTGCCACTGTTCTAAATTTGAACTACAGTTTATTAAAAAAGTCGAGTTACGTTGAAACAAGTCCATATTTGCTTTTTTCAAAGAAAAAAATCTAATCAATTTTTCTAATCACTTTTTTTTTAATGTTTTAAATGAAAAGAAATGTGTTGAAAAGAAGTGTCCGGAAGTGTATATTCATTTTCATGTTATTTGTTATGTGTTAGGTTCTTCGCGGATGGCACAGTGCTGATGTGGACGACGCCGGACGAGCCCCAGTCGTGCGTGGGTCACCTCAAGAACCGACAGTTCAAGCACGGGCTCGGCATCATGCCCGGCCACTACAGAGTCGTTGGGGAAAAGGTATTCTTAACCTTATATTAATGAAATAGTTTAAAACTACATATATTGCGCACTTTACCCTTTGTGCCAGGTTCACGTACATTTTTTTTTACAAATAAGAGAGAGTCTCGCTTGCCCGATTAAGAGTAGATTAATTGATGTCATCAAAAATGTGTTTTTTCATGTGATGTTTATTTTTGTTCTTCTTTTTATGTTATTGTAACTGTTTGATTCTCTTTGATTTATCTTTGTGTGTGTGTGTTAATGTAATTGGTGTAAAGTTTTAACATTAAATTAATAATAATAAATAAATAAATAAAATTATGTAAAACGTCAACAAATATAACTTTTTTGTCTGTAACGCAATAAAGCTGACTTAAATAAATGAACGCAGGTTGTGATAGTAGTAAAGAGAGTGAACCAAGAGAAGAAGCCGGTGGCGGCCTCCAACACACGCTTCCGCTCCCGACACAAGGAGATTGAGCAGCAACAGGAACAGACCTTCCACGTGGTGAGTAGTACATTTTACCAGTGTGATAATGGCGAGGTCACTTGTCACCACCCCTGCTTTACTCAGGGCTGTCGTATCGTAAGAGTCGGCTAAGGAGGTCCAGTATCTTTTAGGCTTATATAACAGATACTGGACATTAGCGTTCTCTAATGGTCCTGATCCTTTTAAACTATGATTTTCAAATCGCTTGCCAAGAGTAATGATTATGTACGTATGGTAAACCCCTATGAGAAACCCATGGTCTTAGCGGAGCACTCTCATGGGTTGCCCACGGTGATATTTTTTATATTCTGGCATGTATAACTGTCGGATATTTTCATTGACAAAAATCGGTTATCCATTGCTTGGATCCTATTAAGTTGTGTCTGAATTACATTTATGAAAGCACATTTGAAAGTAGATCTGAGGGCTTAGTACGAGTTTCTTTTACGTTTAAAGTAATCGAAACAAGACGGCGTTCGGTGCTGTGATTGGTTTGTTCATTGGAGCCGGCCAATCACAGCGCCGAACACGTACTCGTTACGATTACTTTAAACGTAAAAGAATCTCGTACTAAGGCCTTTGAAATTTGAACCATAAAGATTTGTTGCTATGGTATATTATTCAATGGTGTATAGGAGTTGGAGTTGCTCGGTTCCCGTACGCAGCGTAACTGTCGCATGGAGTGGCGCCACTACGCGGCGTGCACGCGCCGCGACCAATGGACTCAGTTCGAGCTGACGCCGGGCAAGTTCCCTCCCTTCCGCTTCAGTCGAGTTCGTAGCTATATGGCCGAGTCTGAAGCACCGCTGCCTTCTCGTCATTATGTATGTATTATAAGTTTCAAATATTTAATTCTATAATAGTAATAATACCTTACATTCACACTCCTACAGAAAGCAGTCATACTCAATACATGCAGAATGGTTAGGAAGTTTTTATCTATATATTAATTTACCACATATTATTTCATCCCCAAAGTTGCTTTGGCCAAAAAACCGCAATTTTGGTGTAGTTCCCCAGAAATGGGCGAGGTTTCAACCTTAAACATACGTATAATAATATTAAATACTGTCATACTATTGACTTCGCCCTGGCGTTGAAATAAAGAGAAGATTAATTCACTTTGATTGCTCGGTTGACGCGTTGGTAGGACAGCCAGCCCAAATTAAGGTTCGATCCCCACACGGTACTACTATTTGTTTGTACAATATTAGATCCAGGAGAGAAATCGATTTTGAATAAAAAGAAAATGTAAAGTTTATTATAAATGATAAACAATTCGGAAGACTAACACAAATATGATTGCGCAAAATTTACTTTAAAGGATTTATAACTGTTTATTACCATTTATTACCATGCATATTTTCATGTGTCCATAATAATATAACCTCATAGCAATGTATTCCTTTTTTTCAGAACTAAAGCCCGATCTGCAGGGTTGTCACATAGCTAAGATTCAGGATTCCGGTCTCTAGTAAGTCATGGGCAAATACATACATCTATGTATTTAGTAGTTCTTCTGTGTGATCTGACTATTGTACACTGTACAGCTGAATTGTAAAACAAAAGCAATTATTTAAGACAGGTAAAGTGATACTCGCCTTAGAATTGTCTGAACTTCGTGTTGAAATTGTAAAAATCAACCTTACTTCTTATGAAATAAAAGACATTTTTAATCTAATTTGTAAAACTCTTGCCTCTAAACAAACTAATTTAACGCACAAAAAAGGTGCTTTAAGTTAAAATTTTAATTACAAAAGTTGATATTTTTGCCTTTAAAGTAATTCAGTGTAAATGTTTGCTTTGATAAAGCGTGTAAGACGTAATTGTATATAAGGGAGTACACAGACTGGACTGTTGTGGATAAAGTCGGAAATTATTAAAAGATACATAAAATATACAGTTATCTTTGTCTCAAAATAGTCAAAGTGTCAGTGATTAGTTATAAATAAAATTAAATTCTGAAATAAAGAAACCCAAATCTTTAAAAAGTAGAGAAAAAGTCTTGTTCAATGAGCCAAACTATTCGGTAGACATGTAAAAAATAATTATAGATTCAGCACAGAGACAATGAATTATCTGTCGTATGTATAAATACCTAAGTGACATTCTGCCTTGATAAGTTTATAAATAAGGTTGTTGTAAAACTAATTTGCTGTAGTCACATAGTGAAGTCTGTGTTTTTCATAATTCCGAATTCAAATAGATTCTTGTTAGGCATAGCTAAGAATTCTAACTCCTTTTGTCCTGGCATCTTGAAATTAAATGATTAATTACTGAATAATTAAGGTTCATTTTTGCGCGATTTTGTGACATAGTATAGTTATTTGTATTTCCTAGTATTTCAGTTAAATTGTCACGTTCAATACGGCTTTATCTGCATCCAAATCGAATTTAAACTATGGATTATTTTCCTAGCACTAAAATTAACAAAAAAACAATTAGTTTTGGATCCCATTTTCAATGTATTTTCTGTAAATATTGTACAAAATGACGAAAATAAAAAATTTGGACTGATATGAATTTGATAAATTGAAAGTGTAGGTCTTATTGTCGTGGAATGTAGGTTCCTTTTTCGATGAATCCAGTCTTATGCTGTGGGGCACGAATATTGTGATTTCTAATGCCTTGGATTAAGTACATGGTGTTCTCAAAATACGTGAGAATGTGTACTTTTGACGCTATGCGCTATATTTGATAATTATTATTGTTACATTTAAGATTTAAGTTTATGATTTTATTGTAAGACTCGAGTGGTTTTGGAAATTAAACCGATGCATAAAATATGACGAATTATCTATTGGCTTAAGACTCGTGTACAATTATATGCCGATTTTATATTTATTTATGACATAAAATAATGTATGGTTAATGACGTGTGAATTAGCGTCATTTATCAAATTTGAAATTGTATGTGTTTGATATTTTATAATCCTAATAAGTGGTGGACTAAAGAGAAAAGTGGAAGGGTCGGGATGTTTGGTCCAGGGGATATTTTATATTTAAACTTACACATAATATATTATATATGTATGTACCCGATAACTTTATTGGATGTGTGATATTTACGATCACAATGACCTCTAAGATTAGGTTGTGTCATTTAGTTGCAAGATTGTAACTAAATTAATTAAAAAAATTAATTAAATTAATTAAATATAACACATTACAATTGGGTGCTTTCCTTAATCAAAATTTTTCGACTGTTCAATACAATAAAATATTGGAAAACAATCACACTAATAAATTGTTTTTATGATCAACTTAATTTTAGTATTTTCCTAGCAAATTTCAAATAAATAAGGATGCTGTTCGACACTAAAAAAACGTGACGTCACAATACAAAATTCATAGAAAACTGTCGTTTTTGACAATTCGAAAAAAGTATTGAATTAGATTTGTTGGCAAGTACCCAATTATATAAGACTCTTGATAAATGACATGGCCTTCTTAGTAAGTAGTCTCCATTCAGTTAATACCCCAAATTTTCGAATAGTCCACCTGTTGAATGTAGAACTTTGAACACGGCACACTGCATTGTTATCTGATAAAGTACAAAATATCTTTTTAAAACTATACCAAGCTTGTAGCCATCTTATTCTATTGTAAATAGTCATTTATATAATCTATATTATGTAATTGCACTGCCTCGTTGGCCGAGTGGACGCAAGTGCGACTGCCGGGCATGGGATCGTTCGATTCCTGGGTCGGACAAAGTATTACTGGGTTTTTAAAAATAATCCCAGCACGGAGTCTGGAAATGTGCCCGGTATATGGCAATACGCTCACCCCCTATTACATGGGACTCGTAACATAAAATAGTGAAGAGTGGGTGTTACATTGTTTAGTGGCATTAAGTGCCAAGATGAGCACCTCTGCCTGCCCCTTCCGGGATAAAAGTTTATTTATTTTCCACTTGCTGATTTAATTTAAGCTTTAATTAAGCAGTCTTAAAGACTAAATTATTTTGTGACGTCTATAGACGTGTGTGTAACGGTAACTAAGTATGGTAGTGCTTTGTACTAGTCTTAAGTCTCGGGATGAGATAATAAAAATATTGATTGCAGTTTATATGGTTTTCTTTGAGTTTCATGTTTTTTAATTGTCTAATGCCCGAATACTGAAATGTTACTCAATTTTAAGTCGCGCTTAAGCATAGTTCTGTCTCTACAAATTCTTTTTAAATGACAGAGGGAGCACGATATTTAAGCACGACTTAAAATTGAGTAATGTTTCAGTATTCCAGCATAATACTTACGCCAGTTACACCCTTGTCTCCCTTACTTTTCTCCTCTTCTGGCTCCTCCCTTCCTTACCTACAGATTATGTTGTATATTGTTTCATCCATCCATGTATTGTCGAAATACTCAAACGCTATTCAATTTTAAGTCGCGCTTAAGTATAGTTCTGTCACTACAAATTATTTAGTAAAACTAGATTTTGCCCGCGACTTCGTTCGCGTGGAATAGTGACTTTCAGATTTTTGGTTTTACCCACATAGTTATCCCCTATCTTGCGAGATTTTTGAGAAGTTCCCCCGCCTGCGGGATGTTCGGGATAAAAACTATCGTATGTCCTTTCTCGAGTTCCAAACCTTACTGAACCGATTTCATATCGGTTCAGTAGTTAAGGCGTGACGGAAAGACAGACAGACAGAATTACTTTCGCATTTATAATGTTAGTTTGGATGACAGATGTCACGATATTTCAGTATAATTTTAAATTGAGTAGCCTTTCAGTATTTGGGCGTGTGTTGTCTAAAAGTTCAATAATCAATACTTAAAAAGTCGTCGATGACGTTTTCAGCTTTTATTTATTATACTCTTTATGGTGCATACTTTACAGTACACGGCGACAAATATTGCACATCGACCTTTAGAAAGAGGCGAATAATATTCACGATTCTGAGCCACTTAAACTAGTCTGTACAAACAAAATAAATAGTTTGGTGAGATATGACATCTCACGTGTTTGTCGCGCGTCAAAAGGAAGAAAATAGACAATTTACCTTTCGCTTTGATACTTCTGTCAATTTGTACCTTAACTTTGTAAGAGCAATAGCCCAAAACTCAGCATTTATACGTTGTTTCTAACATATGTTTTCTAATCTAGTCTTCATACCTTTATTATGTATTGAGTGACTCTAATTAATTGCCATATTTGCCATACATTTCTTCCTGCCTGTAACTCACTATTGGGCAAAGTCCTCTCCTGTAGGTACACACATAGCCCAAGAGTTTTTGGAATAGATCCCGTATTTTATATCAAATTGTTTAGCGATAATTCTTGTTCTAGAATATTAGTTTGGTAGTCATCTACTACTAGGACAGCTGTAATGGTGCATATTGTTTGTGAACTTTCAGAGTATTTCAGAATCTTTTGAACCTTAACAGGTCGAGCACTAGTTTGTACTTGGACGCACAGAGCAGTGTGTTGGTTGTGAGGTATCAGTATCAGGGTGAACACCGGAGGATAGAAAGAAAAAACGTTGTAATGTTATACGTCTTCATTAAATTCATTTAATGTACATTCTTTTTGCATATATATTATGTGAAATATTTTTTTCTAAATAAAACAACTGTTCTATCACCTATTATTTTTATTCTTTTTATATTTATGTTTATATATTTTGATTTTAAATTTATATACACGAGAGGTGCGGCGGACAGCGACCCGCGTGACGGCCAGCCACGCGGCGCAGCGAGCGCCCGCGCGCGCCCGCCCTGAGCCCCGGGCGGGCGGGCGCGTTAGATCAGGCGCTCGCTCAGCCAGATTCAGGAGTCGGCGGCCCGCTCGGCCCGCTCGGGCCGCTCGCGCAGCTCGGCGCGCTCGGGCCGCTCGGGCCGCTCGGGCCGCTCGGGCCGCTCCGGCGAGCGCGGCATGCTGGGCTCCGTGTTGCGGCGCCGCACCTTGCCGCGCTTCTTCAGCATGGTGGCCTGCGGACGGGGCGCGACTGGCAGCGGCGGGGCGGGGCGCGAGCGGTCAGGTGCCCGCCGCCGACGACGCGCCCGCGGACCCGCGCTTGGTTTTCTTCAGCATGGTCGCCTGCAGCACACGCACGTCACGCGCCGCCCGCCGCCCGCACCGCCCCGCCCCGCCCCCGCTACGTACACCTGACCCGTGCTACTACAGCCGTGCCTCGCTAACGTATGTACAAAGCGGTAGGTCCGAAGTACGAGTGCCCAGAATTACCCGCGCGTGCCGATGTTGCTGCGGTATGTATGCGGTCAGGTGTACGTACGGCGCCGACCGGAGGCGGGCGCGGGCTGGAGCGGCGACGTGGCGCGGGGGGGCCACGTCGCCGCTCTGTATAACTAGTGTAACATCGGTGCTGAGTGGAGTTTGAGTGCTCGGGCGATACGTGACTCGGGGCGGTAGGTCTTATAATATAAAGCTTCGCTTTATCATCTGTGCTCGGTCGTTCCTATTACTCAATTCGAAAGTCTCATACAAGACCAAATTCAGCAAAATTATATTTATCATGAATGGAACATTTGAGATCAATGTAAACGTAGACCGAGCCTCCAGTTGACCAAGTAAAACTTTGAATTTGAATAAAATTTAAGAATAATTAAAATGTTTAAGTAAGCTTCAAAATTTGAGCCCTGTGCGGGCCCAGGCAAGCGAGCACATGCAAACACTGATTGGAGCTTATGTCCAACGAGAGTTGAGCAGTAGGACACGTGGCCGTACTGTGTATAGGATGCTTGTAAATAAGTAGGAGATTGCTTACATTCTGGAACTTCCACTGAGCTGATGAGGCTCAACACGTCGACCTTGAAATGGACTCTCATAGAAATAGTTAGCATGGTTTGTTCACAGTGAGTGACACCTCAACCCTCGTTGTCTACTGTAGGAGTAGGTACGTGGTGGCTGTAGTTACCTTGAGCGCAGACTTGAGCACCACCACCTCGGAAGGCGCCGCCACCCACGGCTCGCCGTCCACCTGCACGGGGATCTCGCTCTTAAGGTTGATTTTGATGTGGCCACCCTGGAACAGAGGACGAGGTGAGAAACTAATGCGCTGGACTGATAGTGCAACCACATAAGATACGATGACTGTTTCCTATCAGACAGACTGTACTGTTGTTGCTATTGCATATTTAAGACTTCCATATATCATTCATTGGCTTTGCTTAAAAGAAGATTCGGGAACACCCGTGCTTCCATTGATCTTTTGCGTTTGATACATCTTTGCGTGGACTTGCATGGTCATAAATTGCTATAATCTCTTAATTGTACAAATTTACACATCCTACAAATTATCACTTTGCTTAGGGTAGTACCTGCGCTATCCGCATGGCGCCTCGCAAGCCAGACTGGATCTGTCCCAGGTGTACGACGCCGGTGACGCCCACGATCTCCAGCATGCCGTCCCAGTGGTTGGGCTTGCTGAACTGATCGTCTTTCTCCGGGCCCCATGGATTGGCACCTGAACCCCAGCTGGAAATACAGGTCAGTTTTATTAGTCACTTTTTTCTTGTTAAGTTACTTATGAAAATGTTATAAGCTATATGTTTGACGCATCTATGTATCTATATATCTGTCGACATATTACGAAAACGGATGAAAGGAGTTTGGGTACTTTAATGATCTGATTTTGACTTTATTAAACGCCAAAAGTATATCAGCCGTTCTTTTTCCTGTTGCGTGAACTACAGTTTTCTTCCAATTTCAGTGTATGCTCAAAGCTGAAAAATAAAGTCAACATAGGCTAGAGTAGGTATGTACCTGAGTATATTTAAAATGATGATGCCCTCTAGCTGTGGCAGTTCGACTAGCTTGCCGTCCACCTCCAGGCGGATGGCTTTGTGCAAGTCCTTGCACATCTTGCGCCCCACCATCTTCCGGAGTCCCATCTTCACGTACACACCTTTGTTTCTGAGCCTAAAGCATACATAGCACGGTGAATACGGAGTATCGCTAAAAGTTTATTTGATTACAATGAATTGTTGATGAAGATTCAATATGTTCTGATCTGATAATAACTTTTTGCGCACATTGTTATGAAGCATCTTGACCCTAAATGTCGATAATTATGGAAGAATCGAAGAATGTAAATAGACTCTTAGAAAGTAGGTATGTGGCACTTACCTGCTATTAAACTTATTAGGATTCTCTTCACGAGCATTATGGAAATCTAAGCAGAGGTCCGCGTCTATCCCGATGCCGAAGTAGTTGTTCATCACGAGGATCTGGGAGTTGTCCTCGCTCTGTGATCCTGTGGTCACAGACGCTGCGGAATCACACAAATGTAGTCACACACACTATTATGATATGATATAGCGCACTAAATAATGGATACGAAAAGGGTTTTATTCTGAAGTTTTCTGGAATTTATGCAAAGGATTTAGTCTACAAAGCTGATGATGTAGCAGATTTGACGTTATGAAAATGATTTATAGTCATCCAACGTCTTGAAAAAACTGATGGGAATGAATCACAATGAAACATTAGTCATCATTGCTGCAAGGGAACTCTATACTGACCAGGTAGTTGCTTGGAGAGCTCCTTAGGCTCGTCCTGCTTATCCTCGGGGTGGAAGACAACAGTCCAGCGGTCGAGGCGGATCTCCTCGGCATCTATGACGTCACGCAGCAACGACAGAGGGTCCTCGCAACCAGTGTAGCCGGAGCCCCAGCGGAGGGTGCGAGCCAAGTCGTTGCCTGAAGATTTTGTGAACACTTTTATTGTGTGGAGGTGTCTACGATGTTTGGCTAACGGTTATTCTTATTAATTCAAATAAAGCATGGCTACCTTACTCTGTGGTCATCTGTTGAAATTATAGTTGTGCAGGTCGTATTATATTTTTTACTAAAGGATGCCCAAGATTACAATTTCCAACAAGATTTGCTAAGCTTTTGATGGGATTCTTACCAGTGCCAAGCGGCACGATGGCACAAGGTGGGTTGGAGCACTGCGAGTCCTGGCCGACGTTGTCGAGACACTGCAGCACCCAGCCGATCGTGCCATCGCCACCGCACACTAGGATCTTGTAGTTGGGAATGTGACGAAACACGTACAATCTGCACACAAATATATCATGTTTGTAGTTAATGTCCTTGTGGTTTTCATGTCCTAGTTACAGAAATGTAATCTAGATAGATATTGGATTGCATTTTGTTGATATTGACTAGAACATGATTGTGGTGTAAAGAATGGTTGAAAGTCACTTACCCAGGCAGCGGACCTCCATTTTCAAGGTCAAACACCTGGTAGGGGTTTAGGAGTTTGCGGAAGGAAGAAATGAGCTCGAGGCCTTGACAGCCTCCAGACTTAACGTTAACGAACACCAGCAGAGGCTTCACGCCCGCCGGCACCATCGAAGGCTCGATGCTCGGCAACAACATCACTGTGGAAACATTACACTCATATTTTAACAATATCTTATTCAGTTAGAGAAGTTTAAGTTTTCTTAAACTTCTTTAAGATTCAAATCTAATTGAAGATGTCTTGATGTGTAAAATTGCTATGTTGTAAGTGTGACTTACCCAATAAATGCTTATCTTCATATTTGGCCTCTCTGAGCGCATAAAGCGCGCGCACCGCTTTGCTCGCGTCCTCATACGTGATCACCATCGACCCGTACTCGTAGTAAATCGGGCCGATTGAGGTGAACTTGTTATCTGCAACGTTCATGTCCAGTTACTTCTCTGCTTGGTTTAGTTCCAACATTATTTATGTCTGACTTTGAATCAATATTGAATAAAAGAAAGGTAAGAAAGAATGGCAGAAGAAGATAGTGATTGTGGGTCATACTCATAAGTAACTTGAGGCAAAAGTAAAAAGAAGACGAATTATCATGACATTATAGTGGTAAAGATGTTTTATACTGACCGGCACCCAGGAACTCGACCAAGATGTTCTCGTAGTTCCTCTCGGAGAGGCCGGGCGGTAAGGAGGCGACAAAGAGCGCGAGCGTGGGCCCGTGCGGGTCGCGGCGCGGCTGCAGGTAGAAGCGCGCCAGCTCCATGCGGCGCACCGACTCGCGCGCCAGCCGCACCACGATGCGCCACGGCCGCTCGTCCTCCTCCAGCACGCGCTCCGACACTGGGCCAACGGTTGCAAGCTACGTGTGATTACCGAGCCCACCACACACTAACACGACACTTTCTATTTTTTAATGTTTTATCAAGATGTCGACTGGTTGAAATTACTCTTTGATCACAAGTATTTCATTCCATTATGATATGGTGACACACACTTTTATGAGGTCAAATCTTCTGAGACACTTACCTCCTCGGTCTAGCAGTATCTCTGAGCAACGATAGTCATGCACGGCCCGCGCGGGGTCGAGTCCAAACCGTTCGAGCGCGGCGGCCATCAGGTCGGCCACGGCGTCGTCGCCGGTGATGCCGACCGTCACAAACGTCTCGCCAGCGCCCGCTACCCGCCCCGGGTACACTCGTACCTCTCCACCACCACTCTCTGGTTCTCTGCACACAACCGACCAACCATTCAGGAAAACCGAAACATTCACAAACATAAACTCACGATTCTTTCTCAGAAAAATTGAAAATTCTTAGAAATATTACTAGAACACTGAACTCATAAAAACAAGACGTGTTCTCAGAAATTCGTATAGAAATGTAACAAAACTATTTAGATTGTCTATGCATGCCTATTAAATTATGCAGGAAAATTATGTTTTTTGTATTTTTGCACTAGTCTATTCTCGAAACAGGAAACCTCTGATGTCTGCTCAGAAAGGTCTTTCTTTGTCTGGTTTTTTTGTTAGATCGCTTCTGTATCGTGGCTTGCACAGTTTGCACTCACTTGAATCGTAAGAAGAGTGCCGGTCTCTTGTTGGGAAGGCGTGTAACATGCGCGAGGGGCGTGGGGTCCCTGAGCGGGGGCTCGTCGCCGGCCAGTGCGTCGGTGAGCTCGAACAGGTCGGGGTCGCGCGCCACGTGGAAGGCACGTAGCGCTGCTGCGACCAGCTCGCGCTCATTCCAATTGCGACCCACTACTACAGGCCGGTAAAGCCGCCGAGACCAAGCTGCCTCGCCGTCGTACACCTTCACCACTTCTGTTGCCAAAAATATATAAATATAATGTAGATTTTCTAACTTCAATCTATTATTAGTCGCTAATCCCGCATTAAGTACATATGGTGAAAATCAATGCTCAATTATTTTCTACGTAAGTGTTTACAGAAGAAATACATTAAGACGAGCAATACCTATTTTCACTTAGAGACACATCGACGCTAAGAAATTGATGATTAGATGGAACTTTGTCTGTGAGAGGCTATGTCTAGGATATACTCAATTTTAATTTTGAGTGTTGATGAATTACCTTCATCTCGATCATCCGGGGTCCTGTCCCGATGCTGTTTGTGGTCCGGGCGGTGGTCCTGGTCGGCGGGAGCGCCCGTGGAGCCGCCGCCGGAGCCCGAACGGCCCTCGCAGCCGGAACTGAACTCCTCGCTGACACTGCGAGCTGCAACACCCATATCGCTCACATACACACCCCCGTCGCCATCGAATTATAAATATGCATAAGGAGGAAACTTGTAGCTTCTCGTGAGATACAAGAAACTTTGTATTCAGCCCGTAAAATGAAGCAGAGACCGCCAGTCTCAACTTCATAATAAGGGACTGCCAGTACTTTCTAGTTTAGTCATATTTTATTTTTAATGTTTTATTATTTATTTGTATCGAAGCGGTTTTCGGGATTGTATAAAGTCCAGGACACAGCGCTCCTAAGTAAGCTAAACATCGCAGCCAAAGAGTTATCATAGTTTATATTTATGTTATCGGTTTATTATTATGTGTTCATTTATGTTATACATACATCGAGACAGTACTTAAATACATTTAAATCTATTATTATTCAGTGAAAAATTGTGTTTATTTAACTTACATCTCGATGTAAGTAATAGTCATTATTTTATCTACTAACATGAGTTGTATGACGCGTCGGCGTCGCGTATACGTTGATTGATGTATCTCAAAATACAAAAGGTAGTTTTCTCTGTAGCTTCAGTATAAAACGAATCTCGTTTTTCAATTCAAAATGTAGGAAAAACTGACCATCATACAACTTTTAAAAACATACATTAATTTCATGATGTCATTATTAAAAGTAAATCGGCCATATTTGCCTGTAGGGTGGATAAAAAATAGAGTTTTAAAACACTTGTATTTTTATTGTGAACGTGGTTTTAATAATGACATCTTACACCAAGCAGCGTTGGACACTTAAGCATAAATAAATACACACAATGTATGTCGTTAATATCGCGATATCCGTCTGTTACCTTCGTGCCGTTGGAATACTGCATCATGAGTATTCTTGGACTGACCGCCCTGAGCTATGTGAGGGAGTGGGCACGGATAACCAGGGCTTCACTCAACTACAAGACTAGTGCCGGCCACCGGGACAGGTCAGCTAAAGATGTACACTATTGTGGAAATACAAGCCGTGTGGAGATATTGCCAAGGGAGCATTCACTTACAGAATAGAAATGAGTAGGTAAGATTCAGTCGCCATTTTTTATTTACTTGTAACGTTTTATTCTTCAAAGATGATTATATTTTATAATATGTTTATTTAGGAAGCACAATTGTTCATGTTCATAGTGCATTCAGTAATGGCGTCTACTTAAACGTTATGCCTTTTTTATGTAATACGGGCAAGCCCTTCGGGCATAAATCTGCCTCTATGATATTACTAAGTATGTACATTGGAAATAGGAAAATACTTGATGAATTTTTTTTTGAGGTCTTGTAGTTTCATGAACAGGGAAGGTATAGAGAGTCGTGTGACGGCATCGAGTAGTGAGGTACAGAGTGCCGCAGGTGTGCAGTATGTGTGTTACTCGGTTATAAAGCAGTCGCCTCATGCACACACAGAAACCAAGAAAGAAGGAGAGACAGCTTCAAGTGTGAGACAAGAATGTGTACGGTGATAGTTGTTGTTCGTTACAAATGTTCTGCAGATCGGTGATCATGTTTTAATTCATTAAATTGTATTGTTGTTGATCCGTAAACATCCTTGTGTGGAATAGGATAGAGTTAGTGTTTTATACATATATACATTATACAGATTGTAGAGCATCTAGAAGGAAGGTGTAAGCTGACAGTGAAAGCCTTTACGTTTCACTTGACTTAACTGCAGTAAGAGTTCAGTCAAGCAACATGCATGGAGATGTACCGACCAGGCAACCGTGTTACTCTACAGGTTTCTGAAAAATGAAACTACAAGCGTCTCGAGCAAGTGATCGTATCCGACGAGCGGTGCGGAGCGCCAGGTGCTGCTGGTACGGTCCCTGGTTGGTACAGCTGCGGGAGCCGGTGCGGGTGCGCTAGACGCGGGGCGTGGAGGTCGTGGGGGCGCGGGCTGGGCGCGGGCGGGTTACCTCTGGAGTAGGGGGGCGACGCGCCACCGTGCGGGCTGCAGGCGGCGGGCAGCAGGCGCCGCGCCAGCGTCACCAGCCGCGCCGGCGCCCATCCGCCAGCGCGCGCTGCCCCAACACACACGCTCACGCCACGCCGCTCAACGCATGTGCCAAGCGATTCGCCGAGTCGCGTCCGACCTACACCGCCTACCGCGACTGTGCCGCCGCCGACCAGCCACGCACGATCATCACACCCCTTCACTCACGTACTTCGAACCGAGTGCACAGTCGAAAGACCAAGGTAAAAGTGTACTGAGGGAGTCAAGCCAAAAGAAGTGTAACTTGGAAAAATTATTGCTATGATTCCAAACCCAATGTAAGATAAAGAATTCATTAGCAAAGCGAGTCATAACAAAAAATAGTTTGGCAAAAAGTTCCTGTGTTGATCCTCTGCATCTTGAAGCAGCAGATCTGTGACCGTGTGTGCCTGTGACCAGCTGAGCGCGAACCTTCCGACTACTTTACAAGCGAGGCCTATACTAAGGAAGCTCGCTGCGAATTGCGTGGCACATGTACGTGGCGGGAAGCGGTGTTTGCCGGGGCCACTGTTTGTGGGACACTTACGGCAGCCGAAGTCCCGCTGCGACGGCGGCGGCCGCACGTGCACGCCGATGATGGCTTCCATAGGCACCTCCGTGCGGGGGATAGACACCGCCGACGGTGGTAAGAAGATCGGCTGCAGCATCCCAAAGTTGCAATCGTCCTGTATGAGGGCGCGACATCCTGCGTGGCACTGTGGGACGAGCTCGCGTTCAGTAACGATGTAAGGAGTGCACAAACTACAAGTATTGTGTGGGGTAAATGATGGAGATACGCACCGTACTGCCGCACCACTCGCAGCGGTAGCCCGTGAGGCACTCGGCGGACCAGCAGGCCCGCCGGCACGCGGAGCATTTGCTGTTCGCGGGCAGGTTGCCCTCGCGCCAGTGATGCACGTGGCGCGGCTCGCTGCCCGCGCAGTAGGTCGCGTTCTCCTTGCAGTCGGCTGCAGCGAAGTCTACGCATTCTCCATGCACGTAGTACTCGCATACTGCACGATAACACACGCGTCACTACACTGACTGCACTTACAAGCTAAGCAAAACATACGTATAGCTGTGTTGCATCGAGTATAACAGTTGAGCCTACGTTTGTCGGAATTTAAATCATGTGACGCTAAATAGCCAAACAAACACGAGTGCTGTTGTCTTAGCAGTACACAAACCATAGTACATCATCACAAGTAGCGTTTCTACAAATCAAAAAGTCATAATATTTACTCGTAACACCAGCATCTCAACGTGTCACCTATCATAAAAAGGAACGTTAAAATTACTCAAAATGAAAGAGACGAGTTAGTAATCAAGTGTAGGAGTACTCACTCATGCAATGTAGAGCTGGTAATTCATCGAGCCGCTTCCGGCACACCGTACAAAACTTGCGTTTGTGGTGTGTGGGCTCTGACCAGCAGTGAGCCACTGGGTTCTGTGGGAATGATAAACCATTAGTCATCTGTTCATATTGATACAAGGGACTTGTGGCTGCAATGTAGTGGTAAATATGTGTCATGTAATATACAAAATAAAGAGTATATTACCTTGATGAGGCTCGGCGCCACCCCGCAGCACGGCGTCACCACTTGCCCCACGCATCGCTCGTGCACTATGAAGTTGCAGACTGTAAACAGAGAGGTTGTAATGTCAGATGACGTCATACACGCTCCCTAAGCGTAAGGTGATAATGTCCCCGTGCTAGTTCCATGTCGTAAATTTCGATTAGTGCTGTAATAAATTGGATGGGTGACCATTAGCGACTTCGGTGTTACTGTGCGAAGAGCATCGGGTGTTTCTCTTCGAATTAATTTACCTCGAATGTGTAGGGGATGAGACTAGTATATCTGTATCCGTGGTGTGGTCTACATGTATCATACGCACACTACGCATCTCATTTTCATTTTTGATCTTGTAATTTTTAGGTGTACTATGATAATTGTAGTGCATAGCACTAAGTTTAACAAAGTTACATCCTACGTACGTAGGTACTCCTGAGTAGTTACCATTTGACCTTTTTTAATCTATTAAGACCAAATCATAATCACCATTACTCCATAACTAAGGTAAAGGCACCTAATTCCGCGCTGTTTTTAACATAACACGAAAGAACATTATAAATTAAGTATTTATCGGACCTTTGTGTACAATTTTATATTTTTATCAGAAGTGTTAGCTATCAAATTTTTGAAAAATTATTGCAGTTTGTCAGTAGAAGGTTATTGAAGCTGATAAAATAAATAAAAATATAAAAAAGTCCGAGGTACCTTATTCCGATTTAAAAATCGTAATTCCGATGCATTTGGTTCCTAATTCCGAGTATAAAAATAGAAAGGGAACTATGTAGGGAGAATTATACATGATGTGTTTAAAAGTCAAATCTGTTTATTTTTTATATTACTTAAATCAATTCTGTTTTTGTTTATTCTAGTTTTATTCTAAACCCTGTTTTTTATTAATATTATTCCTTAATCTTATAAAAATATAAAAATGAATTAACAATATCAAACACACACTCCAATTTTATGTATTTGTATAGATGATTAGTATTCTTTCAGTTACTAAATGCGTATCTACTAAGCACATAAAATAATGAACACTCTGTATTTAAACAGGGTCTTAACTAACTTCGGAATTAGGTTCTCATGTAATCTTATTCCGACGTAAATACATCGGAATTAGGTACTCATGTAACTTTATTCCGACGTAAATACATCGGAATAGCGTTTTATGATGCTAAATCAAAGTTTCTAATTCCGAGTACTAAAAAGTAAAAGATTTTTTAATATTATGCAAATAAAATAATGTATAGTTACAACATGAAAGGAAAACAAATATAAAGTACATACATATAATAACAGAACACTTATAAAACCTAATGTCTTCACTAAAATCTTCTATACAACGTATTAATAAAGTACCTGTACAAACAATTTTTGACCTGCTATAATTAGTAAATGCGACGCCACGGTGTACCTCGGAAATAGATTATTAAATGTATGAGTTATTCATTAAGTCAGAACTAACACATTAAAGTTTATAATCATAAAACAGACACCGAAATTTAAAAAAAACTAAATGTCTTTAAATTTGTTTTTCCGTGGTATACATCGGCTTTTAGGAACACACTAAAATATTTTGCACCTAATGCCGCGGTATTTTAAACACTTATTTTCTTGCTAATTTGCAAATAAAATACTCAAATCTTAAGTGTTTTCGATAAAAAATATTATCCTTTCAATATTTCAACCTAAACGAAAACTCGCGTTGTATAAAATTATTACGTAAAACACTATTTGGCAAATCGTAATACTCACGTGCATAAGGTCCCAAATGTATGAAGTGTGCTTTCGACGCCGCTCCCCGCGGCAAAATGACCGATTATTTTACAGTGTGACCATACTAAACTCTCCTTTGTATAAATAAATATGAACAGATAATTATTAATTCATTATTTTATCATGCAGACCATAAATAACTAGTAAATTGCTTTAAAAAACTGTTTTTCTAAATACATCGGAATATGGTGCCATTTTTAGAACCCCTCGGAATAAGGTGCATTTACCTTAAATTGAACCATAAAATAATACTCATAAAACCAATAGATGAAATTAATAAACTAGATAGAATATTGTACCTCGGAGCTTAGGTAATGGAACAAATATCAGTCGTATACATGAAGGTATTCAATAAGCTAATAGTGTCGAGGTAATGAAGTGGTTCGACCGCATTACATTAGACAGCACGCGATGCATCGTCCCTGATCAAGTTCAGACATGCCACATGACACCGTGGGGACGTGAGCCACGCACGGACCTGCTTTCATACTTTCATAGGGCTATATGCACTTCTTATATGCATAGATACTATTTTGCTAACTTTTGTCATTGGCATTAGCCTAACCATACATTAAAATACGTGTTAACGTGTGTCCAAACGGATAAATAGAAGTTTCATTGGTAGGACCAATGAAACTTCTATTTATCCTTTGTAGTCATTTTTTAAGGATTAATATAGATTGATCCGAATTGATGTTTCCTGAATTTAGCCAAAGAAAACCAACATAGACTCGATAGTACGAAAAGGAATTCTACCTTTTGAATGCTATTGCATAATACATATTTGAGTTATTAAGATGAGAGCATCTCTCTAAAAAGAAGTGTACAGAATGTAAATTAATTTACAGTAAGATCGAGGGATATTTAATGCAACGCAAAGCAATGATTCCAATCTCGACACTAATTGAATTAGGTCAAATGCTAGTTAATCTCACAGCGTATTGTGATTACCATGAAACTACGATACACGAGCAAGTAGCTAGTTACGAACGCAAGAGGTTTGAAGTGCCTGCCAAGATATCAGTAATGTATTGCTTTCTAATCGTTCTCCCTCTTCAATGTAATTTATGATGAATTCGCTACCTTTAAATAATAGCTAAGATTTATTTTCATATTCACATAACAGTTCAAAACTAAATATTTTTAAATAAAGCATTCGTTTGTAGGCAATGACGTCAGCATGAAACCTCTATCGTGTATTTTTTACGTAATTTAAAAATAGAATTAAAAGTAAAAAAGGAGTTTGTATGACTAGTGGCGCCGTCCATAGACAAAATAGTCGGTAATGTCGGGACATGCACGGCTGGGGCGCTCGAGCGCGGGCCTCTCGTAAAGTCATCTCGAAGCATGGATCGATAGGGGCGCGCATGCTCGCATCTCGCCGCCATCCCACTGGAGACACTGATGTTGCCAATTTATATTGTCGTCGGCAGTAGCCGAATGTTGGATAACCTCTTACACTTTGCTTGCTTTACGTTTTTGATGTTTGGGCTTTTGCTACTATATCTATACTTGTCGCATACATACTTACACGAGTAATGTAATTAAGATAAAATTGCTATCAACTTCAAGTAGGTACGTCCTTGTAAGGAAATTGTATATTTTTAACAAAATCTAATTATAGTGATTACGTCTAGATTTCCCTTTGGTAACCGATTTTCTCAGATACCGTTATGATGTAACCTAAACGTTTAGAAGTATCGCGTAGGTTGTATGGGATACAGCGTGCGTTTTTACACATTCCATTATAGTGTTTTCCGTATTTGTGTTAGGCTGTATGAACTGCTACGATAGATTATATTATTAATTTTGTTGTACACGCATTTAGTGCATAGCTTAAATAGGATTTATAGTAGGTATTTAGTGCTTCAGTATTATCATAATTTTAACCGTCTTGAAAAGAGAAATTATTTCCTTTAGATATTGTAATGGAAAAAGGAAAATAATGAAATAAACGCACTAGATATGTACAGAAAACAGGCCATATACACGAATTGCTTTAATGTGTAAACAAAAGGTAAACTATTACCCGTATAATGGAACCAAACTTTTAATACTTACATCATGCACTTTAGATAAATGTAGTAAATCAGACGAACTGTTACCGTATAAACTTTTAATTTTTACATATCGAGGCGAACGCAAAAAGGTAACGTAGTTGCTATATTTACCATAGTACGTAGATACGTATAATTTATACTATGTACTTTAAAACAGTTAAATTTGTAAATAGATATAAAAATAAAAATAATAAGAAGCTAACAAATAACACAACCTTTACTCCGTAACGTACGCGAAACATAAAACAAAGTAAGTTATTTATAGTGTGCGCTTGTCAATAAACTACAGCGGGTTTTTATACGCGGAAGGGCACAGCCGGATGGGGATCAAGGAAACATATTAGTGGTGTAGTTCTGACGTTAATACGTCACGGTATATTTAAATAACCTCGGGCGGGGCCGGCTGGAATAGACACGGATCTGAAGGAACAGACGCGGCTGCAGCCCGCGCGGCACCACGCTGCCAGAGAAGGTGACACTATAAAACACCTCGTTCTACATTCAAAACTTATCTGTCATAGTTTTTATGGACTAGGATGTAAGGGACCTTGATGAAATGTTTAATTCTCTACTGCTTTATCTATTCCATCTTTCTAATATTGCGTCTATGATGAGAATCTGCTGATAGTTTCTAATTTGAATGGATCGTTTCGTCATACTTACTGTAAATAAAATTTCCGTTGCTGATGTTTACGTGTCAATACCAAAAATGGGATAGAGAGTTCTTTGGAAGTACTCTTAGTCACGGAACTTTTTTGGAGGTATGTTCGTGTGCCCATCGCAAGTCGTAGTGCCAAAGTAAACACTCACTAGACAAGAACTGAAATAGCCTGAGGGCAATAGCCTAACGTCGTGATCATCATCGTGAAGTTCAATGTTTATCATACGGACGAATTCATAATTGTATACTGTACTATAAGAGCACCGTTTATTACTTTACTGAATGGTATATTAGGAGCTCCAGCTATTAAATTTTTGAATATGAATTAATACAGTTCGGTAGTTTGGTATCTTGACTTTAGATTACGAGTCTTATAAACACCAGTAGATAATTGCGTTCGAACTAAACAATAAAACTAGTAGGTGGTTATTAAAAGCTCGAGTTGAGTTGTTAAATTTAAACTATTCGGCGTAACCCCTCGTTGTCCGAAATAAGGCTAATTAACGCAATGAATCAGAGACACTACAAATAGCCGGCACTGTCTATATATAGCGCGGGCGCTTGTAAA